TTCTATACTCTTCTTCTTACTATCGAATCTACTATACTAATACTTTTTCTTATATTTCTCTCTCGATTATAATCTTCCTTTATTATTCTATACTTGGTGGTGGTGCTTGTCTTTTTTTTTTTTTTTTCTTTTTTTTTCTTTCGTTTTTTTCTTTTCTTCTCTTCTCCCCTGCCCGTGTGCATGTCGGCACTGTACGGATTACCGGGTATTTGCTGCTGCTGGCCTGATGGATGGATGCTGGCTTGTGAGATTCATGGATGATGCTGGTGAGGATGATGATGATTTGAATTTGCCTGGGCGGCCTGCGAGAGAATTCTACCTATGAGATATGCACCATGTTGTCGATGTCGAGTAGTTACTATGTACAAAGGCAACGTCGGGGTGGAGTCAGCTCGTCGTCTTCTCTCTCTCTGTGCCGCGTCAAGCTGCCCCGCTGACGGGCCTATTTTTACCAGTCGCAACAAGTGGCCAGCCAACATCATCATCGTGCAGACGCCGACAACCCCTTGCAGTTGGGCCCTCTTCACGCCGTCAGTTGATCTCATTGTCAGCAGCCCAGCGGCCGCCAAAACTTGCTGTCTTTCCTGCTCAACCCCTGGCTCCTGCGAGCAAGGATCGTCGACAGGCCCCCGTCACCCGTCAAAAGATAGCGCGCCCATCATCAATGTCGCAACTTGGCGGCGACATCATGTAGTGAGAGACTAAGGTACTGTTCCTTGTCCAGCTCTCACTCTCACACAAATCTCTTTCCACCTCCCCCCACCCCCCTCCACCCCTCCCACTCTCCCCCTTCCTCCACCGCCCTGCTTCTCTGCCTGACTCGCGCGCGTCAAAGACGAGCCAAGTCCCGCCTGTCTGAAACCTGCTCCCACTGCTACATCTCACGCCCTCTTCTCGCTGTCCTCCCTCCCCACGTCTCTCCCTCATCCGACGATAACGCTTCCCGCCAATTCCACCCATCGTGGCGGCTACCACCGATAACCTTGGGTTCTCCCAAACCCCGCTCGACTTCCACTCCCTCTATGCCGAGGACTCTGGCATCTCGCCCGCGACCTCGACCTCAGACCTGACATTGGTCGGCGACAGCTTCCCCCTCGCCCCGCAGAAACGCGGCAGCAGCGCCGGCGACAGCCCCAGGCCCCCGAAGAAGCCCGCACACAGACACGCACAAAGCTGGGGGCAAGCGTCGGCGCAAAAGGCCAGGAAGCCGAGCAAGCAGAGCACCAAGACCATGAGCGGCGACGACGGCGGCGCCCCCGTCCCGCCAGTGCCCGAGGCGCAGACGGGGAGCAAGCCCAAACGTGTGCGCACCGGCTGCCTGACCTGCCGCGAGCGCCACCTCAAGTGCGACGAGGCCCTGCCGCACTGCCAGAACTGCCGCAAGTCGAATCGCATGTGCAAGCGCGGCATCCGCCTCAACTTCATCGACACCACCGTCCAGGCCCCGCCCGTCCTGTTGACCTCGCAGGACTGGAACGTCAGCTTCCTCGACGAGTCGCGCGACATTGCTTCCGAGTACAAAGGCGGGCTGAGCAAGTATGGCGCCCTCGGGGTCCAGGTCACTGCGCATGCCATTAACGGCCTATCGTTGGACTTCCCTCCCGGCCCTCCACCCCCGCCCGAGCTGTCGCACCAGCCTTTGCCGCCCATCCAGGGCATGTTGCCCGACATGTATACCGACGACCATCAGAACGTCATGTACGATGTGCCGCAGCCGGCGCAGCCGCAGCACATCCAGCCGCACGCCGACATGACCTTTTCGGCGTCGAATTCGATACAGGGCGCGCCGTCGTACAACAGCCACGAATCCACGGCCTCTCCGCCGGCACAACGACGAGATTTCTTAAATGACCCGGAGGAGGTGCTTTTTATGCAGGTCTTTGTCGAAGAAGTGGGCTTGTGGATGGACAGTATGGACCCACAAAAACATGTACGTCGCTCTCTCTCTCTCTCTCTCTCCCGTGGCTTAAAGGTGGTCTAATAAATCACAGTTCTCGAGGCTATTGCCTTTCCACGCGCTCAGTAAACCCATGTTGTTGAATGCATTCTTGGCTTGTGGAGCGCGGCATCTGTCCCTCGTCAACGTGCGATACACCGAGGACAAAGCACTGCATTACTACGACACCGCCACGCGCCATCTGCTCAATTCGCTGCAGAACCCGAACCGAGACCCCGTGTTATGTGCCACGACCGCCGTCATCCTTAACGTTTACGAGATCATGTGCGAGCGTGCTCTGCAGCGAATGAACCACATCGCCGGGGCGCGCGCCCTCATCAAAGAGTGTGGATGGAACGCCAAATCGACAGGCATCGGCGCGGCGTGTTTCTGGCTAAATGTGGGCATGGAGCTGCTCAGCTGCCTGCACTTCAACTGGCAGGTGGCCTGGGACCCCGACGAGTGGGGCGTCGACATGGACTTTGGGCGCGAGACGGAGACGGGCAAGGAGGAGGTGTGGACGTATCGCATCGTCTACATTGTGGCGAAAATCGCAAACTTCCGCGCCTCGATCCCGCGCAAGGCGGCAGGGTCGCCGCGTGACGAGCAGATCCGGCTGCAGAAGCGCTACGCCGAGTGGCAGCAGCTGAAGGGCTGGGCCGACGCCTGGAACGAGAGCATCCCGCTGACGATGCACCCCATGGGCTACCTGTACCCGTATCAGACGGCGTCGCAGTCGGCCTTTCCCGAGGTGTGGCTCATCAAGCGGGCGACGATCGTCGCGCGGCTGTTTTACCACACGGCCATGTGTCTGCTGGCGCAGACGAACCCGATCATGTCCAAGGACGTGGACGAAATGAAGGACTTGTTGCGGGCGCATTCGCAGCAGATCTGCGGAATCGTGGCGCACGTCAAGGACCGGTAGGTGCATTTTGAGTTTCGCGTGTCTGCAGCACCTCATGTCTTGACGCGAAGGCAAAACGCACAATTTCCCCCATACATGCATGCATGCACACAGAAAATGATTGCTAACACAATTTCCCCCCCCATACAGCGGCGTCGCAAGCGTAGCCATCCGCTCCCTCTCCATCGCCGCCGAGTGCCTCACCACCCGCCGCGAGCAAGACGAAGTCCTGCAGATCCTCGACAAAATCCGGCAGGAAACGGGCTGGCGCGTCGGCTTCATCAACGCCGAGCTCAAAAAGGCGTGGGGCTGGCCCGAGGATCCCGCGCCGCAGCAGCTGCCCACGCCCACAATGCAGCACCAGCAGCACGCTGCGGTGCCGCAATCGCAGCAACAGCAGCAGGCACAACAGCAGCAGCACGCAGTAGCGGCCGTCGCAGCCGCCGCCGCCGCTTCCGCGCCCCCGCTCGCCTACGCCCCCGCTACAGTGCAGCCGCAAGCAACAACGCTGCAGCCGATGAGCACGGTGCTGGCGCCCGCGCTCGCGCCCACGACCGTCGCGCCCGCTGCTCCTGTTCCTGCTGTCGCAGCAGCAGCCCCATCGGCCGCAGGCCCGCAGGCGCAGACGAACGCGAGCACTACTGGCGCACCTGCAGCAGCAGCTGCTGCTGCGCCGCCCCGCTCTCGCCTCCCCCAGGGCATTCTCAACCCTATGCTTGCGGCGGCGGATTTCTCGATGCCTCAGCATCCGTATCAGAGTTATTATGTGGCGCCGAATACAATTGGGGGCGGGTTGGGGGGCGGGGGGTTTTATTAGGGTGGGGTGTGAGAGAGGTTTTAGGGGGTTGAGGGTTATGGGAAGGGGGAAAGGGAGGAGAGGGGTTTGTATGATATTTATGATGGGTGGTTTGGTGTGGTTTGTTTGGGTTTGATTTGGTGGATTGGGGTTTTGTGGGTGGGTTTGATTTAGTGCGTGGGTTTTGTGGGATGGGATGGAACGTGGTGTTTGGTGCTTAGGTGTTGGGTGCTGGGTGTTTGCGGCGTTTGTACGTGCGGCGTTATAGTACGTTACGTTACGTTAAGCCACTAGGGTAAAGCTGAGTGAGTTATAGCTGGACTGGACTGGCTGGGCTGGGCGGTTTAGTGTAGGTAGGGCTTGTTTTCTTCTGAGTCGTTTGTTTGTTTGTTTGATGGTTGTTGATGTTGATGGTTACTGGTTAGCTAAGTAAGTAAGTATCCGTGGGGAGGGGGGTTTGCGGTTTCTTTCGCCTTTTCTGAGCTTTTGCTTGTCTTTGCTTTGTCTTGCTGTTTTCTTGCTGTTGTCTTGCTTCGTTGCTTCGTTCCTATCTCTATCTCTCCCCAGCCAGATGCAGTCAGTTCAGTCACAGTCGTAGTCTCCTCTCCCTCTCGTCCTCACCTGTTTGTTTCCTCCCCCATTTCCCTTTCCCTTTCATGTTCGTTCTCCAGTTCTCATTCCGTGGGTCCTTTTCCTCTTTCGCACTGCACTGCACTGCGCTGCAGGGTTAGTTATATATAGAAAAGGACGGCGTTGTTTGCTTTTCATGTTTCCTCTTCCCTACCCTTAGCACTTTTTCGATTTTCGATTATCGATTTTCACATTTAGGTTTATTTTTGTTGAATCTTGAAGCGAGGCGGGGGAGAGGGAGGGGGGGGGGCGGTATCGGCGTATCCTTGACGCGTTTTCTTGCGTAGGTAGGTAGGTAGGTAGGTAGGTAGGTACGAGTCTGCCTGCCTGCCTGCCTAGCTAGCCGTCTACGTGTCTGGCTCGCGGTGACGCTGTTTGGGTTGGGGTGGGTTAGGTTAGGGCGCGGCTTTGTCTCTTGTGGGGTTGGCTGTTGGCTGTTTGGCTGCTTTGTTTTGCTTTGCTTTGCTTTGCTCACGAAGGTCACGAGGTTATGATGGCTGCGGGGTTTGTCTTTGTTGCTGCTGTTTGGTTGTCTGCTTGTTTGTCGTTACCGTTACTGTTGCGGCTTTTAAGTTTGAGGTTTTGAGGTTTTGAGAGGGTTTTGGGTGGTGTTGTTGTTGGGATGGGATGGAGGTGCAGGTGCAAAAATCAGATCAGGTCAGATTGCTGCGTGCTATTGGAGTGGGCTGGCTTGTGCTTGTGTCTTGTGTCTTTGTTGTGGTTGCGTTTTGTGGTGTGGTGTGGAGTGGAGTGGTATGGTGTGCGGTTGCTGGGGTTGTGGCTGCTGTGGTGGGGTGGTTTTCTGCTTGGGTGGTTGGCTATCGTCGTCGTCATTATTGTTGTCGTCGTTGTCGTTGTAATTGTCATTGCCATTAGGCAGATGCCCTACCTACCTACCCACCTATCCCATGTCGATGAGGGCGCGACGCAACGCAACGGCTTGGTTCGCTGGTATGTATGTAGCTAGCTACATCCATTCATGCCCATCCACACCTACCTACCTATTCACAGACGTATACAACAGCAGCACGTCCTGGCTCGTGCCTGCAGCAGGTCTGGTCCGCGCGGTGCTGGTGCGTACCTACTACGTAAGTGCTGAGGCACGCGGCGTCGCGGGAGCGTTTCGGCGGGGGTGGACTGGCTTTCTTGCTGTCGTTCTTGCTGTCTTGCCTGGTTGGGGCGTGCTGCTGGTTGCGTGATCAGGTTTTGAGTTGGAGCGCTGGCGTGATGCTCAGGAGCTTGGCTTGTGGTGGTGGTGGTGGTGGTGGTCGTCGTCGTGGGATTGAGGGGGATGAGGGGGTATACGCATGATCCACGCCACACGGTCGCCTCGTTGGGCTTTCTATCTGACAGGAGTAGGAGTAGGAGTATATAGTGCGTGTTGTATCAACCAAATGGGAATAACTAGCACAATATAGAATTTGCTGTAGTTACTTAAGTGCTACACAGCTTGACCTTTCGCATAACACCGAAGTCTCAAAGCAGCAAGCAAGGTCTGCAAGCAGCGTATGTATTGAATTCGAAGAAACTCGGAGACGCTGTATATATGTGTGTGTATATGTATGTGTGTGTAGTCCGCCGCTTTTGCTTATAGCTACGCTGGAGACGGGACGGCGCGTTGAAGGCCTGTTTTGTTGTGTGGTGTGGTGGCGTAGATGTCGCACTGTCTCTCTTGTGGTGAGGACGTTGGGTGAAAGAGTTGGGTGGGTGGTTGTGAAGATGTAATTGTCTGTGTGTGCAAGGGAAGCTTGTGACTTATCTTTTTTACAAATTGCTGTTTTGAGTCTTGATCACAGTAATCGCTACTGGCGTGTTCTGTTTCTGCTTCTGCGTCTTGTTTGTCAACGTAACCCGAGCTATTGGGAACTATGCAGACAGTATCCCACGTCCTCGCCGGCGCGTGCCGTCTTCCAGCGTCTTTAAACAGAACTATCAAAAAGCGAGACTTTGAAATCTCTTTCCCGCTCTTTCTCCCCTAAAAACACACAAGCGAATACAAGCAGTGGTTGGAAAAACTCCATTGTTCTTATACCCCAGGCATACTATGCCAACAGCGCTCCGACTCCTAGGTATGTAGATATGCACCGGATTATCCGCCTCTTGTACCATGCCGCTCTTTTTACAAACTCCACAACTCCACAACTCCACGCCCCGACGCCCCAAACACAACCGCACGTGGTGTATCTCCTTCCCTCCCGCACCCAGCCAACAAGCCACCACCACACACACCCCACTCAACCCAAGTTGAACTCGCTCGCGCCCCCCGAAACCACCATCCGCATCTTCTTGCGCATCTTGCGCGCCGCCTCATCCGCCTCAATCTGGCTCTTCGTCGGCGCAATCTCATCCGCATCCCAAGCCGCAGCCGCCGCAGCAGCAGCGGCACCCTTGCCCCTACCGGCCGCCGCTCTCGCCTTAGCACGGCGGTCCTCCTTGCCCTTAGCGTGGCTATCAGCGCCAGGCCGCAGCCCCGGCACACGGATGCTAGCTGGGCGGTCGCGCAGCGCAAACGCCTTGGCCAAGTGGCCCAGATGCAGCGTCTTGATGTTGAAGAAGACGCGCTCGGCGGCCACGTGCGTCGCGTACGCGCGGATGTGGCTCTGATAGCCGCGGCGCGCGAGCTCGAGCTTGGCCGGGTTCGCGAGCGCCCACCGCTCGAGGTCGAGCTGCCATTCCGTCGCTGCGTCTTCGTAGGCGTGCTTGGTGGCGGAGCCGACGGTCCCTGGCGGCGTGAACGCTTTGCGCAGCAGTTCGGGCGCGTCGTGGCGCGTCAGTGTGGCGCCTGCGTCGGCGCGCGTGTCTTTCAGGATCTGCGTGTAGCCCTCCTCGTCGCCTGGCATCAGGAAGAGCAGCGAACGTCCGTCGCGACCGGCACGCGCGGTACGACCGATGCGGTGGAGGTGGTCGTCTTTGGCGAAGGCGGGGTCGTACTCGATGACGAAGTCGACGTTGGGCAGATCGAGACCGCGAGAAGCGACATCCGTGCAGACGAGGACGGCGGGGTCTTTGCTGTGCGTGAAAGCGGAAAGAGTGCTGGTACGGACGGCTTGCGGAAGTGAGCCGTGAAGCTTGTAGACATTGACCGGGTTTTCTTTCGATGAAATGGCGGATGCGGGGGCGGACGTGCGACCGATGGCTGGAGGCTCGGGCTTGCGTGGTTTGCCATCCCTCTTGCGCTTCTTTGCATCATCTTTCTCCTCCGTCTTCTCCTCCGTCTTCTCCGTCTTCTCCTCTGCCTTGTCCTCAGCTTCTCCGTCCTGCTGCGGGCTGTCTACCTTGGCATCCGCTTTGGTATCCGCTTTGGTATCCGCTTTGGCGTCCACCTTGGCATTCTCTTTGCTCTTTTCTTTGCCATCGCCCTCTTCCTCGCTGCCTCGTGCGAGAACCTCAAAGTGGAATTCGACAGAGTCAGCGCAAGATATGAAGACAATAACCTTCATGACCGAGCCTCTCCGTGCAAAAGCCCGCTTCAAAACTGCAATGAGCGTAACCAAGCGCAGCTTCGCCGGAACGACAGCGTAAGACTGCTTCAACTGCGCAGGAGCAGAGAAGGCCGCGTCCTGCATTTCCGTGTCTTCTTCCTCGTTCTTGTCCTTTGGATCTGCTTGGATGTGCACCGCTTCCTTCAAACTGATTTCTCCTAGCCTTTGAACGTCCATCTTCATGGTCGCAGAGCAAAGAATGGTCATGCGTTTCTCAGGTAGCCCCGGTATCCTGGCCCTGGCTGCCTTCATCCGCAGATTCAATGTGCCTACGATCTTCTGAATCTCGTTTTCGAAACCAAGCTCCATCAAACGATCGCCTTCATCCAGGACCAGCCATCGCACGTTGCTCACGTCCAGCGCCTCGGTATGTTCCAGATGATCCGCCAGCCGACCAGGCGTTGCGACCAGGATATTTAGACCCTTCCGGACCCTAGCTTTCTCCGACTTTTTCTTCTCCCCACCAATCACGGTTCCTGGGACAATCCAGTGCGCGCAACGCAGTACATTCTCCAACACAACTGATATTTGCTTGCTCAGCTCGCGCGTAGGAGCCAAAACGATCGCGAACAGTCCTGAGTCTCTATGCACCTTATCTCCCATGGCAATGAGTCGTTGGACGATGGGCAGAAGGTACGCCAGCGTTTTACCCGAACCCGTCTGAGCCTGTATGAATGCGTCGGAGTTATCCTTTACAAGTTGCGATATCGCTGCCTTTTGAATGGCCGTCGGCGCCTTGATTTGCATTTTATTCAGCATGTGATTTGCCAACTGCGTCGAGAGGCCCAGCGAGGTAAAGTTCTCGAGTTCCGGCGAAAGTGGAGCGTTGGAGGGTTGGACCTCTTCACCATCCTGGGGCTGTTCTGGTTGGACTTCGGTTTTCGTAGTGGACTCCGGGTTGAAGGTGAAAAGGGAAGAGATGAATTGTCGGGGCGCGCCGTTCTTGCCAGCATTTTGCCCAGCATTTTGTCCAGCCTTATGTCCAGCATTGGCCGGGCGGAACTCGTCGTCGACACGCTGCCGCTTGTTCGGTCTGGGGTCCCTGTTGTCGCCAGCATTCCTAGAAGGGGCGCCATCGACTGCGGGCTTGGGATCGGAAGACCTTTTGGCCCGGTGAGCAGCAGCTTTTTTTGCGGTTAGCCTGTCTTTCCAGCGGCCACCCTTGAAGGTGGGCTTGACGACGAGGGGACCATCGCCCAGGTCGAAGTTCATCAGCATGCCATCGTCGGCCATTGTGCAGGGTTGGGGCGTGGAAAAGACCGCGCGCGCAAGTTTGATGTTTGCTCTGCGATGGGAAGTTTGCGGCGGGAAATTTTTGGGGAGAGGCACGAGAGGCACCGAGAAGCGGCGACTATCTCCGGCCTAACTCCAGCCAGTCACGTGCAGGCTTATCCCGGCCATGACAAGCTCCACGGCGCACATTGGAGCACGACAAATCTGCTCGACAAACATCAGCACAGGGGCTCCCCATGGACCGTCTTTACGCTCCCGACACGAATCCCGGTTGAAGGTACTGCCGTATACCCACGATACCCACCACACGGTCCGATCCATAACCTCTTTCGACCCCTGCGACAAGAAGCGAGTGATCTTCGCCGCACCAAGCAAACAAAGGCTCTCCTGATCCTTCTCAAGCCATCATGCTTCGTTCTTTTACAAGTACATCCAGTCGTGCATCGAGCGTAATTGCAGGCATACGAACCATGAGCTCCACCGCCGCGCCCAAGTTCCAGATCTTCCGCGAGGTTGCTCCTCTCCGAGCCTACCGCCGCCAGCAACTCCTCAACCAAAAGTCCGTGGGCCTGGTGCCTACCATGGGCGCCCTGCACGCTGGCCATCTTTCTCTCGTCCGCCAGGCCGCCCAGGAAAACGACGATGTCTTTGTCACCATCTATGTGAACCCCACCCAGTTCGGCGTCAACGAGGACCTGGACAGTTACCCCAAGACCTGGGACTCGGATCTGGAAAAGCTGCATGCCCTTGACCAGGAATTGGCTTCCAGCTCTGCCCGTGGCCGGATTTCCTCCATTTTTGCTCCGACTAGCAAGGTCATGTACCCTACCTTGCCGCCGTCTTCTGAGATTGACGGCCACGGATCCTTTGTCACCATCACTCCTCTGGCAAACAAGCTGGAGGGTGCCTCTCGGCCGGTCTTCTTCCGTGGTGTAGCCACTGTTTGCACGAAGCTCTTCAACATTGTCCAACCGGACAAGGCCTATTTCGGCCAGAAGGACATCCAGCAGACAGTCATCATCCGCCGCATGATTGAGGATTTCCACATCAACATGGAGTTCCGCCTCGGGGACACTCAGCGCGAGGCCGATGGTCTGGCAATGAGCTCGCGCAACGTGTACCTGGGGGCGCGGCGCCGCAACGTCTCCACAATTCTGGTGCAGGCGCTGCGCCGCGCAGAGGAGCAGTACAAAGGCGGGCGCCGCAAGCGCGATGACATCCTCTGGCCCGCGCACGACCTGACCAACAGCAAACTCATGGAGCAGGAAGAGCTGCCGCCATCACAGCGCGCCCTCTATGATGTCGATTATATCTCTCTCGCGGACCCGGACACCCTGGAGGAGGTCGACGTTGTCGACGAGAAGAAGGGCGCCATCCTCAGCGGCGCTATCAAGATGAGACCTCTGGAGGAACCGCAGGAGGGCGAGGACAGCGGCCTCGGCGAGGGCGCGGTGCCCGTCCGCTTGATTGATAACCTCATCCTTGCGCCGGGCGCGTGAGCTCTTCCGTGCTGTCTTGTCGAGTAGTGTAAAATACCCATTTTGCTGTTGCGAGCGTGCTTGCGCTTTGTAGGTACTTTGATTTATGCAATCAGCATGATGTTTGTGGCATGGTTGAGCGTAGATGGGGCAGGGCAGGTTTTTGCTCGCTGTTTGTCGTCGTGGCTCTGATGGTTAGATCTGCGGCTGACGGCTCTTCAGTACAAACGTTTGTCCAAATCAAGATTTGTTTCCGTGGCCATCGTAGCCGATTCTTGTCGTGTTAAAAACCTTGGAAACGTCAAAACGAGCATCGCAGTATATATTCATGAAAAATCTGAAGACTACCTAGGCACAAGACTGAGCGTGGTCGCTGATATCTTCTGTCATTGTATATGAACAATGGCCTATCTTCCAAGTCAACGCAGGTGTCTTTGTTCCGATCTCTGTCGCTTGCGATTGTGTCTTGCCGTAGGGACGTTCCTGTTCATTCGAAAGAAGACCCTATGTCGGCTATGGAGCTGTTAGGAGCATTGGGTGCGATTTGGTCGACAAGACCTCGCCCACATCCACCTTTAGCAGTCTCGGCACAAGGCAGTAAGAGATGCGCGCCCCTCGTGTACGAGCACTTCGCTCCGTGCAGGTCTGTATTACGGGACACTGACATGTTAACCAAGCCAGCTGCGGCTTGGGAAGGAGGGTCGCGAGGTTCATTCATTTAACCCCAGCCTATTCACATCAACGCAGATCAGGACTAGCTCACTGGGAATGTTAACAGCCGCACCTTTTCGGATTCACCTTGCACCGTCATTCATTCACTTCAGCTTATCGCGGGTTTATCTTCCGCGCCCACGATCTTTCTCAACCTCTTCCTCTCCACCCACGCCCGAACGACTCTTCTGAACTTCTGCTTCATACAACTCTTGCTTCTTGCTTCCAACAGCCTTTTACTTCAAACGCAAAGCTTCCAGCGCCTCTTCAAGGCTTCGCTCTCGCGTTTACCACGAACCGCGCTTGTCGCATCTCGTCCAAAGCACCGCTTCGCAGCAGACACTTGTCTCCGGACTTCACTTCATCTTCCACTACCCATCCTTCAACCTACTTCCTTCAATCCTCCACATCGACGTCACCAAAATGGACCGTCCTACCCAGAACCCGACCTCCGGCGACGCTGCCGACGTCAACATTCCCATCACCCCGGCCCAGAGTGCCCGTCTGTCTGAGCTGCTCAACATTGTCACCCAGGGCGCTCAAGCTATCGGCGAGGAGTTCGGCCATGTCACTCCTGATATGTGGGTTACGATCTTCGGAAAGATCTTCCCTGGTAAGTATTCGTCTGCCTTGGTCTTGTTGATGCGGCGGCTCTGACTTAACCAAAGAGCACGGCGAACAGACCGACGAGAATGTCTCCCATGAGCATTCCGCTCAGCAGGCTGACGACAACAATGCGTCCGCTGCCACCGACGCTGCCTCAGCTATTCCTTCCCTCGCCGAACTCACCGCCCAGATCGTCCAGGACCATTTCCCCAAGCAGCAGCTCAAGAAAGCCAAGGTCAACCTCAACATCGCGCCCGCGAACGCCACGACCGCTCAAGTCACCAAGGCCCAGCGCAGCCCCGAGTGGGCCCTCATCATCAAGTACGGCGACCCTCGCGCCTCGATGAGTGCAGACGAGCTGGCCAGTACGCTTGTTGTCTGGAGGCGCTGGTACGGCTGGGCCCCCGCCTTGAACGTCTTTGCCCAGGCCAAGGTCGCCTCGCGTGCTGTCTGCGAGCTTATGAACGATCAGCCTTGGCTCTGCCCTTGGGAGACGGAGGTCTGGCAGAAGTCCAAGCGCGAGTTTGCTACCAAGAAGGTGGCTGATCTCAGGGCTGCCGGCGACAACAACAAGGCTAGCATCTTGGAGAGCTTCTTGGGCGTCGTGTCTGAGGGAGGCGCTTCGCAGCCCTTCGCCAACATCTTAGAGCCTGCTACTGTGCAGCGCCTTGCGAACACCACTGTCGGTGAGACAACCCAAGAGCCTGTCTTCTCTAACACTCAGAACACGCCTGTCATCGATCTAACCACCCCCGATGATCAGAATCCCGCCGTCGGCCAGGACAGCCACGAGCACTTCACTGAGCACACCCATCACGCATCTACCACCGAGCGTGAGACGACCATCGAGCTGAAAAACGCCATCGCGGAGCTCACCTCCGAGATCGCCGCCGAGAAGCTCAATCATCACATTCACACATCTCCCATCGGCCAGATCACCGCCGCCGACCATGAGCCTGCCATCGAGCAGCGCAACCAGCAGATCCCCGTCGAGCACACTTCCATCCATGACCAAATCGGACAAGGTCCCGAAGGCGCCTCCGAGCGCGAGATGGTCGGGTCCCTGGGCCCAGAGACCCCGACCAAGATCCGCGATGACACTGACAACAATGCTCCCCACTCTCGCGGCAGAGAACGCGTCCAGCAGCAGACGCGCCGTGAGCGTCAGCGCTCGCGCTCTCCCCAGCGCGACGAGCAGCGCGCGCACTCCCGCTTCCGAGACCGCTCCCCTCTCAGCGCGCGCGCGCACCGCGTCCCCTCTCCCCCTCCTGCCGCCGCCGACGACGCTGAGAAAGAACTTTCCGACTACGAAGATATTGAGAACCGGGAGCATACGCCCGTAATCCCCAGGCCTAACCTGCGCTTGTCCGAGGCGCTTCCTGCGTTGTTCGCCCCCCGCTCGCCCGGCGCAGAGCACTCCTCGAGGGCGCCGCGCATGCGCCGTCCCGCTATGGACCCCTTCTCCTTCGACGACTCCCCGCGCGACGACAACGAAGATGACGACACGGATAAGTCGTCTGAGCACACCGGCACTGCTGCTGCCGCTGTCGATGTCGACGTCGACGTCGGCCCTCATTCTCACTCTCACTCGCAGTCCAACTCCTTTTCCAACTACCGCGACAACGTCATCGACCTCGGTGACGACGACGATGAGGAGGAGGACGACGAGGATGTCGACCCATACTCTCAGGCGCACTCCCAGGCCTACTACCACAACAACGGCATCGATCTTGGCGACATCATCGATCTCGACGACGTCGACGAGGAGGATGTCGAACTTTACTCCCACCCGAACGCGTACACCCGCTTCCGCGACAACGTCATCAGCCTCGACGACGACGACGACCAAGCTGCTGACCCCTACACCCGCTCGCACACCAACACCTACTCGCACTACCACAGCAACGTCATCGACCTTGGCGACTCCTCCTCTTCCTCCGACAACAACAACGACGAGGACACCCCCTCCTCCTACCCGCGTGCCTGGCTCGCCGCGGCCCGCGGCCCCAACCCCGCAGTCGCAGCCGACATCCCCATCCCCAGCGTCGAGACGGACCAGATGGCGCTGTTCCCTTTGCCGCGGGCGCCGACTCCGCGCGCGCAGTACGGCTTCCTCGGGCGCACGAGCCCGTTCCCGCTGTACCCCCTGTGTGCGGGCATGTCTACTAGCGACATGCTCGGCAGTGGCCAGGGCGGCTTGAAGCGCCGCGCTTACGAGGACATTGTTCCTGAGGCTGTGGAGGAGCGCGGCGGCTCGTTCAAGAGGCGCGTCATGGGGTGGGGTGGTGACGATTGGGAGCTGTGAGGTGCTGGGGGGTCTGTATTTGTAGTTTGCTGTTTGCTGTTTTCTTTCTTTTTTCTTTTTGTTCTTTTTTCCTTTTCCTTTCATTTTTGTTTGTTCTTTTTTGATTTCCTGCTTCCCTGATTTCTGTTCCTGATTTCAGTTCCTCACCCACCCCAGGCATCGCTCACAGGCCCCAGCAACCTACACCCGCAGCAGCAGCCGTCGCAGACACGTCGCAACCTTGGCATTGCCGTTTGTGCGCGTTCGTTACCAGCAGCAGAGCCGGGAGTGCCCGGATTCTTGCATTGGCGACGAGCGGCGCACTTACAGGCAGCGGCCGGTTCGGCGTGCTTGCGTACGGGCCGCGGCTGTGCGGCGTAGGAGCCGTTTCCTTTCCCTCTTTAGGGGGGATCGTGGATGTGCTGGCTGGGTACCCTTGACCTGGTGGTCTGGGGGGTGGTTTGTGTATATGTAGGGTTTTGCGCGTTGATGCGTTGAGTTTTTGCGAGTTTGGCGAGTTTTGCGAGTTTTGGCGAGAGGTCTGGGTAGAGGGCTTTTTGGGGGGAAGGTTTTGGGTAGATGGCGCTTGGCGCAGAGAGGTTGCGGTGGTGGGGCCGTGGGAGAGAGTTGAGCTGTGTTATACTTAGACACAGCACTGCACTGCACAGTACAAGAATGCTTGAATTTTTCGACTCTGCCATTTACTTGTTATGTTTGTGAAGATCAGCTATTCAAGTCTCTGGTCTCAGTACCAAACCCACCACCACGACCCAAGCTCCCCATGCCTCGAAGTAAGACCAAACTCACTGCTGAGATCGAAGGTGAGGAAGCAGGTACACGAATCAACTCCGATAGCGCTCCGCTTTCTCGTCGCTCAGTCAGTGTCACTGTGTCACAGGACCTTCGGTAACCGTTACCGAACGTACATATCACTGACTGATCCAACGACAAACAAGGCGCTTGAGGCGCTCAAAGTTTGTCACTGAGGTGGTGGGATATCTTGGTAGCTAGATGGATGGGGGTTGCGGAGGGGCTTGGTTGGTGGATGAGGTGGCAGTGAGTGTTGTGAGAGCTGTATCGGGGGTGCGGAGGCAGGTTTGGGGGTTGTGAGGGTGCTGATGGGAGGGTGAGGTGTGGATGGGTTGTTGAGTATGGTTTGAGGAGTAATGGAATAAGTGCGTACGTGGAAGCTGTGGAGTGTCCGCTTGAGAAATCAGTGGGCTGGATGCTGCTGTATGTAATGGATACTTCACGTTATATGTCAGGCCGTCCGTCCGATTAGTCTAATAGTATATTGATTAGGCTGATAACGTGCAGGCATGTGTCTATCTGCACCTCAACGGCTGTCGCATGTGTGGGTATTAAACCAGCCAACGATTCCCTCCTTGATTGGAAACCTTGGTTGGTGAAAAGCAGTAAGAAGATAGCCAATCGGTGCAAACCTATCCGAGACTCAACGCAGAGCACGTGAGGTGTCACATGAAGCCACTTGCTGCCTGGGCCGTGAACATAGAGTTTTGTACGTGCTCGCCAATGGAGTCGGTTTGACCCAACAAGATCTGCCATCCTGGCTATTTTCGCACTCATGGCCCGATGCCCCAGCCGGCTGCCGTGGTCGCTTCGCCGCGCAGAGGCGATGCGGGACAAGATGACAAGATCCGCATCGCATCGGAAGATACTGACATGGACGTCGAGTGTTACCGGTGAACGCCTTCGGCGTCAAGTATTTGAAAAGGTTCTCACAACCTCAATGCGGAGCTAGTCGCTTTGGCTGACGAATCGACGATGCTTCGGCAAGCTTTGGCCCCGAGGCTTTGGGACGCCGTGGCTAGCATCCCCTTCATCCCCGCCCTAATTGGTTTGCCTGTCTAATCCCTGGAACATGCCGCGACGCTCATTCCCTGCAAGGGCCACTAGCCCCAGCTGGTTGGACGACGAACAAGGATATGCATATATCTGTATGTACAAACAGCATGCCGATCGACCAAGTCTTCTCACGCATCTCGGCTATCGTGATTGTCATCGCTTATAGACGCATGCTGGTCCGCTTGGCCAAAGTAATGCGGTATATATTGGAAGCACCTGGCTGTGTTTCCTCTCACCCATCTCATACCATTCTACCACAGCTTTCCTTGTCGCAAGCACTCTGTCAGCCAATATACAATTACATTATACTCTTTTGACCATGAGGACCCACGTTGCGCTTCTTGTTCTCTTAAACTGCTTGCTCATTTGGAGCTTTCAGCCGCCTGTGATGAAGCGACTCTCAAATACAATCCACTCCGATGTCCATCCTACGATACCAAAATCCGGATCCACGGCTATTGGGAGCACATCACCCGGACAAACCATCCGCAGTACCATGGACGTTGTCCCTATCCGCACAATATACCCGTTGAAAACGCTGTCGCCATACGAAAGACACGCGAACAGTTACTCACCAAGTTGTATAGTCGCCAAACCCTCTCAGGCCAGTGTTCGTACCACACCCAGCTCGGTCAATCGCTCTCGGGACACAGATTCAATTTCAAATACCCCTACGACTAGTAGTGCCTCGTTCGGATGCCCTACAGACCTTAAAGGCCAGTCGGGAGGTTTCAGCAGTGACCTTGCTGTTGCGATACTGTTCGGAACACTCAGTTTCGTAACTGCACTGGTGAACATTTGGCTCCAATACGAGGCTTTGCAGAGGCAGGACCTAAACGTCGGTATGTTAATTTATTTGCACGGTGAAAACGATCATTCACGCTGATATTTTCAGAGCGGGGAGCTTGAAAAACTCAAAAATCCTCTCATGACGTTCACTGTTTGCAGTAATCAATTCGAGATTGTTGTACGGTCTTTACGGTTTACGATTGATGAGGGATGATCAACAAGAGGGCAACAAATTTATGGGTAGAGTGGTCAGGTTTTGACCTCCGTGTTTTCTATGCAAGTATCGATTAGCTATAGAGATGAACGTAAGCTTTATTGTGTGTAAAAACAAGAGCATGTCATGAGCAATGTAACCAGTGCACGGTCGCAGCACTCGCCACAAGCAGGGTACGACGGAAATCAAAGATATGCGAAACAGGCCACCGTACAAATCAGTTCAGCCACACTCACGGCAGACACATAGGCTGCCGAACTCGAGCTGCTGAACTCGAGCTGCAGGAATTCATATCCCCGCTCCGAACCCGTCTGACCCGTGAGCTAGAACAGGACCTGGCAACCAAAAGTCCGGCGTCGACGGCGTTAGGTGTGAAGGTGGTAGTTTTGAGCCCCAACGAAGTTCTGTGTCTGGGCAGGCCATGAAGATGGTATGTAGCCAAACTTTCGTTGGAGTTGCCACGTGACCTGGACCATGGGCGGGTTGGACTTCGCGAGTGCTCGGTGGATGAGTTGAGACGAGACTCCGAAAAAAGATCGTTGGGCAGAGGGTTGTAGAAAGAAAAAAGTAATATAGTTACGCGTTGATTGGACTAGCCAACGACTGCACTGCGTCGCAAGAACATTGATGTGGAAGATACGGCCATGGTCGTCATGTGTCACCGGTGAGAGAGACTCGAGTAATCAGAGAGCAGAGTGTCGGCAGTCGGCACCTCAGTGGTAGTGTCCTCTGTGGGGGCGAGGTGGGCGGATCGCACGACGGCAGTAATGTGGCTGACGGTAGAGGGGTCTCTGTGGGTGCGATGTGGGCGGATCGCACGACGGCAGCAATGCGGCTGACGGTAGGGGGTGGTATGTACGGCGGCACGAAGACTGACCGAGGGCAGTGCAATACGGTTTTAAATATGGAGGTCCGTGTCTGGAGTTGATTGGTGGATGCTTGAACGGCCTTGGACAGCGATTGGTAAATTGAAGTTTTGCGGGTAACGATCGGGTCGTCGTTCTGGGTTGGAAGGTTGCTTGCTGCCGATCCTTTTTATCTCCCGTGCAGGAATTGTTCAAAATCGCTCCTGCAGGCCAATGGCAAGCGATGGTCACCACATACAACGTTCTGTCGCACACTCTACTCACTTATAAAACTACCCTCTCGCCACGTAAAACTCTTCTGTTTCAATGTCATGCTTCTGCCTTCGAGACCCCAAATTGACACAAAGCCGAACACTACAACATCCTTTTATCCTCTATTAGCTCGCCATCAAGACAGTTTGGGTATCTATTTGGCCCAACGAGACATATCCATCTGCTGTTCTCTTCCTTGGGTATGAGGACCTACATCATGTTTTTTATTTTACTTGCCTCTCTGTCCGTTTGGAGCGTGCTACTGCCTGTGACAGGACAAGTCTTGAACACAAGCAGTCCGGCGACAACCGAATCCACGATCTTCGCTTCTAAGAGCATGCCGCTTAGTGAACACACTTGGCCTGTTTCTCCGACATGCCTGAGGAAGAAAACAATGTCACCCTACGAGCTGGGCCACGCGAATAGTTACTCACCGAGTGTGGTTACCAAACCCTCTCGTATTGTTGCTCAGCCCTCGGCCAGCTCGATCAATCATTCTCAAGATGGAGGTATAAGCATCCCCACTACGGCCAGCGCCTCCTACCAGTGCCCCACCGACCAGGACCAGGCTGCAGTATTCGATAGCGATCTATTCGTCGCAATTTTGTTCGGGACTCTCAGCTTTGTGACTGCGATGGTTAATATTTGGCTTCAATATGAGGCTCTGCAGAGGCGAGACCTGAACGCTAGTGAGTCTTTCGGACGGCAAATATGATTTCTAAGCTGATGTTTCCAGGGCAAGGAGGGGGAGCTTGAGTGATGCCTTCTCTATGGCTCAAAAGACTTCCGAGGGTATATGTTGACGATGGAGAGAGTTGCTTTGAAAGCGACGGCGGCTGGGCGAGGCGTTCGGTATTTAGCCCTCGGGTTTTCTGCGCAAGCACTGAAGGATTGGCATGTTAGTTAGGTACCATGAAAGAAAATAGACAACAGAAACAGATTCTTCTGTAGAAGTACAGCGACCTAGTACTTCGTCACATGGACAGACATGAGCATGTCACGAGCGATGTGACCTGTGCCCTGCCACAGCACTCGCCATAGGTTGAAAGCGAAGCGACTCATGATGGCGGTGGTAGTAAGTTTGGCGAGGTGGAGAAGTGTCCAGCGTGCGCTGCCGACTAGGTGCCGACCGCGTGCGCTGTGAGTTGAGTTCGCTGATGCTGACGTCAACCTGCAGATACGCGTCTGATTCGTGATCTGAAACTGCCAATAGATAACTAAGAGCCGTGATAGGCTTTCGAGGTCGTAGTTTTGAGCCTAAAGGTCCTGTGGATTGTAGCGGCATCGACATAGTCGACTTTGGCTCCGTGACGCCTGACGGTGTGTATGAGGTGGAGATTGATTCCATGAAGGTTTTCTGTGCCCCATACCTGCGTCGGTAAGGTGTGTGTTGTTTTTCACTTCAAATAGCTGAATCGCTATAGATATTTCTGAGAAAAGATTGGCGATTTTCACACACGCACAACGCGTTCATCGGCCAGGGTGAGAGGGGCCGCGGCGAGTTCTGGTCCTAGATCGTACGAGTAGAAGAAACTGCAATGAACCGCAACGCGTCCCGAGAAATCCCGGAGGCAAGAGGCGCACTGCGGATGACGGCGCTAGCCAGAAACGGCTTGGCTTGAGGCAATGCACTTGCTTTACCACTTTCCTGCAGCCCCTGTCGCTCGCTCAGGTGGCGAAAACCCACCGCATTGGCCAGAAGTCATTGACCATGCTCATTGGCCAGAAGTCATTGACCATGCTCATTGGCCATGCTCAAACTCTCCCACGACTGTTCTTTAAGGCTTCTGTCACTTACTTTCCTTCTTACCTACTATCCCCCAATCTTCACATAGATCTCGACACCATCCCAATCTTTTGATTTTAAAAAATATATTCACCATGAAAACACACATCATGCTTCTCATATTCTCCAGTTGCCTAGAAGTTTGGGGCATGAAGCTGCCGAACGCAAGCGACCTCGACTATCCTGGGACACCGGAGCCTAAGGCTACGACTCCTGGGGGCACGTCACTTAGTGGACTCGCCTGCAGTACTATGATTGCCGTCCCTGTTCGCACGGAATACCCATTGAAGGAAACATTGTCGCCGTACGAGGGCCATACAAACGGTTACTTGCTGAGTAGGGTCGCTAGATCTTCTCGGGTCGCCAGTTCCTCTCAGATCGCCAATCCCTCTCGGCTCGGCACCCAGTCCACGAAACATCCCGAGCATGACGCAACTCCCGTCCCGTCGCCAAGCTGCTGCACCAAGCATCTTGCTCATGAAGCCTCAAACAACACTAGCGCCTCGTTCCAGTGCCCTACAGATCTTCCGGGTCAGTCTACGGCGTTCGACAACGATCTCTTTGTTGCAATTCTATTCGGTGTACTTGGCTTTGCCACAGCTTTGGTCAACATCTGGCTTCAATATTTAGCTTTGCAGAGGCAGCAATTTTACGCTGGTGAGTTTCACCTAATGTTAGTGGTGGTAGGGGCAATGCACGCAAGGCTTACGCGAATTATTTCAGGTCGAGGAGCGCGAATCTGACCACAGATAGACATCCTGTTCGACTCGAAGGTATTTGGCGATATGTGCTTTTTTCTTCCATAGACTAAGTTGTCCGTGATGCGAAGTTTTTCTACTGTTATTAGTAGATGTAGGGTTTACATATAGAAAACACCAGTCTCTGGGCGAAGTAGTTAGCGAAATGGCTAATGCAACTCTGGCACATGAATATGAAAGTGAAGGTAGAGTAGCGACCAGAAAAGACACAAAGTTGTGGAAATGTGAAGTGTGGAAGCGTAGGGTGCGGAGGCTTGAGACGTGGAGGCGTGGGGTGCGGAGACGTGAGATGCAGAGAAGTTGGATACGGAAGCGTGAGATACGGAGGTAACCCGTGGACTGAAAAACAACCTTTGCTTTGATTTTCTTCGTAGCGAGGCTGAGAACTTTTCGTGCGAAAAGTGATAGGATGGGAGACTTTATCACGTGCAGTGATCACAAATGCGCCTGACCATCGCGCCGGACGGCAGATAGGGCCGATGTAGCTCCTGTGAGGGTAAAGCGGCGAAGCAGGGTAGATAGGTAGTAAGCTATCGTGCTATTCGAGCCAAAAGTCGGTGATGGTGATTGGGCCAACTGTATAGAGGAGGTGGATTGATTCGATGGTGGCCTTGGCTTTTTTGTTTCCCTCACCTTGAAATAGCCGCAGGTACATACATGGCGTTCACTTCCTTTTGTCGCTTAATTATTTTGAGGCCGTTACTTGCATGCAGCCTTTCCGGTGCGCACACTAACTACCCAATGGCGTCACGCTGCCGGACGTAGCACAGCACCATTTCCCGGCTCCGTCATTCGCCCGCCTCTGATCGCGGTCAGTATGGAGGGGGATTCTCGTCGCGGCTGATGCGGCTTGGCGTTCAACACCTGTCGACTGGGTTTACACAGCCGTCCTCCCAGGCATATTAATACCTAGTAGAGTCCACTCTGCCTCAAGAAAGCGCTCGTTAGCATCCTATACACTGAGCTCCAGACATACCTGCCCCATCACCATGAGAACCTACTCCAAACTATTTATTCTTCTCCATATCACATTTGTTTGGAGTATGCAGTCACACGTGATTGGCTCATCCACAAACACCAGCACCTACAACAATTCTGCTGTTTCTTGGGGTGCATCACGTGGCCAGCACGCCTGCACCACCATGCTTGTCGTACCTGTCGGCACACCATCATCAAGGGAGACACTGTCACCCTACGAAGGCCGGAAGGCTGGATACTCGTCCAGTGAGAGCTCTAGCGCCAACCCTACTCGTATCGGATCTCGGCCCTCAGCCCAGTCCCCCACATCCACAAAGAGTAGAACAACGGATTCTTATTCGCCAGACTCGGCCAAGCATTCCTGCGGGTGCGCGGGGGCCTCGTCGAATATCACTAGCGCCTCGCTTCCTCCCAATCAGTCAGCAGCATCCGGCAGCGATCTCGCGGTTGCAATCCTGTTTGGCATACTGAGCTTTGCGACTGCAATGGTCAACATTTGGCTGCAGTACGAAGCTTTGCAGGTGCAGAGGCAAAACATGCCTGTGAGTAGCTCCGTGCGACGTGAAGAAGGCTTTTGCTAATTGACATGTAGAACCAGTAGCTTGAAACCGATTGGGCGTCTCGTTGGACACCAATAACTCCGAGAACAATCTTGACCAAAGAACTGCCAGGCCATACTATTTCACGGAACTCCAAGCTCTTTCGCTTCATTGAGATTTGAAGGGTTCGTCGTCGGGCGCTACATGGCATACATGGGTGGTGGTGGATACTTGGTGTTTGGTTTATAGCTTTCTTGCGCGACAACTGAGATTTGCGTGCGTCGGATAGGTGTTATGGAGTATAAGAGGGCAAGGGGAAGAGGTGGATGTATAAATAAAGATAGATGGACGTGAATTGAAAGTTTTGCGCTAAAACCACCGTTGCGGGGCGAGGGTGCACTGTTCGAGATCTGGCTTGAAATGACCACATCACCGCCGCCCTTGTCCGCTCCTTCTCCAGTCTAACGCAACCGCAACGCGCTAACCAACTACCGTTTGACCCGCGTCGCAGACGTCTCTCATTTTCTCCGACCGACACTCCTGTCACCGTCACCGCCCAGCCGTCCCGTTCCTCTCACCATGATCCGGCGCATCGCGCACTGAAACACGGTCGACAACGCTAGCAGCTTGGCGAATTCCAATTGATAGCGCGGGGCAGCCAAGATGGGCAAACACGTTCTCTCCACCGACGAAGAGCTTGGCAAGCGGGACGATGACCACATCCCGGGGACGGCGCGGGCCTGGAGCTCGAAGAAGCTGCCGCTCGCGGTACACTATCGGCGGAGGAGGGTCGCCTCGGCCATCATATCGGGTCTGCTCGTCTGGCTGCTGTACCATGTATTCACAGCGACCCAGTCGGATCCCTTTGACGACTATGTTGGCGGAGCGCCGCCTGGTGGACACCCTGTTGCGCGCGACCGCCCGGTCGCGCCCCGTGGCGCCCCGCCGATGACAGCGGGGGAGGACGACTTGGACGTGGCGAAGCACTACTATAACGGTCGGATCAAGTACTACGAGCTTGGAGAATCGCTGCACGCGATCAGCAAGACCAATGGGCATCGTCCGGAGAACAAGAACGTGCTGTTCGCCGCATCGCACCTGCAGAGCGTTTCGACTTTGATTCCTCTAGCGTGCGAGATGGCCAAGTGGAACCGAAATAACGTGCATTTTGCAATCATGGGCAGGCATGACGTTGCGCTGAGTGACATCCTGGAGATCAATGGCGTGGACCTCGAGGGCTGTCCTGTCTACTGGCACGATGCGCGCCCGGACTATGTCTTGTACAGCTCCGATTTACGGGCTGAAATGAGCACGGCTGCCGCCATGACACACATCCACACGTTTATGCACCCTCAGGCTGTGATTATGGATGATTCGTACAGGGAGGATGTGTTTTTCGTGAAGGGTCTTCGTACGAGGGCAAACGACGAGAATATACCTGTCATTGAGATACCGATGGATAAAGCTGAGGGGCTTGAATGGCTGACAAGGCTAGATTCTGCGTCTCTGAAAGCGTGGCATCGGCCGAGCATTGATGTTCTCATTCACGCGTCGCCGCAGGCAACTGGCTCGTTGGTCAGGTTGATCAAGTCCTTGCAAGAAGCCGACTATTCGGGCCTGAAGCCGCCTCGACTCATTATAGAACTGCCGGCAAACACGGACACGTTCACGCTCCAGTTCTTGGAAAGGCTTGTGTGGCCGCCACCGTCAGGATTTAGAGTGCTGCTTCACAATCCAGACCAAGTCATCCTCAGACACCGCATCCCAAACAGCAAGGTCTCAGGCGAAGAAGCGTCCATCCGCTTCCTCGAGTCCTTCTACCCCACCACAAAGCACGACTCGCACGTCCTTCTCCTTTCATCCAACGCGCAGCTCTCCCCGCTCTACTACCACTACCTCCTCTTCCACCTCCTAGAATACAAATACTCGGCCTACGAAGGCTACAACAGCCCCTCGCACCTCCTGGGCATCAGTCTGGAAACACCGTCCTACTACCTTAACGGCACAACGCCCTTCAACGCGCCCACGCTCTCTGCCATGCGCAGCGAGAAATACACGCAGCTGCAGGCGGGGCACGAAGATGCCCTTGTGCCGTTCACATGGCAAGCGCCCAACGCGCACGCAGCCCTCTACTTCGGCGACTTCTGGCCAGAGCTGCACTCGTTCCTGAGTCTGCGTCTCGCGGCCTTCCGGCGGCAAACCAAGCCGCAGCCGCGCCCCCGCTCCCTCCACGAAAGCGAGCCCATCTGGACAGAGTACTTCCTCGAGCTGATGCGCGCGCGCGGCTACTTCTTGCATTTCCCCAGTCTCAGCGACTCGGATGCCCTCGTCGCCCTGCACGGCGAGCTGTACACCCCGCCCGAGGAAGCGCTGCCCGCACCCACAGACGCCGACGCCGCCGCGGGCGCCGACGCTCCCGCCCCCTCTGAGACCGCGGCGCCGTTCCTCGTTGCCCCAGACACGCCGGCCGCGCCTCCATTGGCCGCGGAACCGCCGCTCGCGCCCCTCACACGCCCCCTTCACCAAGTCCTTCCCTTCGACGCTAGCGCCCCGGAACTGCGCCATCTCCCGCAGCTAGCGCATACGGGCGAGGAGCTCGAAGTCGGGGCCTCGGCCGAGGCGACGGAGGAGGTGAGTCTGAAGTTTAGGCGCAGCGTGGGTGGGTGCGCGGAGGTGTTGGGTGGGGAGGCAGAGGTGGGGAAGAGGGAGTGGATTGTTAGTGAGGGGAGTGCGCGGGACTTGTTCTGTTTTGGGGAGGGGGACGTGTGGGTTGAGAAGGATGCGGAAGAGGAGGAAGAGGGGAAGAAGAAGGGTGCTGCTGGTGAGAAGAAAACTAGTGCGCGCAGCGAGGGGAAAGAAGACGCGACACCCCCGCGTACAAAAACTGAGTCTGACATTGAGGCTGGTGCGGAGGCCAAGACCAACGGCAACAGCAACGGCGACGGCAAGACTGACACCGACACCGAGATCGAGGTCCTAACCCAAGACGCCGCGGACGCAATGGCAGAGTCGACGCGCCAGCAGGTCAATGCCGGTAGAGCGGCTGCTGCGGCAGCAGATCGTGAGAGCGAGAGCGCGCGGAGGAGTAAGCTTGATAGTGGGGTTGAGGTTGAGAGCGAGGAGAGGCCGGATAAGGGGCTGAGGATGGCGGCTTAGGTGGTTCGTTGGCTGGGTTGGTGGGTAGGTGGGTGGTACTTATGGTTGGTGGGGTTGGGTTGGGTTGAGGGGGGTGAGGTGAGGGTGGGGTGGGGTGGTGGCGTTTTATATCATCGTGTTGTGGGGTATGGAGTATGAAGTATGAGGGGTTTGATGTGGGTTTGTGTGCAGGGTTTGTGTGGTTGTGTGATCGATGGATGGATGGGTGGGTGTATGCCTTTGTAAAGCGCAGTTTCCCGCCCCGCCCAGCACAATGGAGGGCGGGTGCCTTAATTTGTGCTTCTTTTGTGTTCCGCTCCGCTCCGCTCCTCTGCCCTAGGTGCTGTTCCGTTCCGTTCCGTATCGTCACCACCAATCAGTTCCGCGCTGCTGTTTATCTGCTTAGGTGTATGCGTACAGATTATAGCTAGGCTAGGTTTGTTAAATCTTGGTTTTATTTAACCCTCGCATAAGTAATTAGTCCTTGTTATAGTTTATATTGTTAGTTAGTGAGTGTATTTTTTCGTGTTATGGATGGATTGGAGTAGTACGACTTTTAGATTTATATTATAGTTGGTTATGATTTTGTTCCGGACTACTTAGTATGCCTTCTAGATATTTTGCGCACTGCTTGGCTATGTAATTAGTAGAATCTAATATTTTTATAGAGTACTTTTTGCGTAGTTATGGTAATAAATATGCTACTCTAGTCGGTAGTTACTAGATACTTACGTGAATAAAAAAGGTGATTGTATGTTCATTCTCATAAAAAAATAATAATAAATAAATAAATAAATAAATAACTATAAAACTGCACGAAGCGCGAGAACATCCTACAAGGTTATATAGTTAAAAAAGATATGCGGGTACGAAAGCAATCGGATAGATATTAAAGTAAGAATATTAAAGAACGCAAAAGTATCCTCTAAGAGTATAAGGATGCAGAAGGGTTTAAGGGTAACTAGTAAATTCTATATAGATGTACATATAATCACGTAGGCTGGGTAGATTTTTCGGAACTTGTTTCAAAAGATCTAAACAGAGATATAGCAGCGTTTCTGGCAGTAAAGCCAAATGCTTTCATGTTTCAACAAGATAGAACGACAAACATCTAACAGGTAGATGCAAAATCCGAGTTTCTCACAGTTGGCATTCAAACAATTGTATGAGAAAAATATAAACGCGGCTTGATTACAAAAGAGCGACTAGCAGCGAGTTTCTAGATACAAATATAATGGAGCAGGTGCATGCTCGCATAAAGAATATAAATCTAACAAAAGACCGTGTAACAGAAAGAGTGGTAGGTAGGTAGTACTTCCAGAACTTTGGGAGTCTTAAGCTTAACGCAAGCCTAAACATTCCTCTCAAAAACCACGTTATGGTCGGTGTACATGAGCCTCGCCTTCTTCGATTTCCCGTCATACTCAAACAGAACATCCACGGAGCCATCCCCAGGGGGGTAAAATTTGTGGATGAATGTGGGGTTAGGAATCAGCGCCGCAATCGTCTCCTGGACTTTCTTCATCTTTCCTGAGTACCAGTAGCTGTTCTCGTTCATGCCCTTAGACAATCCGATAAAGTAGACGTTTGCATGATCGAGTTCGTGCTTGAGGTCGCTGAGCTTAGGCACTTTAGGTGGCTTGGTGTCCTCTTTCTCAGGTTCTGCCACTGTAGCGACGCCGTTCTTGAGAAAGTCGATAACTTCAGGCTGGAAGTGGATCTTATCCCATCCTTCTGGTGGGTTTTTAGTAAAACCGGGGCACTCCCACATGTGGCCCATCCAGACGCCGCCGGGGCCGACAACAACCACAGCTAGGCAGCCTGTGAGAGCGACTTTGGGAGCTGGGTTCAGTGCTTCAGTATATGTAACTCTGCAATTGACGCCTCATATTGACTTACTGCCAATCGAAAATGGCTTAGTGCCAAAGCTATCATAAACAGCAGTGGGCCACCGATCGCTGGGAATAAAGTCCTTTGAGTGCACAGTTGCGTCCCGAAGATATTCGTTAATCTCCTTCTTATTGGTCTCTGAAACTTTGGGGAGATTGCGGCGGCTGAGACTTTGAGAGGCTGGTGCAGACGATTCATCGTCAATGGGTAGAGCGGCAACAACCGTGAAGAGGAAAGCAAAGGCAAGGGCCAAGAAGCGCCCGAAAGGGGATGAAGCGAGCTTCATTTAGAGTGAGTGTTGATTCCAGTGACTGGTGTGTGAATTGAGTAAGGAGTGAGTTGAGGGGACTGTGGATTGAGATTGTAGTGAAGAATGAAGCTTGAGTACTTTCTTCATGTTCTTATATCAAGTTCAGAAGCTCCTCATACCACTTCATCCTTTCGTTCGATTTTAGATCCTTGCAAGCTCTCATCCTTTGCTGTTGGACATTTTCTGGGAGGGGCAGTGAACCTTCCTTCGTTTCTAAGGATTTGGAAAGTGGTCTTCCGAGGGGCGGTTGGGTTACTTATGTTCTTTGTTGGCGCACATGTGCGCAGTGTTACAGTACGGACATGATCAGGCAGACCTACAGTAGATACTAATCCTCGACCAGACAGCATTACACCATCTCATAATGAGATGTGACCAAGGACTAGGCAAGAAGTATGCCAACACACTGCTGTAAAATAGTCATTCTGGATAATGTTGGAGCTCCAGGTGAGGCTGTTGCTGTGCCGCAAACAAACTGATCGGGCAGTTCGACTGCGCCTCGATCATTCTGATTCGTGAAGCCTGCAGTGGCCCCAACTATGCAACAAGTGGACCGTATGAGGCAGCATTCACAGCACAATAAGAATCCAATGTGGCAGTGAAGTTGCTCGCAAAAACTATATCTGCTCCACAGAATAGTATTGTGATAGCATAAATGATGAGGCTCCGGATAACCGCTTACCGCCCCCACGCTCTACCGTTTTCCCAATAGGGTAATACTTCGGTAGATAATTGACTTCGCATCTTCAGTGTAGCACATAAAGGAGCGAGCACGTGGAGGCGGGCAGGTGGGAGCATTCGAAGGAACGAGGTTTATAGTATAAGATACCAGGCTAGGTATAGACTTCCCGCTAGACGCGCGGCACCGCTAGGCGCGCGTCAAATGCTCGGAAAGAAATCCGCAACCTTCTCTTTTAATTATGTTTCTGCCTAATGTAAAGTGGGGAGGGGGCGGTTATTTGGGGCCAAATGATGCGTGTTTATAGATATGTTAGCTGGGCTGACGGAGACCGGTGTTGTTGTGGGGACCGCTATCGGTGCTTCCGCGGCATAATAGGGTGGGGGCAGCCTGGGAGGCATCAGTGTTTAAGTATTGAGCATCTCCATATCTTCACTGCCTAACCTCACTCTTTTGTCCATTCACACAATTAACCTTCCTGCAATTCACTCCGGACCCATTTTGGCGCAATGCAGCCTACAGAAGAAGAACGACAGACCTCCTATTACGATTTGCTTCAAACTGCTAAATCTGCCTGCAGATCTGGCAACACAAGTACGGTACAAGAACTCGTACCTCAGCTGAGATCATTGAAAGCAACGGAGGAGGTAGAAGAAGATTTTAAGGGCCTCCTCTCCGCTGCATTTATATACAACCAACCTAATGTGGTATCGCACCTCCTCTCAGAAGGCATTCCTCTCCAAGATACCACCCCAATTCGTGCTGTCGGGGCAAACACATCGTTGGAATGTATACAACTTGCCCTTAATGCCGGCTGGGACATCAACACCGGAGATGATGCGCGCGGTACAGCCCTTATGTACGTATCAATATGCCACTCCAACCAGCTCTTACTAATAAAAAGTAGCCAAGCTCTTCTCCAGAATGACGTGAACCTTGTCCGTTTCCTCGTCTCTAAAGGCGCCGACGTCAATATGGAGACCATGCCAACCATGCAGCGATTGCGTCGGCCAGTCGGGGTTGCGAGGGGTACGACACCGCTTGATATAGCGGCGAGCGCTTCCTCACTGGAGATACTCCAAATACTTCTCGACAACGGGGCAAAGCTCGAGCGCAGCAGTGCCTTGCACAAAGCTGCATCATCGCCTAACGACAAGGATGACCGCCTCCCAGTGATGCAGTTTCTGCTAGATTGTGGGATGGATATCAACGCGTTTGAAAGATTTCCTGACGATACGCGTTTTGATATTCGTAAGCAACTACTGGGCACACCGCTGCATTACGCAACTGCGCGTGGAAACGTGAAGGCTGTGCGGTTCCTACTTGAGCATGGGGCAGACAAGTCCGTTGTTGCGGCACGGGATACAGGGACACCATATAGATGGGCGCACGAGTATCCACCTGGGGAGAATGAAGAGGGCGAGCCGGACATAAACGAAGAGATAGTGCAGATGCTGAAGTGAGATGGGGGAGAGGAAAGCATTAAGCAGGGAATTTTGATTGCCTACACATCCCCACAACAGATCCAATGAGAAACTACGGCATTTGCATGGAAAAAGTACAATATATATATGAAAGAATATGTGAAAACATCATTCATATGATCGGGACTCTATTATTACAAATATCTTAAACCTTGGACTGCAGGGTTAAATCGAATGGCCTACGCAAACTTATTGCAGATCTCTTTGAAAATCCCAGTCTTTTTAACCTAGTGTAAACTCTAATGTGAAGGTTCAGCCTTCACTACCGTTTCTACTACAACGCCTGCTGTCGCTGGTAGAAGCCTATAGTAACAAGGCGGTGGACCGGATAGAGGTAGGAACGCAACAGCACTCGAAGGCTCAGCTGCTCAGAGCCCGCTTTATGTAAGCATAAGGAAGGTTTCGTAGCGAGACAAATAGCAAATTGAGGATTAAGTGTTTGTGAATTTTTAATTTTTTTTTTTTTTTCGTTTTCTACTAGCTGCCAGCGCAAAACTAAGTTAAGAACTACCTACAAGGTAAGCAAGCCTTACCAAATCCAACGTGTAACTCGCCTACCGTACCTAGGCACGTATCTACCATACGCAAAGGCAGATAGTACAACAAGGCTATCGGCGATACCCATCGGGCATGCTCACGCTATGCATGCATATTGTGGCGTATCAGTGTGCGTCCTTGTAAGACGTTGATACCCCAACACCTTGCTCCCAAAAGCCATGTTCTTTATAATACATTGTTCGCTGATAATTAGTTCTCTGGAACCAAATATCACTCAGTGCCACTTCGTGCTTCAGGAGTCTCAACATGGGGCTTGTCTCATGGCAGTAATCCATCACCATGATCAAGTTCCAGAGTCACCAGTCCGAGAGAGTTATGCGCCGAGAGAATTAGTTCGTTTCCCGCAACTTCTGGCACAGAGACAAATCTTGTCCACTCCAGGCTTGCTGACTTGATCTGAACTGTATCCAAAACCGAGCGGAATTTGGAATTTTCCTTTTGCGTCTCGGCCATATCCCATTCGTAAGAGTACTGCTGGTCTTCGTCTGTTTCAAGGCCTGTGAAAGGTCTCTTCCAGGGGTAGTAATGGTCCTTGTCCCAATGAGAGAAGCCAGTAAAATACTTGGTTTCGTAATGCGCCGAGTGCTGAAAGTAGTTCCGGTATGGTATGGTGCTTTCTACTACCTCCGCAGCCTGAAGTAGTAGTCTGGTAAGTTCCTGCTTCAGGCAGAGGAACGGATCCCGGCGATGGTTGATAGGACAGTCGTGCTGGCCGAGTAGCATGAGATATTCGCGATTTCCAAATATAGTGATATCCGGCGGTACTTGAGATCCATACTTGATGATTTGCTCGCAGGCAGCTTTGAAATGCTCGTTGAACCGCTCATCGTCTCCACCCCAATAAGAGAAGTTTCTGACAAACCACTCGTTGTATATCGAACGAGCGACCCATCGGCATTTGCCATCTCTCTTTCTCAAGCTCTTTGTAATCTCGGTGTTCCAATTATCGTATGCGGGGAAAGGAGGTTTTATGGTGCTTCCGATACTGCGTAGGTCATCTATGTATCTCCGCATGTTATTCTGGAGGTCGAGTTTCTTCTTGAGGAAATACTTCTCCATCCGTTTGAAGTCGAAGACATCATAATTGAGATGGCCGGAGAAAGAGCCAAAATGATGACTGAGTGCGTTGTTTGGCTCAAGAGGCCACATCTTATCAATAGAAATCAAGTGTTTAAGAGCATCGTCGTAGAGACACTCGCAGTGTAACTTCGCTGCTAGTGTAAGGTGGAAGAGGGGCTCTTCTGCCACGTCCTTCCACAGACCGTGGGTGTTAAGAAGGACTTCAGTAATCGCCGGTGCCACGACGTCAAGCATTCCATAGAATTCGGAGTATGCTACTACATCTGCAAAAATTTCGATTGCAATTCCGGGAGTATAAACAGAGTCCATATCAACGTAAAGGCCATAGAGTAGGCGTAGTAGCATCTTATGAGCATTTATAGCTTGTATTTGAAGAGAACCCAGATGTTGTTTCTGACCGTTTGGATGTTCACGTTCGAAGTAGCCGATGGCATACTCTGACATGTAGAAAAGGAAGTCGACAGGGTACAGATCATCGTCATATCGAAGCCGTGGATGCCTATGAACTTCAATCTCAACCGGCGATTCTGTGTGGCATTGAAGAAAAAAGACGATAGGCCTTTCCTTGGTGATTATAAGACTGTATTGCCAGACGTTCATTGTGGAAGCTTCGGTTGGTAATGTCAACTGTGCCATGGGCTCTCCCCAGCGCCCGCTTAGCGTGGCATTGAAATAAGGAAATTGTCTGAGGACTTCCGAATGTACCAGTAAGGTATCATCGGCTCTGTGTGAAAGTCTGAGAATGACATCACCTCGTTCCAATCGGAAGGATGCTAGTTGAGAGTTCTGTTGTAAGTCCACTCTCCTTATGTATGCTCCGAATTCTTCTTCAAAGTCTTCTTCCGGGGTCGATTCGTGTCTAATCGAAGCTCGCTTCCTTAAGGTTTGCTTTTTCCGAAGCGGTGTCATCTTGTCAAGCGCCCGGCGGGGCATGTTTATTGCTGAGCCTCAGAATATAAGTAGTCTGGATATTTACGTGCCTCCGATGGTTTGACAGAGTCCGCAGGATAAGGTTGGCAGATACTCCGAAAGGGCTTGAGAATGGGTGCTGGAACTGTGAGGCTTATAATATGCGGGTTGATTTGCGCTTCCAGTAAGGCCGTGGGTGTTTGGTTACCCAGGAAGGTGAGGAAATTTGCAGGTTGGAGTTGAGCGAAGCGAAAGAGGGTACTTATCTGTCCTTGGAATTGGCGCTAAGATACTGCTTGCCACTAGTTTCACATGGAGAGTATAGCATTAACATATCAAGCCTTGGGACTAAGGATACGTCAGCAGCTGCAGTAAACGTAGCAGCAAGCGCACCAATCAGATGGGCTCCTGAAGGTATTGATTTGGCGGTGATTTACGTGTTTTGATGTCACTGAGGGGGGTCATTCACCAAACAAGGACGCACTTTGACTGGTGCGCTCGCTGAACGGTGAAACTCGTTCGTAGGTGAACGACGTTAGCTTCTCTTTTTGTACGCTGTAAATGTTAGTACACGTGTACTATACTTAAAAAAACTCCAGCAATCAATTCGCAAGTGTGACGACACCACGTGGGAAGCTATTGCTTACGAAGCTGTGATCAACATATGTTGATTCTGGATAATATGTTAACTAGAGCAACCTTGTTCAACACTCATATCACGTTTACTCTTTATGGAATGGCTAATGCTAGGGACACTGATTCGCCAACACAGAACTTCTATCCGCCTTAGTGCCACATACTACGACGTGATAGAAAATTTCTGGCGCAGCGGAACGATAGAGGTCTCGTTTAAATTAGAGAAGTTGTAGTGACGGCGTATGTAATACAACCGAAGCTTGAGCCTGGTTCTTGACACATTTCTCCTACCCGGAATAACCACCAACTTTCATTCTAGGGAGATTGATGTGTTTGCATGTCAGCAATTTCCTAGCATAATTCGTACAGTGTGCTTTCTCCCACGCAGTCTTACAATGAAAACAAGTTCAATAGGCAGAACAATGTTGCAGGCAACAACTCATCAGCACTGCCAGCAACGTCATTGGATCAAATAACCATTATGCAAAGTGCAGGGAAGCGTGCCGATCAAGCCTTGATCTGACCGTATTACGCGCAGATGCATAGCAACAAGATCTCCGCACTCTGCACTCCGCACGACCAGCCCACGCATGCACCAGCCTGCTGGAACAACACCTACATCTGGAATCTCATGATTGCGACCCGCATCCACGGCTCCGCCAGCGGCCACTCGCAGAAACTAACAGGTGTTTGGATAGCGCGTGCGTAAAAGCCGGGAACCGGGCAATTCCCACGAACTCGGGAGCAGAATGTTACACAGCAATCCAAGAGCCTGGCTACAAGAGCGGGGTGCAGCATAGCCACAGTGCGATAACGTCGCATGGCACGGCGATCGCCCGCTGCTGCTGCCGTCGTTTAATCTTCCGGAACTGGCCTACAGTGCCTGCTGCGCGATTTATCCTCCAATCCGCAGCGTGGGACACCTTATCTTTTTCACCGCGTCCATTGAGGCTTTTCGCCAATGTGCGGATATCATTATCTCGCCGCTCACGGCGTATTCGTCGTAGCGACGAGGCTGTGCCTTGAGCGTAGCGTGGGGGACAGTGTGTTTCGGCAGCTTGTCCAACTGGACACAGCAGTCTGACCACGAGCAGCCTCCTTCGTGCTACCGGTTTATTCTGTAGCTTATAGACCAGGCTCCCGGAGAGAAGTAAGCATCCGCTTCACTCAAATATCTCTTTGCCTTACCGATTCAACTCACAGCTGGAATCACGCACTTTTCGAAGGCAGCTCCTTTCACGTTCATTTAGTTTCCTCCGCTGACATGGCAGAGGCACCTAAAGCCAATCTCTCCAAGCGACCATATGATACGCAGCTAAAGAAGCGCAACATTTACGATGACGGAGCTGCAGAATTGAATGAAAAAGACATTGACATTGAGTATGAGGAAGAGAGTGTTGGTGTGCAAGAAAGAGATTTCAAACATCGACAGGTTCGTCCGGCTACCTAATGCTCTCGTTCGTAACTGAGTTCAGAAGGTGTTCAAAGGTTGGACCCTCCTCTGGTGAGCTCCTCTTCTTGGGAAAACTTTTGAACAACAGCTGAATTTTTCAGGTTGGCATACCAGTCTACAGGCGTCATCTATGGGGATATCGGAACCAGTCCGCTTTACGTTTACTCATCCACGTTCTCTTCCGAGCCTTCGCACGAAGATCTTCTCGGCGCATTATCACTGATAATATGGGCTATGACATTGTTCGTCACCGTCAAGTATGTCCTCATCGTACTCCATGCCGACGATGAAGGCGAAGGCGGCACATTTGCCATATACAGTTTGCTTTCGCGCTATGTAAGTGTGTACTTATCTCTTCGATCAAAACAGGAACTCACTTCCCTCAGTGTCACATATCCAAGACAGATCCCAAGAAAAAGAACATGCAGAGGCTTCAAAGATACGGAGCGGACGTATTACCGCCTGGCAACCTTTCAGTGAGGACATTTTTGGAGGACAATCGTTTTATGCACGGAATCCTCAAAGCTCTAGCTGTATTCGGTGTCAGTCTTATCCTGGCAGACAGCGTTCTGACTCCCGCACAATCGGTGCTTGGAGCTGTTCAAGGTATAGGCGCTTTATTTCCAACAACCGACTAGACTATGCTCACATTAACAGGCCTCAAAGTTGTAAACGATGGTCTGGGAACCGACGTCATTGTCGGCGTTTCTTGTGCCATTCTTGTCTTACTCTTCACGCTCCAGCCACTTGGTATTTCAAGGCTTGCCAACTTCTTCGCGCCTGTCGTTATCTTATGGTTACTCTTCAACCTATCTTTTGGAATCTATGTGAGTAGCAAAGCCAACAAGAGGAGGAGTTGATGCTTATTGTATTCAGAACCTTGCGCAGTATGACTGGACTGTCCTGAAAGCGTTCTCGCCGTATTTTGCCGGCGCGTTCATGGTCCGCAACAAAACCGACGGATGGCTTTCCCTTGGTGGAATCCTGCTTGCATTTACTGGTTCGTTTACGATCCAATGATGAAAAGACATAATACTAATAATTGGGAAAGGTGTTGAGGCTCTATTTGCAGACATTGGCGCATTTTCCAGGAAGTAAGACTCTATTGTCTTTAGAATTTACGATAGGTGTTGACACAAACAGGGCCATTCAGATTTCATGGCTCTGCCTCACATACCCCTGCCTTCTGCTCGCTTATATTGGGCAAGCCGCCTATATTTTCCAGAACCGCGGAGCAATTTCGAACCCGTTTTTCGAGAGCGTACCGCCAGGCATGTTTTATCCTTCGCTAGTCCTCTCCATCCTTGCCGCTATCGTTGCTTCTCAGGCCCTCATCACCAGCGCTTTTCAGCTGCTGTGCCAGGTCATGAACACCAGCTACTTCCCACAGATCAAGATGGTGTATACCAGTGAAAAGTTTCACGGACAGGTCTACATCCCGATGGCGAATTGGCTGATGATGATTGGCACGATTATCGTCACTGCTGTATACAACAACGTACGTTCTAAAAAGGCCACTGTTACTGCAAAAGTCGAATAGCTACGCAATACTAATCATCTCCTCAGACAACAAAGCTGGGTCACGCCTACGGCTTCTGCGTCATCCTCGTCACGTTTATCACCACCTGCCTCGTTGCCCTCGTCGCCTTGATCGTCTGGCGGAAACCCTGGTACCTTGTGCTTCCCGCGTGGATTATCTTCGCTACACTCGACGGCCTATTCCTCTCCTCAGCAGCCACAAAATTCATCGATGGAGCCTGGTTCACCTTCGTCCTCGCCATCATCCTCGCTTGCGTCTTCATCCTGTGGCGCTATGGAAAAGAACAGCAATGGGCTGCCGAAGACAGGAACCCACTGAGCCTGAAGGACCTCGTACTGCGAGACGCGGACGGCAAAGCGCGGTTGCATGGAAGATACGGGGGTGGCGAAATCTACACCATCAAAGGCAAGTGCACATACCTGTTCTGCTATTTATTTATTTTTTTACTATAAGGCACTAACACGAACCACAACCCAGGCCTCGGCATCTTCTTCGATAAAGCCGGCGACAAAGTCCCCACCGTCTACGAGGAGTTCCTCCGCAAATTCGAAGCGCAGCACGACGTGCTCGTGTTCCTACACCTGCGCGCACTGCACGTTCCGCACGTACGCACGCCTGCTTTCTTCCTCTACTGAGCCACCACAACGTCTCCTCTTCTAACCTCTCTCTCGTCCTTCAGGTCCCAGAAGCAGACCGCTACGCCGTGGCTCGCACTGCCCACCCCTCGTGCTACCGCCTCACCATCCGCCACGGCTACAACGACCACCCCATCAACGCGGACCTCGGCGCGCTCGTGTACGAGCAGCTGCGCGGCGCCATCGTGCGCGCTGGCGCCACTGCCACGGCCTCTAGCCCCTCTGACCCTTCTCACTCCAACACCCCTTCCGCCACTCAGGAAATCGAAGAGGAAGCACCGCCCGTTGCGACCATAAATAGTCGTCTAGCAGCCCTGACTCGCGCTTACTCCACGCAAACAATCTACATAGTCGGCAAAGAGCAGCTGCGCCTCGTGCCGGGTACGGGGCGCATGGCGTGGGTTAAATACGCGGTGCTGAGCGTGTTTGTCTGGATGAGGGAGAACTCGCGCGCAAAGGTCGCGAAGATGGACGTTCCGGTGGAAAGGGTTGTCGAGGTGGGGTTTGTGAGGGAGGTGTAGTTGGGGTGTTGGTGGTGAGGGAGGGGAAGGAAGAGGTAGAGAGAGGACTGGGAGAGGGAGGAAGAATGAAAAATGGACTTTAGGGGGACGGGAAGTTTGGACAATGTGGTTTAGGAGTGGTTTGTTGAGATACGTACGAAAATGCGGCATTGTTGAGTCACTGTCGAGTATACGGCCTCGCAGCGTCTAAACAACCACAGAAATCTAATTAACCCAAGGTCGCCTACCACGGCTCATTTCTCAGACCAGGGATAAAAGGAAGTGAGAAAACAAGCGGGACCAGCGTACAGACCCCGGCTTCGCCCCCTGAACAGCTTCCTGCAAAGCGCACCCAGGAACCAGCATACCTAAACAGATGACAGAAAAATCAAATGAACACCATCAGCATCACGCACGACCAATACTACGCACTGGCACACAGCCTCACCACCAGGCTACGAAACACACACACACTCGAGATCCCAGCCCTCGCACTTCCTCGCCGCTGGCATTGCGTGCCTCGAGGCCGAAGGTGTGGACCGTGGAAAACATGCGTGACGTTGTTGAAGGATGCGACTTCGGCCAGCGGGGACAGGACGGGTGCTGCTACATACCCGACGTCGACTAGGTTTTGGCATCAACACTCCAAGCCCCCAAGCCTCTCACCCCTCCCCGCCCCCCCGCCGCAAAAGGGAGCCCAAACACGTACCTATGTACATAGCCTCTCCCCTTCCCTCGCGTCTTCCCTCGCGTCTCCCACTCCCCATCACTCCTACCCGGAACCCCACACCACACACCACGTACATACCCGTACCACACATCACGTATGGAAGCCCCGATCAATCAATCAAGCAAGCAAGCAAGCACTTACCTAAGCATATACCCACCACGTCGTCCACAATTCGCCTGCCATCAGCAACGCGTAGGCGAGAGCCGCGCCGCCCCTCATACCGCCACCACCGCTCCGCTCCACCCCAGCCCACTCCAACCGGATCCTACCCAACCTAATCCTACCAAATCAGACCAACCCAACCAAACCAGACCAACCCAACCATCCCAGCCCAAACCAGGCCCTACACGCACAGTCGTACATACAGTATAGACATCAACACGAGTGTGCACACAAGCGCATGCGTGTCAGTGTACGTATTATACAAGTACTAAACGCCTACTCCTATCAGCCTGTAAGCCTGTTTTCCCGTCTGCAGCAGACTGTCTACGCTGCCATTTCCCACCAAGCATCCGTCCATTCGACAAACAATTCCGCTACCTACATGCCCTCACGCAATCCTCGTTCTCCCTTCCCCGTTTTGCACCGCACACCACCGCACCCCACCCTAACGCCTCAGCGACCCCGGCGTCGCCGCGCCCCCAATCCCCATAGTCGTCTCGACGACCTTCTCCCTACAATCACCAACCTTGGCCGCCTCATTCAGAATCGCGCGCTGAATCTCCGCAAACAAGAGCGCCAGGTCACGGAGTCTGGAGCCGCCGACTGCAGCCGGGGCGTCTGCCTCGCCGTTGGGGCCGCCGCCGCCGCGCCGCGCCAGCAGCTCCTGCGTCTGGTGCATGGTGCTGGCCTCGACGGTGCGCAGGTGCTGCTCGATCTCGGCGAGCAGGCGCGCCTGCGTGTCCAGCGTGCCGTCGAGCGCCGTCGCCTGCGCTTGGAAAAACGCCACTAGGTCCGTGTTGCCCTCGTCGCTGGTCGCGGCGTCGAGGTCGCTGTCTTTGCCTGCGGCGGCGGAGCGCGCGGCTGCGCTTGTCGCGGCTGGCGTCCACATCGAGCCTGTGTAGTGGAATTGCGTGGGCAACTTGAGGTTCTCTAGCACCCGGAACGTGATGCGCGCGTTTTCGGCGTCGTGCTTGAACGTTTCCTTGAGCGCGGCGATGGCGCGGCTGTCGTTGTCGAGCGCCGTCTCGACGGTTTCGGTCTTGCTGGCGATGAAGTCGACGTCGGCGGGCACGTAGGCCAGGTTCTCCTTCATACGGCCGTCGATGAAGGCGGCGCACTGGTCGTGGTGGCTGATTTGCTGCTGGATCAGCGCGTCCATCTGCTCGATCTGCTTCTGCAGGTCTTCGTGCAGGTCGTTGAAGCGCGTCGAGCCGCGGATGTTGCTCAGGTCGATGCGCACGCCCGGCACCGTGTTGGTCGAGGCATTGGCGGGCTGGGCGGTGCTGCTGCCGAAGAGGCCGCCTTGCTGCTGCTGCTGCTGCTGCTGCTGCTGCTGCTGGTTGGTATTCATGGAGCTGCCGAAGAGACCGCCACCGGTCTGGGGCTGCTGCGAGGTTGTCGTCGAGGAGCCGAAGAGTGAAGGCTGCTGCTGCGTTTGGGTCGTGGTGCTGCTGCCGCTGTTTTTGTTTGTTAGCCAAGCCGCGCCTTTGTCGCACCTGCAGGAGCCCAGACTCACAACAAAGAAGGCGTCGAAGATTGCTGCTGCTGCGTTTGGCCCGCATTGCCGAACAAGCTTCCGCTCTGCTGCGGCTGCTGCTGCTGTTGCTGTTGCTGCGTGTTTTGTCCCAGCGCGCCACCGAACAATGAGCCCGACTGCTGTGGCTGCGACGATGCCGTCGCCGTGCTAGACCCGAAAAGCCCTCCTCCTCCTCCTCCTCCTGCGCTGGATGCGGGCGTCGAGCCGCCAAACAGGCTGCCGCCCGTTTGAGTCGCGGGTTTGTTTAGGGCTCCGCCGAAGAGGCCGCCGCCCGACTGGGGCTGCGACGAGGCGGGAGTCGACGTGGACGCGCCAAACAGGCCGCCGCTCGCGGGCTGGGAGGTCGCGCCGCCGCTGGAGAAAGTGTCAGTAGGTAGATAGATTTGCAGCTTTGGGCGGGCTTACAAGGGCGAGTTTGCGCCGCCCGTGTTGATGCTCAGGCCGCCAGACTTGCCAAACGACATGATTGCGGTGCTTGGCGGGCAAAAAGCTGCGGTCGGTCGGAGGATGGACAGTGGTGTAGGTAGCTTAGCTTGCGCGCGAGTCAAGACACGATCTACCACAACAACCTTCGTTGCCCGCATACACTCACTCACCACACACAATCATGGAGGAGGACGACGATTTCTACGGCGATGACACCGCCCCGACCACCAAGGCCGAGCCGGTCAAGGACGAGAAGATGGACGAGTCGCTAGAGGAGGGCGAAGAGGAAGAGGAAGAGAGCGACGACTCTGTGAGCTTCCACGAGACCTACCTACCCGGGCCCAATTGCACCTTCGACCCACTAACACGCGCGCGCAGGACATCGACATCATCACCGAGCGCAAAGACGCGCCCGCGCCGGAACCCGCGCCCCGCGGCGCCGGCTCCAGCTTCAACACCAGCTTCAAGACCGAGCCCGCCCGTGCCGCCTCCACCGACACCGCGTCCAAGGCGCACGCGCAGCCGCACGCGCCCGCCGCCCCGGCCAAAGGCGGCGCCCAGCCCGCTGAGCCGCAGAAGCCTGGCTCCAGCTACCCCGAAGTCCGCACCTCGAACATCGACGTGAACGCGACGCCCGTGTTTGAGCCCGCGGGCAAGCCCATCACCGAGGTCGACATTGACGCTGGTATGCCTCTGTTCCTTTCTTTCTCTCTCTCTCTCTCTCTCTCTCTCTCTCCTTCAAGCAAGCCAGACAGTCACGCTAACGCCCTACCTACCCCCGCAGACCTCGCCGAGCACGACAAGCCCTGGCGCCGCCCCGGCGCCGACCAATCCGACTACTTCAACTACGGCTTCGACGAATTCACATGGACGACGTACTGCCTACGCCAAGCGAATATGGCGGCGGCACTCAAAGAGCAAAAGGCCGAAAACGCGAAATTCGAAATGATGTTCGGGGGCGGGATGCCAGGCATGCCGCCAATGCCAGGAATGCCGGGGCTACCAACGGGCCCCTCAGGCGGGAGCAACAGCGGCGGGGGTGGCGGCGGTGGTGGCGGCGGCAACGGCGGCGCAGGCGGGGGCCCGGGAGTTCCTGGCGCGCCGACGGGCCCGGCCGCGCAGACGGGCGGCATGGGCGCTGCTGGCGGCCCTGGCGCCGCTATGCCGGCTGGTATGCCGGGTATGCCGCCTATGAACGACGATATGATGCAGCACATGATGCAGCAGATGATGGCGCAGGGCATCACGGATCCCAGCCAGCTGAGCTTCGAGACGTTCATGCAGGGCATGCAGGGGATGCCGGGGGGCATGCCTGGCGCGCCGCAGGGCCCGGCTGCGCAGCAGGGGGGCGGGTTTGGTGGCGGAGGGGGATTTGGGCCTCAGGGCGGGTTTGGCGGCAGGGGGAGAGGTGGACGGCGGTGGTAGTGCGGCGTGGTGAGAGTGATGGGTGCCGAGGGAAAAGGAAATGGCGTTTGCGGATGAATGGATGCCTCGGCGACAGCAGCGGCAGCGGCGTGCGTGTAAGGTCCACGCGGCTTGACCATGAAGACGCGAGAAACGTTGGCATGTAAGAGATTACGGTTTAGTACGCGACAGTCCAACGCTTTACTTGTTCGATTGCTCATTCCGCTTCCACGTCCATGCTCTCTGATATCTCACAAGCTCTGGCTCCACCACACAAAGCTGCGCAAGTGCAGAGCGTGCTGGTAGTCAAGACAGGGGATATAGGTAGGTAGGGAGGCAATACAACACACAACACAAGCCACCCCACAGAGCGAGCGGTGGTCTTAGACACGGCTAAAATAAACCATACACACATTCCCTACAAGCGCCAAATCAAGGACAAGGACAAGGACAAGACCTCGGGTGCATCTGAGTGCGTACCAGGCACCCGTCCGTCCTCTGTCCGAAGAAGCATTTCCGATTCGGTCACCGATCCAGACTAGGCCTCCATGAAAAGGTGTGCGATGGCGTTGCTGCTCTTGAAAACCGAGTGGACGGTTTGGGCAGTTTTAATGGATGGGGTTGCCAGGGTCTTTGCTCTGCGTGATGGGGATTGTTGTCGTTGAAAGTTTGGTAGCTACGCTGCCGACGGACGATGACTATGAGTGCCGCTGTTGCGTGATGGTACTCACCATCAACAGCTTCGGCGCGTTGTCGGCTGGGTTGGCGAGTGGGAAAGGCGTGATGCTCGTAGGTAGGTGTTGTGCTGGGTTGTTGAGTGGGTGGGAATGCGTTGTATTGTTGAGAGAAAGACCGCGGTAGTACTCAGCATTGGAGTCGGGTTGGGCGGGCGGGGTGCTGCGTGGGTGGGTGGGGGTTGGGAATTGCGTACGTCTAGGCGGGGTTGGTGCGAGATGGTTAGGGCAATGGACTGGGTGTGATAGGTACAGTGCAAGCACTGCTCAATCGCTTACCTTAAATACCTACCTACCTAGCACGACGTAGACACTGCTTCGAACCACTGCCCGCGTCCTAGCGCTAGGGTATGCATGTACTTCATACGTTGCTGGAGATGATGGGCTTGAGGTCCTCACGCCTTGCTACACGGGACCGAGTGTGAGTCTTGTCTGCAAGGCAAATAATGCATGCGTCCGAACAATACATAAGTCAACGAGGACGACGAGGACAGCGACGCCTTTGCGGCAGTCAAGCAAGAGGGTTTGGGTTGCGGGTTTGGGAGGGTGTGGTGTATGCATGAGCGAGGCTGTGGAGCGCATTTAATGTCTTCTCTCTATCTAACTGCGATTCGCACGCCTGCAATGCTATCCCCAACCGTTACGGCACGGGAGTGTCATGCAGTAATGTAAAGGCACAGCCTCCACGTCCTGCACTACAGCATTACAGCTGCTCCCGCAGCCTCTGCTCCCTGCTCTACAACGGCAGCGCAGGCAGGAATATGTTTAGGCGCGCAGCGAGAAACGACTAAGCTACTTTGGTAATTACCCAGGCGCGTAGGTATCGATGCTAGAGGCAGTTCTTTCGGGTGGGAAAGTTGGTTAGCGGGGACAGAGATGACAGTGATAGAGGACGGCGGATGGGGAAGAGGGTGTGGGTGTTTTAATAGGGAGTGGTTCTTGTTTATTTGCTTTTTTTGGTTTACTGCTGGCTTGGCTTGGTGTTGTGTTTTGTGGGTATGCACTAGCTGAGAAGAGCACGGTTAAATTAAGGTGGAGGTGGCATGGCTACGGTGGCTGTTGTGTGGGGGATGGGGCACTGAGGCGGACAGAGGGTCTGTGTTGGCGGGCCAGTGGCTCCTGTATTAGCTGTTCTGGAAGCGTTGGCTGCGGCATGGTGACTACATGGTTGTTTGCATCGTCAAGGTACCCCTAAGTCAAGCAATGGTGGTTTTTTTAGCAAGCAATTGTTCGCACGTGGTGTTAAGACACGCAAGCTGCTAAGAGATTTGAGGTATCCACGTCGACTTTAACAAACAGTGACTGCCTTTGCCGTATTAGATAACCCAGTCACCCATCTCAGCTTCTTTGAACACCTCCCACTACCGCCCTACTCAGCTGGGCAGGGCCCCGGTAGGAAGTCATGTTATAGAAGGGGCATGAGATGTCATACGTGGTTAGTGGCCTTTGTTTCTGTTCACTCACTGATTCTCGCACATGCACCTAATGCTGGTCACTTTAATACTAACTGGGCTTGGTAATGGTAAAGGTTTCTATTGTTATGCCTATATAAGTACCTCCCTCCTCTCCCTTGAGTTTTTCCGCACACCTTCCACCTTCTTTCTCGCTTCTCGGGCGTACACCCGACTGCGACTCTTCTCTTCATACAACCTCTTTTACCACACCATCGACCAAGCCTTTGGATAAGTAATGCCAAAGAAAGCCTCGAAATCCTTCAAGCAACATGTCACCTAAAATGTTGGACGTGCCATCCCTCCGGCTAGAGCGGGGTGATGTGATCATCAGGTTGTCGGAAAGACCTGAAGATACCCTCTTGCTCCATTCATCCTTGCTGAAACAATTCATATACTTCGAACCAACACTCAACGGGCGCTGGGGACGACCTTTCGTGGAACTGCCTGTTCCTCAACCGCAGCAATCTGGCAATGAGCCCTCAATCACCGTTTGGCAATACGTTCTCGCTCTAACTGAGGACACTAGCGCCTTACTCCTTCGATGCGCAAACGATCAGACCAGCTTTCAGTTTACTGAGTACTTCTTTGGTCTTCCATTTCACATGTCCGAATATACTGCCGGACTTTCTAGGCGCGAAGACCTTATAAGCTGGCCTGATAAGTCTACACAGCAAGCCGTAAACGCCCATAAAGCCTTGTTCCGCCTTCTATATGGTCTCTACGTCAACTTGGACTTCACGCCCGACCCGGAATCCGCAATCAGATGCATGGCAGACGTCACCGCTTATGCTGAGTTTTACGGAATGCTCGATATCGTGAGACCAGCTATCACAGAGACTCTTCTTGACATTCAGGGCCTCTGGGAAGATGTAGCTTGGAAACCTCTCTTTTATCTTGGACTAGCAGCGAAGCTGCGTTGCGAATGCATATATGACGACGCACTCAAGCATGTCGTCTTCTCAGGACACTGGGGGCCCTCGCCAATGGGCGGGTACGGATTGGGCGATTGGGATGTCGGAAACCCGCTTGATTACGATGTCTTCGACCACAAGAAGCTGATACTGTCTCTTCTTGGGGAGCGGGAAGAGATCATGTCTACCATCCAGCACGCCATTAACCAACTACGCTCTATCGGATATCAGATAATGGATCGTGGACCAGACTACGTTTATACTGATGACATTAAGGTTGTCGAGAGCTTGAAGAAACAAGACGGAAAGTGCAAATGGATTGCTCGATCTATCTATAATGAGTGGTTTGTTCGAACATTCTTTTACGATTGCAATGGTTATATTTGCAACAAGTGTCACATCCCACTTTTGTTTATATTTATTTAGCTAACATTCCGGTCAGGGAGTTCAAGACAACCTGCAAGCTACTTGTCGCGCATGGATCCAAGTCACCACCGGATATATCCATTTTCGGAGACGACGAGTACCTTAGACTTCTCGGTCAACATGATTGCCCTAACAATCACCATCAGGAGCCCTTCCAGTGCCTACAAAAGGACCTTACGGAAAAACTCAAGCCAGCCGCAGATATTGCGAAGGAAGCTCTTCAAGCCAACAAGGAAGAAGGAACACGCCATGAGACAAAATTCTTCATGGGTATGCGTCCCCCTTATAGGAGGACTAAATACCACCCATGGAAGAACCTTTACATGGAACACGAGGACTTTCAAGACACGATTGCAAACGAATACAACGACTCTCAAGACAGTGACGAAGAAGAAGTTGAAGATCAAGAACCGTCGGACACAGAGATAGAGACAGCCAGATTCCACGAATTTCTCAACACCATCACAGTCGAGTCTGCAAGCCTGGAATGGGCCAGCTTCGTATCGGTACCGGCCGTTGGGGGAGAAAGCCTCATTATCTCTACCGACAACTCCATTGGACTGGCAAGTTTCAAGATTGGCCTTGATGATGGTGAGCCAGTGCCATGGAAGAAGTCTACATCCGACACATACGATGCGGACGACACGCCACAGGCTACAACTGATACTCAGAACGTGGACGAGTTTGATGGTCGTGAAGGTGGCACTTGAACTCGGCATCACTGACGCAGAAAATGTTATGTGGCAACACCAACATAAATGAGCGATACTTCACTCTAAAGAATCATGTATTATATAGGGGTACAGAATGTGACTAGCGAGGGATGAGGACTAGGAATCGTCACTGGCCTACAAGGCTGCGATGCCTCTTCCAAGGCATCTTCTTGAAGTCAGCAGGACGAAATTGGTTCGGTGTGGAAAGTTTATTCGGTATGGGAATTTGGTTTAGCAGGATAAATTGGCTAGCAGGACGAAATTGGTTGGCAGAGGAAATCAGTTCAGCAAAGAAAATCAACTGTACGAATAGCATCAGAACTAAACACTATATCTTTAATAAAACCCTCATAAAAACCGCACAATGACTACGATTTTCAAAAAACCAAGAAACCAAAACCTCCAAGCAGAGTCGTCATAAAACAATGCCTTACCACCACCAGATCCCTTACCCCAAGACTTAGAACATCGCACTCACACCCGCTTTGCACAAAGAAGACACAGTCTACAGAACCACGCGTACTCACCCACAACCACTTATCCAAACGCCAGGACTGCACTAACTAGACACAAACCCGCGCCAGACCCCAACCACCCAACCCTCAGTCCCAACACCGCCTTCCACCGCACTTCCGTGCGCACGCACACCTACCAGCCCAGCAGAAGGAAGCGCAAGGTCGCTTATCTAGAAGCTGTTTAGATACGTTGACGCGGGAAACATTAGGTAGCTCGGTGCCAAGACAAGACATAGGTGCTATATATACGAGAACAACAACCGCAAAACACAAACCACACTATTGACTCCAACTGGAATAGGAGGGGGAGCGAGGCTGAGGAGGCGTGTTTAGTTCCTATCATGCTATTTTGCGTCTTATTGTTTTTGTCCGAAGCGCTTTGCGTATAGGTTTATTAGGTAGGTAAGCGTATAGGAGGCAATGCACTAACAAGTAATGACAGACCGTTCGACTGGTGCATGGTTAGGTAGCTGAAGAAGGAATCGAACATGTGCACGACCTTCCAAGAAAAGTAACTTCCCGAAAAGAAAACAGTACAGGCAGGCGGCTGAGGAGTAATACGCTCACGGCTGCTCTGTATTGCAGAAAGAATTGCAACCCGGTCTTAATACCAATATTTTCATTAAGCGCTTTAAACCACCCAGCAAACCGGTTCCAGCAGCCCCAAGCCGCAACCGCACTCACAGACGTCAGACACTAATCCGCAAGCTTACGAATGCGCTCCCAGTCCTCGCCCTCAAAAGCATTGACATCCTCCCTCGCGACCCTCTCCGCCGCCGCCCCCACCTCCTCCTCCCCATCCAGCAGATCCAGCCACCCGCCCCTATACGCACTCTCCAGAACCGCGAGGGTAGTCTGCGCGACCGCCTCCCTTGACACCTTCCCGCCACTGCCCTTTGTCCTGCCCAACTGAACGGCTCCCGCCTTCTCGAGCGTCAGGTTGCCGGGCCGGAGACAAATGCCGCGGAACCCTTGGCCGCGCTTCGCCGCCATCGCCGCCAGGTACTCGTCCGCGGCGATCTTGGCTTCCGCGTAGTGCGGCAGCACCTCCGTGTTCGTGTGCTGCGCGTGCGCCCACTCGGCGTCGGACCACCAGGCCGGCTTGGCGCGCCGCGAGCCTAGGTACGATATCATGACGAAGGCGCTGATGCTGGGCGTCGAGGTCGTGGCTTTGATGAAGTGCTTGGCGGCGTCGCGGTCGATGGCGTAGGTACGGTCGGAGCCGCCTTTGCCGCCGGCGCCTGTGGTGGGGTGTTAGCATAGGTAGGGCTCTGCAGACCTCCTCCTCTCCAACAAGCACATAACCAAGCCCCAAAAACAAGATTTATAAAAAAGAAAGGAAAAGGAAAAAGAAAAGAAAAAAGAAACGAAATGAAAAGCAAAAAGCCCAACATACCCGCGCTCCAAACGACCCAACTCGGTTGCACCTCCTCCAGAACGCTCTTCGCATCACTCTCACTCCTCACCGCCTCCAAGCTCCTTACCAGCACATTCAGCTTCCCCGGCTGGCCCTCGCCCAGCTTCTCGATCGCGGCCGCCTGCGCCGGGTCCCGGATCAGCGACGTGACGGCGTACGAGCGGCCCAGCAGCAGCGGCGTCAGCAGCTGCGCGACCTTGCCATGCCCGCCGAGGAGGAGGATGTGCTGCGACATGTTTTGCTTGCTTGGCTGTGTGCTGTGTGCTGGTTCTCTCGGTAGGGGTCGAATGTGTGTTGGTGTCTGTAAGTGTAGGTAGTTGAGGTTGCTTGGTGCAGAGAAAAGCAATTGCGTGGGGTTGCAATGCAGTGCAAGCAGGAAGCACCTCCGCCTGGCAGCACCTATTTATACGCACCCGATGTCGTGATCGAGATGAGTAAAACGCAACGCATGCAGCACTGTTTGATTATTCAACGGCCGTGATTTGAAAGCAGCGAGCAGCGCCAACGGGAGGGGCAAAGGTGCGACGACAATGACGTTACCAGCCCCGCAACCCGCAGCCACAGCTGGCTCTGCGGGCCGAGCCGCTCCGACGACAAGGGTGGGTCGTGACGGGGCGTGCCGGGCGACAGGGAGGGTGATTGGGGGAGGGCGGGAGCGCGGGGTTGCAGCACATCAACCTTCCCCTTCCAGAGGCGCTGGAGTGCGCTCCTGCCCTCAGCGCCGCTTTTAGTGGTTAGGCAAGGTAGATTTCTCCCGTCACAATCTCGTAGCCAGTCTCGACTGTACGAAGTACCTAGCCAGTTGAGCTCCGCTACCACGGCCCAACCATGCAATACACCTACCTACCCTAACCCGCACCAACAACATACACCTGCACCCATGACCAGTGACTACCCATCCGTGCTACCATATATCATTTCAGAATCAAAAAAAGAGAGCCCCAATACGCCATCCGCATACATATCCGGCTTGTATACAAAAGCAAAAGCAAAAGCGAAAAAAAGCGCAAGTCCCAGTCGCGCCTCGCCGGCCAAAAAGGGTATTTTGTCGAGCACAACGTAATGCACACTAGTAAGTCCTCCCCGCCCTGCTGTTTACAAGAAATAGTCCGCGACCGGCTTCTTCGCGGGCATGCCCCTGCTGTCCTGTGGCGCCGCCTCGAAGACGCGATACCGCCGGCCAGGCCCGTCTCTGTTGCACTCCGACAGGCCCCTGGACCGCCCCGCGTCGCCGTTGTTGCGCGGCACGTATCCGCCGTTGGTCCCGTCCTCCCCGAGCTCTAGGATCGCGGCCACGTTGCCGCACCGGTAGCAGTAGTTGGGCGCGCTCCACACCGTCACGATGCTGTTGTCGAACATCTCCTTGAAGCCTTCCATGACGAGTTGGTGTGCGCGCGCAATCAGGCTGAGGTCGTTCTTGTGGTTGAAACATTTGACAATGTCGGCGCCGAACAGGAAGCCTGCTCCGCGCGGTGAAAGTCCCCATCCGTCGATTTCGTCCGGGTCTGACCATAGCAGGTCGCACATCGCGCCTTCGTGGGGCACTTCTTGCTTGCGGTCCAACAACCGGATTTTGTCGATAGTGTCGATGAGGGGGGAGAGGCCACCGTGCACGCAAAGCACTGCCCCTCCAGGATTGCCAGTCGACCCGGAACTCGATGAGGTAGCGCCGGTACCTGCCGGTCCTGTGCGAGCAGGCGCGTCAAGTATAGGCGAGGAATCGGGGTTTCCGAGGGTACCGGAGGGGGAGGACATGCGAGAGGCGCGGGGGAAGCTGTTGATGACTTCGTTGTTGGAGTTGAGAATCTCTATCTCGATATCCTGGTCTTCGGGCACGCCTTGAGTGCTACCATCGGCATAGGGGGAGGCTGTTGGTTGAAGATTGGTAGCGGCTCCAGAGACAAGGGCTCCTAAGGCGAGGTAGTCGAAGACTTCACAGCAGTATCTGGACTGTCATCAGCATCGTGGCCTCGATAAAGGACCGAAACCACCACATACCTCCACACATTTGCGCTTCCGTATTTCCTCAGACATTCGTCGTAAAAGCCATAAACGGTGGTGATCTGCCGCGACTCGTGGTTTCCACGGATAAGTGTGATCCTGTCAGGATAGCGCACTTTGAGGCAGAGCAAGAGCAAGAACGACTCGAGAGAGTAGAATCCTCTGTCGACAAAGTCGCCTATATACTGTAGTGTTAACGAGCATTCACCGCGAGTTTACCAATAGCGTCTTACCCATGAACAGGTAGTTCGTATCCGGCACATCGCCACCCACTCTGAACAGCTCCATCAGGTCATGGAACTGGCCATGGATATCACCACATATCTGCGCAAGCCTCGGATCAGCTTTGTCGCTTCAGCGGGGTTTGAGCCAACTCCTACCGTTACCGGCGCATCCACGCCCACCACATTTCCCTCCTCTATGAGCAGCTCTCTGGCCTTGTAGCACAGTTCGCGGACCTGTGTTTCGGGGATCGGTCGACATGCGCGCAGCTGGGCGATCGCTCTGGAGACGAGATCAGCGTTCGCCCGTTCGCGTCGCGCGGTGCGTCATACTGGTCAAGATCGCTCATTTTCGGATATGGTGCGCTGTGGGGCTCGGAAGGTTTCAGAAGGTGGGATCCGGGGGTTTGATCGGTCGCGACGTCAATGACGCGTGGGTAGTGCACGAAGCGCGTCCGGGTGAAATGTATGTACGAGGATCTTTGGGGCGAGGTGGCGCTGAGATTGACGAGACGCGACCGGCCGGCTCTCGAAGCGCTAACGAAGCGGAAGGTATTGCAGCAGAGAGACGGAGCCCGTGCGATCAGAGCAGCCCAGAAAAGGGGCCGAGCACAAAGGTGCGAGGAGGGCTGGAGTCTTGAGAGATGGAGCGTGAAGTAGTGCTTGGTGCGGGCGTCGCGAATCGCGAAAGGATGGACGAGATGCGGCTGACGGGCGCCACAAGGGCAGGCTAGCCAATTAGCGAGCCAGAAATCAGCTCCACCCAGCTACGAAGCTCCTCCGTCAGCCCGCAGCAGCCCGCAGCCCGCTTTCCTCTCACACCACAGCACCCGCAACATCCTCCGCTCCCCGCAAAAGCTCGAGCATCGCCGAGCTCTGCATCGCCCTGTACTACCTCCCAAGAATGCCCAATTGCCCTGCCAGCTTCCGCTGACGCCTGTCCAACAGCCCTCCAATGCCACAGTCACAATAAACCTTTCCGCCCAGCCACCAAAACCAGCCTTCTGCCCCGCCGTCGCGACCCGTACAATGCCGCCCACGCTGCATCCGCGGTCCCGCCAAACCGTGTCTCTCTTCACCGGCACGCTGCTTGTCTCGTTCTTCGTCGTCGGCCTACCACACATCCTGCCATGCCCCGTCCCTGCGCGCGCCTTTGCCGACGCGGGCGCGAACGACATCGAACCGGGCCAGCGTCGCAGGCGCAGAAGAAATAGCGCCATTGATTCTGATGGCGCCGAGTCGAGCCAGAACCAGCTGGCAGTGAAGCAAGGTTACTCGCCGGCCACGGGATGTACTTCCGAGGCGGATAGTGACGCGGATTTTGTCAATGGCCGCCCGATGAGAGAGTGTCCCGTGCCCAAGCCAGGAGGACTAGTTGGGCAGATTCTGGGCTTCGAGGGAAAGGAGCGCGCGGTTCCGAAGACGGTCATCGTGGAGAGTGTGAGGGCCCGGAGGAGCAGGAATAATGAGCAGGAAGAAAAGTCGTGACGGAATTGGGGTGTTTTGAATACAAGAGGCGAGCATGTTGATACCAGGGCAGAACCTGCCAATTGATGGGGTTGTAGGTGGGCTCGAGGCTGGGATGCATAGCGAGGTACGGTCCTATCTCCGGGTAGCACGGAGGAATTGTTTATATGTACTTCATACTAAGTTGAATACAAAATTCATACAACAAGCGCACACATCAGCAAGAGTCCTCTAGACAAGCTTGTTTTGAACTAAAGAACATATACACGTCCACCCCACCTCAATTGGCGCGCAGAACTCGAGTCCAGCACCCAATCGCACACCCTCTCAAGCCGTCGAGGCCTCATAAACCGGCACCTCCATCCCCTGGTTCCCCCAACAAGTCGTCTCCCCCACAACCGTATAATCGCACCTAAAATTATCCCCGAGGACAGTCGCGCGCGCCAGCTTCGTACGCACCACCGTCTCCCTAAAAACGAACGCATAAGCCCAAACCAACCTAACACAAGAAGCCAAAAAAAAAAAAAAAAAAAAAAAAAAAAACCACTCACCCGTTCTCCACCTCCTCATACACATGCCTCAACTCCACATCCAAATCCTTGTAGTTCTCCCAGCGAGAAATATACCAACTCCACGTATCGTCCTCGCAAGGCGTCTACGCCACAACACCCACATTAGCAAGCCACACAGTCAATTCTCACCCCTCACCCCTCGCCCCTCGCCCCTCAACCCCACCCAGCCCCGGGCACACATACATAGCTCTGCGGGTATCCCGCGCTCACCAACCGGCTCCACTGCGCCTCGCAGCGCGTCGTCCCGTTATCAGCCGAAAAGCCCGTCTCCAGGACCTCGAACCCAAAGCGGCGGATGATGTGGCCGGGCCTGCTGCTCGGCTCGAAGACCTCGATGGCGCTGAGCTCGAAGCAGCCGTTGGGTGAGGCGCAGGCTGCTGATGCGGCGTGGGGGGTCAGGAGCGCAAGCGCGGTTATGAGGAGGGGTTTGGGGTGCATTTTGGTGGTGGGTTTGGAGCGTGGGGTTCGTTGGTGTGGAGTGCTGGGTGGTGGTTGGTTTTGTGCTCTGTCTTGTCTTTTTATACCTTTGTTCTGGAGAGAGGAGGGTCACGTTGCAAGTGGTTGTGGTTGCACTTTGTTGCCCACCTCGTATACCAGGCTCCAGGGCAGGGCGCGGATGTACCTGCAGTGCGGATAACCAATCAGATGGTGTACGCGATCGCGTAGTAGTGGTCTAGGCTATACAATCTGCGCAGGTCGTTCGACTTCAGATGGAAGAGCTCCCGAACTTGGCGTTGAGTCAGCAGTTCATTCGAGCGAGGTGCAGTAGTAGGATTCGGCTATAGTCAATTGCATATATCTCACCACACTGGTCGCACCACTGCTCAATGCTCGCCAAAGAAAGGTAAACTTTATAGTACTGACAAGCAATATCCAATCCCTGCTTGAAAACCGCCTGTCTTTTTGCTGGCTAAATGGTATCGATAGTCTACGAAAAGTCTTCGCCCTTCTCCTCGATGCCGCTCTTGACGCGCAGGAGCAGCGTCGTCTTCCACTTGTCCAGCTTGGACATCTGGTCGAACTGGAACAGCTTCTCGGAGAACATTTCCTGGTCGCCTGCGTCGACGGCCTCGGCCAGGTCCGTGAGCAGCTGGTTTTCCCGCGTCGACCCGAACGTGTGGTCGAGGTCACGGTAGCTCTCCAGCGCACGGTTGCAGCCCACCATGTCCTGTCAACGTTAATGTTAACTATGGTCGTGCTTTTCCATGTTTGAATGCGGCCATTGCTTACGTTGGTTGCCAAGTGGCAGATGCCTGACTTGAGCAGGTATTCCTTGACCGACCACTTCATCAGGTTGTTGTTAATGCTCGACTTGGCGACGCGCTCGAAGTTCTCAATCGCCTTGTAGTAGTCGCCCTCCAACGCGGCGAGGTCTGCCACCTTCAAGTACAGCTTGTTCGCCAATCTGCAATACCGCGTCAGCCATGCGCGCTTCCAAAGCAACGACAACAGCCATTGTGGCTGGCTCGACTACTCACGCTTCCGCATTGTCGTTCTCGTACCACCCCGCAGCCACCTCATACGCTTCCATCGAGCGCTTCTGGTCCCCAACCTCGACCTCGTACAGCTCCGCCAGATTCTGCTTCCACGTCGCCGCGCGCCGGAAGTTGCCCTTCATGGTGTAGTGGTTGATAGCGGAGTCGAGGCAGCGAGCCGCGTCCTCTGGGTCCGTCTTCTTGTACGTCTTGAACGCCTCGGTGAGCGTATTGGCCGCGTCGTCCGGCTCATTCAGGTTGTTCTGCTGTATCGCCGCCGCGCGCTCGAATGCCAGACCGGCCTCTTTGGCTGTTGTACCCGTTTTCTCAGCGCGACTGCTCGTCCTGCCGTGCAAGGTTGAGTCTTGCGCTTACCCTGCTTCTGCAGCCGGAATGCGTTCGCTGCTTGGATGTACAGCTCCGCTGCATTCTCGTACTTTTCGGTGCGCCCGCCGAAGAGGCTGAAACCTGATCCTGCGGAGGCTATCGCCTTGTCTGCCTGCGCAAAGTATAAGCGCCCGTCCAGCAGTTCAAAGGTCTGGAGCTACCTTTTGCAGTAGTGCACGGGGGTCTTGCGCCATGTTGGTGTTGGTTGCGGTTCAAGCAAAGCTTCGGATTGTCGGGGTATCAAGCGGTCGAGGGCTGGGTATGATGAAAGCTGGTCTGAGTTGTTGATTGCGTTTACGAAGGCGCAGCCACCAGCCCACTTGACGCTCGCTCCCTAATCGATAAGGACATGCGACGACTTCACCGCCGAGGTCTGCCAGCAACACCATCGTCACACTCGCAGGATTCACGAACTTTAATATCTGGATTTTTCTTTTTTAAATGCTCCAATTTTTAATTGTCTAACCACGTAAATGTGGTCTAGTTATCCAGATGTCCTAGACTATATGAGAAAGAGATTAAAATTAACTACTGACACCTACCTGGCGCCTTTCAAAAAGTTCCGCCCGTGTGCCAAAACCCTGTTTTAAGCTCCATCTTTGCAATACGGCACTACTACTGTAACTTCAAGCATTACATCCGAACCCGAGATCAATACCCATGGCTGCATTCACCCCCACCCAGCTTTACGGTGGCACTTTAACGGCGGAACTCCCCGCAGGATTCGGAGACGTCAGGTGTGTCACGACTAATTTTCTCCCCTCTCTATGTAGTAGAGTACTGCTAACAATGCATATAGCGACATCCGCCAAGTCCCCGACAACCAGGAAGTCTACCTCGATGCCAACGGCTTCGCAAGCATCGTCTTCGACATCACGGAGCGGCTCGACCCGTCCCAGGCAAGCAACGATGAAGAAGCGTTAAAATTCCACTTCCACGACATCGCGGGCGACACGAACGACGCGACAAGCTTCTGGCAGTCCGGCTCCGCGAAGTTCACCAAAATGCCGTAAGTTAGCCACCGAAACGTTTCTCTCTGGTTGCTCTGGAATCTGTTACTTTTGACTCACACCTGCAGGAACTTCCCCGCGTACACACTCATCGCCACTCAGCACCCGAACACCGCGGCGCGGGGGCCGCAGCCGGATTTTATTGGCATCCTGCTAATCCTGCTGCGCTTGGAGCAGAAGAAGACTGATATCGTTATCACGATTAATGTGCCTCACGTGCCGGGCGAGTATCCAAAGGATGAGGTTGATTTCGCTGCGGCGAAGCAGGGCCCGCTCATGGAGCATGCTATTACGATCAGACAGAAGATATTGGAGACCTTTGAAGTCAAGGACTGGAGTCTGTTTGTTGATGAAGAGTAAGCGAAAATGTGTATACAGTTAAATAGATAAGATGCCTAAACTGGAGCAAGGGCGCCTTTTGCATCGAGACCACAAAATCCATTGCCGTTTCGACGAAACAAATGTAAATTTTGTCTCCAAACGTGACACTTGGTTAGCAGTTAGTCAGTCCACTTTCAGCGGCTTATCGCACGCAGTACAAAAACGCATTTCGTGAAAGACGCGTCTTCACACGGCAGCAAGCATCCAACCGGGGCGTTACCCGGAGACCCAAGCGGGGGTGGGGAGAGCCGCTAGCGGCGACCACAAACGGACTAGTGAGTTTAATGACGGCAGCCTGCCCGCCAGGCCTCCTCGACACGCACCGGAGCTATCGACACCACGGCTTGAGCTTCCTCCCGCCATCCCAACGCACCCACGCACCTACGCACCCACGCCGCGCACCACCCCACCCCCCTTCGACCTCACACGCGATGGCCGATGTCGACATGACGGACGCGCCCGCCAGCGCCCCCAAGACCAAGACGGGCAAGGCGGCCGGCGAAGGCACCAGCGGGGACGGCAAGAAGAAGTTCGAGGTCAAGAAGGTGCGTTGCTGGCACCGCACATGAGCGGTTAACTGCCTAGCTGGCTGGCTGACTGACTGGCTCTCTCTCTTGCAGTGGAACGCCGTCGCGCTTTGGGCCTGGGATATTGTCGTAGACAACTGCGCTATTTGCCGCAACCACATCATGGACCTGTGTATGACCACCACCACGCCCGGACCGATGGGATTGGCTTGAGACACCCGCTGACTATAGGCGCAGGCATCGAGTGCCAGGCTAACCAGGCCTCCGCCGCTAGCGAAGAGTGCACCGTCGCCTGGGGCATCTGCAACGTACGATGACCCTACCTACATTCCTCCGCCTATCTGCAACCCGCTAATACAATTCCACAGCATGCCTTCCACTTCCACTGCATTTCCCGCTGGCTGAAGACGCGTCAAGTCTGCCCGCTCGACAACCGCGACTGGGAGTTCCAAAAGTACGGTCGCTGAGGCGGTTGCGGGCGTTTGACGGATTGGGGAGAGGGCAAAAGGGCTGGCAAGCAAACGCTGGGCTGCTGGTTCAAACGACGATAGAGACGCGTGGGATTAAGATATGCGGGACTGACTTCCCCCGCGGCTGGGGATGACGACATTCGGGCATTGCATAACGGCGTTGGGAAACGGCCTGGACAAACGGCCATGACAGCTTGCTAGCTGCAACTTTGAATTCAATTGAATTCAATTCATGCAAGAACCTCCTTTGCGCCTGGTGCAAAATGCCGCGTCCTTCAAGTGACCTTCTCCCCGTCCACCTCGATTTCAACTCCGCGCGTGCCGTGAGACTGCGGCGGCAGCCAGGTGATGCGGTCCTTGTTCAGGAAAGGCCACGGTGGAACAACGACGACGAAGGTGAGCGCGGCGCCGCCGAGGACAATGTAGAGCGACAGGAGGATATTCTGGGTCGCGTAGCCGACGAGGAAAGCGACGATCTAAAAAGGCGTTAGGTAGGCAGCGCGACGCGGGGTTGCGTGGGGCAGGGCAAACATACGCCGGCAGTGGACAGGAGCGCAGTAGAGAGCAGCTCAGCGAGGCGCTGGCCGTCGAAATCCTAGAAACAAATCAGCGGCGCAATAAAACCGGGGAGTTTTGCGAGACCAAAACGCACAATCTGGCCCTCGAGCACGTCGCGGGCCTTGTCCAGCAATTCGTCGGCCATGGTGCTTGCTGGTGGAAGTCGTGAGTTGCGATGTGGCTAGAGCGTGCTCCGCGGGCGCGCCGGACGAAGCGTGCCTGGCGTCGCCGCCGCGGAGCCTTGGCCCCCACCACGACGGCCATCTGCGGCGGCGGCGCGGGAGTCGGCGCAGCACCCGTACTGCGCCATGAGGCCGACGACCCAGCGCGCGAGCTCCGCGTCGCCGCCCGCGATGTACCAGACGTTGATGTCGGCGTCGAGGCTCGCTGCGAAGGCTGCGAATGCCGCGAAGGCTTCGCAGTCGCGCTGGTCCAGCGCCCCGTACGCTGTGCTGCTTCCGCTGCTGGAAATGGCTGGGAAGCCAGCTGCTGTCTCGATTCGCCCTTCACTGACGAGAACTACGACTCTTTCGTATCTACCCGATACTCTGGCTACTCTCTCCTTGATCCCGCTTATTTGCACTTGTCCCGGTAGCGGGCGTTGCTTGATCTTCTGGAGCGTGGTGATCAGCAGGCCTGTGGCGCGCGAGACAATGATGTCGGCTTCAGGGAAGCGCGCGTTTGCGTTTCCGGAATCGCGCTCAATGAGGTCTATGTTTGGGTACAGCATCTCAATGTGGCGCAAAAGGTTTCGTTGGCTGCTCACAATTGCTGAAGATATGATAAATGTTTGAGCGGGTAGAGTGGATGGAATGGGTGGTCCGGGTAAGGCAGCTGTGTGAGTCTCATCAGCTGCTGCTGGAGGGGGCAGCATCTCTTCGTTGGGTGCTTTCCGTTCATCTTGTCGACCATAAGACCTCAGGTTTTCTTCACTGGTATCCAAAGTCCCTGGATTTTCCAGAGGGTTGACTGTTGATGCTATTCCATTTTGAAGATCCATAAACTTGGACACAGCCGAGGAAGTAGAGAACATGCCGCCGAGCGCCAGTCCACCATCTAGAATGTTTGACGTTAGAGGAGTGCTGTCTGTGGTCTTTGGCATGTTGTTCTGTTGTGCCCGACGCGCTCTCTCTTCCACCTGTTGACGCTGCTTCATCAGAGCAGTAGCTGAAACAAAATCTCCGAACATTTTCGGCCTCGTCACTGATCTATCTTCTTCATCAAGCATCTCCAACTGCCGTTTACGCACCAAACTCGTTATGTCATTTCTCTCCGTGAAATTTGCTGGTTCCAGCTCTTCTTCGTCATCGCTCGACTCGTCAAGGATACGCAGTCCATCAGGTTTCCACACGAGCAGGTCGACGTCGACCGTCTCGCCCAGGATAATTTTACTTACCATCTTCTCCAGAGCGTCATCATCCTGGAGCGTTTCATTTGGCGCGACTTTTGCAAGTTGGGGTGGGAATGGGCTCCAGTGAAGCTCAGTATCGAGCTTTGATACGCCACGCCATACGGGTGCAAGCTTCAGTTCCTCTTTCGCACATCTGGAAAGGAGTTGTTTCTGCACATCAAGCTCTGTCTCAGTTCGCCCGTGGCCGTATCCCACTTTCCGGCTGTAAGTATCCCACGGAGCAGGTGGAAGAGAGAAATCCATGACAGGAACATCGACCCGGTGGGTAGTATCGACTTCCTGCAGTTGTTCCTGCTCGGCCTGCCGAAGTACATCATCTGCGATTGGCTCTATTTCTTCTGCGAAGAATGCATCGAAACTGTTTTGCGAGTCAAGTACATCATCTCCATTCTCAAAAGTAGACGGGAGCTCCGGGACATATTCGTGTAGGTCATCTGAGAAAGATACAATCTTCATCTTCTTATTTGGATACTGTAATACCGTTGGTGGAGTTAAAGGAACTTCGACTTTAAGGTCCTCTGCAGTTCTTTTCAAGGGGGACGAGACAGGAGGATCAGATATGGTGTACAATGGACTGTACTCCCTGAAAGTGTCGATTTCTCCGAGCGTGATCGAGTCATCGCTAGATGCGTGTTGAGCTGGCTTGTCACAAGCCACTATAGAGTCCTGCTTCATCAACTCCGCTTCCAGTGCTGCTGCCTCGATAGCTGTGGAGTCAGTCAAATCAGATAGGAGCTCTAAGTGGCATGTTGGTGAAGACGATTTGGGATCGGCAAAACTGTTCAACAAAGGCGACATCGGAAGTAGAGGAGGCGTGATTGGTTGATAATCTTGTCGTTTTTCATGTGCGACTTCAGCTTCAATAGTGGTCTCTATTTCCTCTGGCGTCATGTTGCACTTGAGTGTATTTTGCAGGTAGAGAAGGATATTTCTCGACACTTGCAATTTCTCAGAAGCCACTTGCTTGTCGTAATCTGCCGGAAGGGTCTCGCACTTGGTCGGCCAAGCCATTCCCTCATCCTTCTCTTCGTCAACATGCTCAGGTTGGATTTCAGTGTCGCCCAAATCCACCACTGGCTGCTTCAGAAACCTCTTCATATCCATTTCATTGTCTGAACTCAGAATGGGCAACTCTGCCTTAAAGTTTCGAACTCGGTTCAGTCGCGCCATAAATGGATCTTTTTCCGCGTGGAGCTTGGGTACAGAACATGTTGATTGCAAAAACGCCAGTGTCGCTTCATTGACACACAGGCGCTCTTCGATCCGAAAATTGCGCGGCAACTCTAAAGACACTGCGCCGACTGGGTCTAGGAGGCCTTCGGAGAGGAATATAGGCGCTGTAGGGATGAGGTCCGGGTCCAGAGGATATTGAGAAGTAAATTTCTTAGCGATACCATGGAACCTTGCATACTGCAAAATGGTAGGCTCATCGTGTAAGATGGGGTTGGGTTGATGTGGTTCCCTAGGCATGCTGGCTAGCTTACTGCATATCCTCTCGATGTGTGCTAGCTGGATGAGTTGTATGAGGTGGACGTGGTTGCGTGACTTGAAGAGTGCCACATTTATGCAGGAACGCGTCGCGTGCAACGCGAGAGAGACGCGGTCTCACCTGCAACACCTGCCGAAATCGGCAGCAGATGGATGGCGTCAGTTCCTTCATGATGCCGTCAAGTGAGATTATGAAAAACTTTTTGTCCTCATGAGCCGCTAACAAATTAGACTGAGAGAAGTACCAGAAGTCACTCGCAAAGATCAGATTCTGATGATGATTTTTGAAAAGTTGATTTATGTAATTGAAAGCTCAATTATACTTCGAAAATTAATATCCCATAACGCCTCAGAGAAAGTGCAGCAGAATAGGCTACCTGTGCTTTACTCTGATTCCCAAGCGCCCGCTTAATCCGCTTCACCAAAAGTCGCCAAATTCCAAATTGTTCTGGTATCACTGAATTCCAACACCTCAAACCTCAAAACAGCTTCGCACCAGGCGAGCTTAGTCGTTGTAGTTGACGATGCCTGCGCCGTCCTTGCTGACCTGAGGAAGACCATACTTGGCGTTGAGCTCCTCCTCCTGGGACTTGCCATTGGGGTCGTTGACGGGGCGCTCAGCCTGGCAGCAGACGCGGACAGCGTGGCGGCGGTGGGGCACAAAGCCGTACGAGGCCGAGTGGTTGCAGATGCGGTTGTCCCAGAAAGCCACGTCGTTCTTGTTCCACTGGAAGCGGACGTGGGCCTCGTTGACGGTGGCGATGAGCTCGTTAAGGTAGCTGATGATGTGGTCGCTCTCCGTCTTCGGCACGCCGACGATCTTGGTCACGAAGCCAGGGTTGAAGAAGACGGACTTCCAGCCCGTGACTGGGTGCGTGCGCACAAGCGGGTGCTCGGTAACGATGGGGTCGCGGCGGACCGCGCGGCCCATCTGCTTGGAGCCCTCGGCCTGGATGTGTGCGGAGTGAAGGGCGGTCAAGCTCTCGAGGTACTTCTGCATGTACGGCGACATAGAGTCGTAGACTGCGTACTGAGAGGACCAGAGGGTGTCACCTCCACCGCCACGAGGGGGGCCAGTGAGCAGCTTCAGCGAGGTGTAAGAGGGCGGCTGCTCCTCATAGGTAACATCGGAGTGCCAGAGGAAGGTAGGAGTGAAGAGAGACCTCAAGTCCTTGTTGCCTTCAGTGAAGACGACGTGGACGTCCTCGAGGCCCTTGCGGCGAGGGACAGAGGTAGTAGCGTGCTTGTGGAGCTGGCCGAAGTAGGCGCCGAGCTCACGCTGAGCATCAATGTCGAGGTCGTCCTGGTTGCGGAAGAAGACAACACCACGAGTGGCAATCAGGCGGGCGAGATCATTCTTCTGGGCATCGTTGAGCTGAGCAAGCTTGACACCGTGAATCTCAGTGCCGATCTTCGGGTTGTAATCAAAGACGTCCGTTGCAGCATCGAGCAGGTTGCGGAAGTTCGGGTCTCCCTTGAGACCTTTGTCCTCGTAGTGGATGGGACCAAGATCCGGCCAGTGGACGTCGGGGAAACGAGGAAGGAGGTCTTGGTGCTCATAGGTTTCGTCGTAGGACTCAACGTGGGTGCAGCCAGGCTGGTAGTTGAGAGTGGCGGGGTTCTTTGCGGTGACAGGCTTGAGAGCCTTGGTTGGGACATCAGTGGCCACCTGGACAGTGGAGGACTCTTGGATGTAGGGTGCCATGATTGAACGAAGGATGCGAAGTAATGTATAAGAGGAAAGGAACAATGACTAGCACTGTATGAGGAAAAAGAGCAGTGGAGAAGGCGTTGAAGGATTAGATTGCTTTGTGAGTGTAGAAAAAATCTGGAAGGGAGATGGAAGCTTTCTTATAGCCAGAGAAGGAGATGGCGGGATGATGAATCACAGGATCCGTGTCAGAGCATGAAATCATCAGTCAGCCCCTTCAATCGACGAGGATGAGCAATGATGGTCTGGGAGTTGCGCTATCAGGCACCCCCAGCACCTCATCGCAACAAAGGACGACCCCCCACATACGCTAATGCCGTGAAAGTCAGTGCGCAGTGGCAGGCTGATGCTGAATCAGGGAAGAGGTCACACATCACACTCTCAAGTTCCCGTCTTACCATCGTCGTAGGTGGGTAAGAAGAGACGAGGGTGACGAGAAGCGGCGCTACCCCGGATCTGCGGGTGCTGCTGGGCTTGCCGTATGGTTGGAAAAGCGCATCGGTGGAGCAGTAGACGTGTGGGAAGACGGCGGCGCCGATTGCGTGCACCGACTTTACCCAAAGTTTGCATTTCGTCGTCCTGACCACGGCAGCGGATGACGGAGGGTTGGTTTTGGGACGATCTCCCCAGAAGATTTGCGAATGCGGCTGAGGCCACGCGTGTCTCTGATTCGCCGGTCCGCATTGTGGCCCGAAGGGGCAAAGCACGCAATCACCCCGAGCCATCACAACAGCAACGCTGACGACCGCTTTCGCTCTCGACCTCTCTCCAACACTCTCTCTATCCTTTCTCCTGACGATTATGAAACCGATCTCCTTGTTTCAGCAGTACTGTCAATCGCGCTCGTCGTAATCCGGCCGCGTGTGTGTTGCTGGGTGCCGCTTACTTAATCCAAACCATCCTAGTCTGAACCTCGACGTCGCTCCATCCATCCCTTCCCCCTCTTCTCCTTTGTTGCTGGCCTCAAGGCATCCGGCACAAGCGGACTCGCAGCAGGACCATGCAGCGCGCCCGCAGCCCGTCACATTGCCCACCAGCGGCAGCACGCCGATTGCCCTGGCCGGGCTGACTCCCTTCACTTCCAAGACCGGCGTAGCGTATGTGGGGCAGTTGGCTTCGAAGCAACACAAACGCTTGGGAGTCCAGATGCTGGCCGGCTTGACGGGATTTTCTTGCAGCCCGAGTGGCGTTCCGGCGTCGCATTCACAAAGCAGACGAGGTGAAGGCGCACTGATGAGTTGTCTTGTCGTTGCTCTCGGCAGCTTGCAGCTCGGAGAGGTACCATTGTGCGGAGTTGCTCAACCCCCGAGCACAAACTGCTCCTTCCTCAGTCTTTGCATCTCTTTGCCATCGCCTTTTATTCAGTTTTCTGCTTTTTTCTAAAGTCAATTCGTCATGCGCGACGTTTGACTTGTCACGCGCAGCATGCCCGCTATAACTGTCCGGAGACTGCGGGAGCTAACTTGAGCCTGCTATCGCGAAACTAACAAGAAAAACCAAGCTCGAGCCGTCGATAACTGCGAGAACGCACGACAAGGCTGACGCTGGTCTCCCTTGCCTTTGAGCCGGCGGCGGCCCGCTGATTGGTCGTCGCCGTATCGCCTTCGCCTGGGCGGCAGACTGACAACGGTCGACAAAGAGCAACATCTAACGAGAGCCCCATCCTCGCAAAAGCATGCATTTTCCACCACGCCATCCTGCTGCTCTCAATCGGAAACAATTTATCGACGATGCAACGCGTCATTGCAGCACGGGAGTCTACAAGCACGGAAGCAGCCTCCCCATCTCCCCGGCCAATCGAATCAGCAAGGCAGAGTCGCCGTCTACCAATGCAAAAAGTATACTCGACCACCATGCGGCTCTTAGAATCGCCAACGAAGATACGCGCGGCCTCAGCCCCCTTGGTCGCATGCCCGAGCTATCGTTTGCCACTCCAACTATCTTGTGTCGCTCGTTTATCATTTCCTAGCGGCGCTCTCTGGCTGGCCCGATAGTAGCACAAGCGCGACTGGCCTCTATTACCCCACATACGCTAAACGCTTTTGGGCATCGAGTCCATCTCGACTTATGATTCACCATGCGATTATCCAAGTCGGATCCCTTCCTGCTTCCACATGGCTGACGACGCACTGCCCGCCGGGCTCTGCTGCAGCAGGACCACGGCAAAGGCAGAGTCGGCTGCACCGGCGGCGCGCTCAATGTGGCATCAACTTCCATGCGAAGCAATGCATGTCATTCGGGCACAGACATTGGCGCGCGCGCCCACGTCTGCTGCGAGGACGATAAGTTTGGCGCTGCTCCGTCGGCCGTGCCGAACATGCCAGCTCATGAGGGGGGTCAGTTACTATCTCCCTGATTTCGGAACTGCGGCCTGAGCCCAAGTCCATGCATCTGTTTGAGCCACGACGTGCAGCTCCGGACGGGTCCTTCGCCAAGCGTGGTCACCAGACCGGGGTTGTTTTGACCGCTCTCCATCATCGTATTCTCCGAAGACGTTGCATTGCCACTACCAGCCACCCGCTGGCTCTTCCTCCCAAGCGTCTGTAGTGCTGGCTCCAGTCGGATCTCATTACGTACCAGCTTGACCATCTTTCCGCCCGTGGTCGTCTGGGGTATAGGCTTGAGTCGGGCTAACAGTGCAGCAGATGACCTGGAACCCGTTTTTGCGGCCTCAGGGGCCTTCGTCACCGTCTCCGTGCTTTTTTATGTGTCCATCTATTACCACAGTGAAACTGGAGCAATTCGATTCCGCTTTTGACATATAGCCAAGACTGGTTTCAACGTTTGAGCTGGCCATCAGCTACGGACTGTTAAAGAGGCATTTGTCGGCACAGCCAGGTGGGGTTTGCGTCGTCCTTCGCGCACCCCAACCAATATAATGAGAAACTTTATAAAACAGCCAATGCTGAAAGAGAAACGTCTGTCTGACAAGCGGAAGTTGCTGCCACGCTCAAATGTCGGAACCAGTCTCGATGTAATACAGGCGAAGTCGTCCCTTGCTGATACATGGCAAACACAAGACGAATTTCTACATATGATATGCTTACAAGATTCCCTAATCCAACTGCTCGATATCCGCCAATTCATTCACATATCTCAATCAAAACCACATCTTCCAACCACTCAAATCATCCAATCAGTGCCACACGTGAAGTATTCAAAGAAAAATTCTTTTCTCAGTTACTCGACAAAGATTTCTCCACCACGAGAAACCTATGTACTTCCAAGACCAACAGCCCGGCCTAGCAAGCACGGCGACTATATAAAAAAAAGTAAAGGCACATTTGAGTATAGATGTCCCATCAAATCAAGAAAGATAACGAAGATAACGAAGACGACGACAATGGCGACGCCATCCAGAACCGGAGGCACGCAAAAAGCACGCAGCCCGCCTCCTCGCCTCGTCTGAATCCACACACGGCTTTTTGACTTTTGTCTGCTCCAAAACACCTCGCAAATGCAGGAAAACGTAAAAACAAGACATGCAAATACATGAAGCAGCAAAGCCCATCTCCCCGAAAAGAAAAAACGCCACCATATCTTCAACTAAACGCCTTCGGTCCCGAAAACCGCACACACACACACATCTTCTTCTTCCGCGTAAGCAACAGCAGCACCTTCTCCCCCCTTACGAGAAGAAGTACTGGCTCTCCTTCAGCCTCCTAACATCAAAGTCGCCCTTCTTCGGCACAGGCGGGAACGAGACCGGCAGCCAGAACTGGACGTTATTGGCCGTGCGCTTGGGGATTCTCTTCGCGGGGACAGCGGCGGGCTTCTCGTGCTCGACGGGCTCGACGTCCGGCTCGCCGGGCAGGTCGTCGTGGATGTTGCGCTCCTCTCCCAGGACCGGGTCCATCAGGTCGACGACGTCGTCGTCCATGCCGACCGCGTCCTCGGCGCTGTCTTGCGCTGCCGCCGACGACTTCTTGGTGCTTGGGGGCCCGACCTCCGTCTCGCCGAGCTTGCTGATGGGCGCTTCTTCGTCGACGTCCAGGTCGATGGCTTCGGTTTCCTTGGCTTCGTCGTACAGGCTCGCGGGCGTGCTCATCTCTTTGCCCTTGGCCTGCTCTTCGGGATTTTCCGATGCGAGGAGCATTTGGCGCTGCCGCTCGATGAGCAGCTCGTCAATCAGCATGTTGCGCGTCTTGGTCGTCTGCGCCGCCTTCTTGTCTTGCCTCCACTTCATGATGCGCTTGCCGAGCGGCGAGGTGGTCGGCACCGAGGCGAGGTACATGTGGCCCTTGTACCGGACCTGGAATTCCTCGTGCAGGCGGCCGACAATGTCCTCCGAGTGCATGCGCACAAAGGCGTCGCGCAGGACGCGGTTCATGATCGGGATGTCAGCCGCGTGCGTCCAGAAGGAGTCGTGGACCGAAGCGAAAGTAAGGCCGATCTCGCTGCTCTTCAGAGCCGACAGCAGCATGTGCGTTGCGTCGAGCGAATGGATGAAGTTGGGCGGGAATGCTTGAAGCTGCTTGCGCTTGTCGATGGCGTCGGTAGCCTTCGGCTGCACGATATTGAGGTACTGCAGCACAGTGCTGATTTCCTTGGACTTTTGCTGGCGGTACGGCTGCACCACCGGCATTTTAAGTGGCGTCGTCCAAATGACTGTTGCCCGGAAATGGTTCGTAATGTTGGCCGCGAGCGCTTTCTGAGCCTTCTTGTACTTTCTCTGAGCCTTCTTGTACCGGGTCTCGTCAACTTCGCCTTCACCAAGCGTGTTTTGATCCCAATCAATTGCGATCTTCTCGAGCTGCTCGGGGGTGAGGGAAGTCGCAATCCGGTTTGCACAGGCGCCCAACCAGTTCTGGATTTCCTGGGCACCGTTGAACATCTGTCCGAGGGCCTTGAAGATCAGTCTGGCCACGTATGAACCCAAGCCAAAAATACCACCCGGAAGCTCGTCAACCTTATCCTCTTCCGTGAATATGCTTTCAAGCTGCTTGACAACCTGAGCTCTGGCGCCGGTGAAAGTGACACCGTAGACGTTTGTCATGACGGTTTGCTTAACGACCTTGCGGTTGATTTTACCCGTAAGCTTCTTGGCCTGAATATTCCCTACAGCCGCATCTTGAGCAACAAAAGTTTTGACAAGCTCAGCAACTGCAGAGTAAATGTCGGACGGCTTGTCTCCAGGCTCGAGGTTGACTTGCGCAGCGCCGGCCTTGTCACCACCCAGTGCCGCATAGTGCTGGAGACCGTTGCAGGTTCCATCCTGGTGCACCGGAAGCGAAGACTTAAAGAGCGTAGGGTCGGGCGACTCAAGGGCAGCCTTAAGTTCGTAACAAGTTGCTAGACATTGCCATGGGTCTTCGGCAGTGAGCCACCACCGCTTGCCGCCCAGAGGATTGTTGCAAGAGTCGTAAATATCGTCGAGATGGTCCACAGCGAACTGCTCGCGATCCCTTAGACTGGCCTTATCGAAACCGTAAACGTTGGAAAGATGGATCTTGAGCCAACCGAGACCGGTACTACCAAGCTCCTTTCCTTTGGCGAAAGTCAGTAGACCACGCGCCAAATCCGCGCCGAGATGGTTCAGAAGTGGCGGAATGGGGTACGCTCGTCCACGGAAATCCATGTTGTGGGGAAAGTAGATGATTTCGTCTTTGAAAGCGCGCGCAACCTCAAGCTGGAAGTTTTGGAAGCAGCGCTGGGAGTGGTAACCGCTTTTTTCGTTGTCAACCCTCCGCTTTTCGCGCAAGTACATGGCATATTCTTGCCTCGTAGCGTCAGGGCCAGGCTCCTCGGGGTACTCAAGTCGGGGGTTCTCTGGCGCAATTTTTCCAATCTTCTCGCCCGTGTTCCATGCTTCAATGACGACTTTGAACACATCCGGGTTGATGCGCCACGCCGTCTTGCCCAGCACGGTAAGACCAGCCATCACCTCTTTCATGTCGCCCCTATCAGCAGCAGCCATGGCGTAAATCCTTTGGGCGTCGTCCTGGTTCTTGTCCTTGATGATTGGCTCGGGATAACGCAAATAGCCACCTTGCCTGTAGCCAGTCCAAGGCAAGGGCTCGACGACCATGGGATATTTCGTGCCGAAAGAGCCACGAATTGGTTCGCGCATCAGCTTCTCCATGACGTTGGGATGCAACTTAACCATACCGACCTTGCGACCGCCTACGTACATGGTGCTGTGGGAAAAAGCGGGTTGGTAAGCAGTGAGTTGCTTCTGAGTGTCCTTGTCCTTACGGCTAATTGGAATCTTTGCGCCTTCCAGGATCTTAGATAAACACAAGGCTCCAATCTTAGCTTTTACTACGGGTGACCAATCAAGAGACTTGTGTGCATGCTCCTGCATCTTAAGAGCCTCTTCTTTTGCCGCTTCCTCCTGTTCTTCTGCTCCAGCTTCATTCTGTTCTGTGGAGGCGGCCTCTTCAGTCTTGAGTGGTTTGATCAGGTTGTTAAGACGGCGTGCAGAGATTCGTTGATACGATGAATAGGGGTTAGCGAGGGTGTCCCGGATCGCGATGGCGTGCTCCAATGCAAGTTGTTTTCCGATGGCTACAGCAACCCATGAAAGTTTGACTCCTTCGAACTGATCAGGATTTCCGAAGCTGGAAACCGTAATGATGAGGCAGGTTGCAGCTAGCTTTTCCGGTGTGAAAGCTTCCATGAAGGGGCCGATATGTAGCCGATCGTCATGCGGGTCAGTGTTTTCATCAGCATATGCCACCTTGATGTTTTTCAACTCCTCTTCAAAAAGTGGCACCAATGCTGTGTACCACTGCCACATGAGGGCTTCCATGGGCTTCGTTTGCAGCGCCGACGTGATACCCATCCTTTGCATGTTTTGGTTTTCCTCACGCCACCTATTGATAGCAGCATCAATGCTGTCTTCCTCAAGACGGTCCTGACGTAGGCGGTTGAAATAATAGTCCTTTTCTTCCTTAGAGTAGTGGTCCATATCATGGGGGTACGGAATTTGTTTTTCCAGCTCTTCTTTCGTAGTAAAAATTGATAGAGCTTCCTTGACGGTCCGCAACCCTGCACCCTTTTGGAAGACAGCCCTAATTTCCGGAAGGGTATCTTTGGCGGGTTCTATGAACCCTTGCGTGGAGCCATAGTTGGGGCCGAGTAAACCGGCGCTTCCTTCGGCTTCTGCGATGGCTTCTGACAAGCCGGGTCCTTTGATGAGATCAGGCCGAAGTTCAGAGATCACTGCATACTCCGCATCTGTGTAGGCTTCCGACGAGACTGTGGCCCGGAGCACGTCTTCGCCGGCTTGCTCCGCCAAACCCAAATACCGCCTCACAAGTCTCTCCATTATACTACCGCTCGTGGTGGCAATAGCAGCTTTCAACATGCAGGCATAGGTGACTGCATTTGGTTGGATATCATTGTCCCTCATTTCCACCTCTAACCACGCGTTGAGCATGTTAATATTGTAGTCCGGATGTTTCTCGATCACCTTCTCAACAATAGTCAGGATGTACACGTTGTTTGCCTCGAGCAATTCCGGTGCAGTCGGGTGGTACAATTCCCGCATTCGCCGCACCAAAGATGCCGCTCGGTCATAACGGCCTACTCGTATACAAGCGTGTAGATTCGAGTGAAGCTCGGCTGGTTCTCCACCAATGCCATTGAAGTATTGGAGGCGTGGTAATGGTTGGGCGAACGAATTGTTGACGATAAGCGGCTTCGACCATCCGACCCGGAAATCGTGCGTATCATGAGGCATGTCGCCTGTGGAATATTGTTGGAAGGGTGCAGGGTCCTCCCGCACCTGGACGTTCTCGGCGGCTGTGGCGAGTGACCGCGTCTGCGAGGTTGCCACAGGCCGTGACTTGGTTTGCTGGCTGCGGTTACCAGCATCGGGTGTGTTTGGTGCCATGGAGGCATTGCCTCTCCGGCTCGGGGCTGTTACCGCGGGGCAAAGCCATGGCAAATGCAACTGATTTGCCTGAGAGGTGAGGCGGCGGAAGGCGTGACGCTGGGAGCGCCGACTCGCAGCGCGCGCGAGCATGGTTGTTTGGTGGCGCGAGAGACAGGAAAAGGGTATCAGGCCGCGGGCATAAAGCGGAAACAAGAAAAGAGGGTTAGGAATTGCGCAAAGACAAAAAAAAAGGAGCAACGAGCCAAGAGGCGATACAAGCAAATGTTCGCGCGCGAGGCGTTGGAGACTTTTGGTGCACGGCCTGCGCGCGGCAATGACAAAACTGCTGCTCAAGCTCCACCGACCTCCGTCTCGGCCCAACAATGTTCCGCCGGAAATGGCGGGCTTCGGGGTTAGGTTTGAGCATATGCATCTAGCCCAAATAAGAAAACGGCTCTTTTGCGCAACTTCCAACATAGCAGGAAATTGTCAAGTTTCAAAATCCACCCATCAGCTCTGTACAATCAGTATGCAAGGAACACGCAGCGGCCAATCAGCGCCCGCCCATAGTATACACTTTGTCCCGCTCTTTATATACATACACTCAATCAGCATGTCCACACCCCCACCGTTCCGTCCCTTCTTCCTTCCACCATGTACCCATCCTTGATCCTCACCTGCTCAATCGCCGAAGCGCTGCTCGCGCCGTCGTCGGTCAAAGCACCCGGTCCGCAGTCCCAATGCCTGCCGTCCGTCTTGTCGTACACCTTGACTACATCTTCGCCGACAGCCGACACAATCTTCCTAGTGTCGAACATCATGCTTGTAACCGGGTGGTCGTACGCATAGGCATCGAAGATGGAGCCCGTGCGAAGGTCCCAAATCTACCATTCCTGTTAGCTTGTGTCATGAACGCACAACTTCAAGGTTGCCACTTACCCTAATACTTCGGTCCATCGATCCAGTAATCAAGTGCACGTCATCGAATTGGAGCGCCGTCACAGGGCCGGTGTGCCCGACCAGACTGCGGTGAACCTGGCCACTTCTGAGATCCCATAGACGCACCATACCGTCGGCCGTTCCGCAAGCAAGTGCCGCATCGAAGCATTGGAGAGCACCAACGAAGTCCGCCGAGGCATCAGGAACGCGACCAGGGGCGCGCCACTGTCCCTCCAGCGGCGTCAAGTTGGCTGAGGCTTGCGCAGCTGCCCAAAGCACGTCCAGTGTTTGCACGCAGCGGCCCTTTTCCAGATCCCATTGACGCAATGTCTTGTCCGCGGAGCCGGAAACCAGTGTGTCACCCTTGAAGTAAAGAGCCGTAACCTCGGCGACGTGCGCCTCCAAGCTGAAAAGGGGACAATCCTGCATGCTAGTCGCCGGAGGCGGGGGCGGTGCGTCTTCCTCGCCCTGGAAACCTAGCGCATCGTCGTCGTCTTCTTCCACGCTACCTTTGTTGATGCGGTTGTCTTGCGGCGCATATTCAGCACGAGACAAGTCCCAGAGGCGAATAGAGGCGTCCATGGAGCCTGTTGCAACGATGTTGTCCTCAATCTGCAGACAGCGAACCGAAGAGATATGACCTTCAAGCATGCCCATGCAACGGCCAGCGTTCAGGTCCCACACCCTAACAGTATCATCCAGAGAAGCTGTGACCATGGTACCGAACGGCATATCGAAGTCTATCGCAGTTACAATATCGTTGTGAGCAGGTAGTTCCTTGATCTTAGAGCCTGGTTCCATGTGCTCATGCAGGACTGGCATAGATATCCGGCGATTCGCTCTCCGCTTCTTTGTCCGAGGAGAAGGAGCAGGCAGCTTTTCGTAAATCGATTCAGACATGAACTCAGGTGATGATTCCGTACTCTCAATGTTGGTTCCGGGACCTGTCGGTGTTGTAGGAGTCTTCTGTGACAGAGCCGCCTGATCCTCCAGTTCTTCCTGCAGATCATCCATCTTGTTCTCCACGTCAAGCAGCTCATGCTCTAGCTCGGATTCTTCCGATTCCAGTCCCGCTAGCCTGTCCAAAACGATTTTGCGCATAGTGTTGAGATTGAAAATTTTGTTGTCAATCTCTCGAATCTCCGTAGTACACATATTTTTCCGCACGCTCATCATCTCCAAGCGATGATTCAGACGATCTTGTTGGTCCTTGAGGCGCGACATGTCGGGTGGTCCATCCTCATCTTCATTGTCGTTTTCGCCCAGCAAGCGCTGGCCTTTAGAATTATGCCGCGGCCCTCTACGCTTTCTGTGTTGAGACTTGTCATCCTCGGGCAACGTGGCCTGGAAGCCTTGGAAAAGCGAATAGGTGCTGCTCGTTTCTGGTATATCCGCAAGCAGCTCGTCGGGGAGGTAAGAGAGGGCTCGTTGTTGGATCTCGGGGACGGAAAGTTTTGAGCGCACCAGCTCTCGGGGCGTGGCCTGGGCGAGGTTGAAGACAGAGCGCTGTATGCCGGGGCGCCTCAGCTCCCGGTGGAGATCGCCGAGCGCATTGGTATAGTGTTGGCTGACGCCGGCTTCTCCGAGAGGGCCGATGAGGTGGTTTGCGGTGGCGGTGACCTTGCGTCCAAAGGCCTCCAGTTGCCGCGTCTGCTACAATATTAGCAATGCGAAGCGCGCGAACTCGTGCTGCGGCGCCGTACAGTAGATGAGCCGGGGTCCTCATCTCGCAGGTCCTCGGACAGAGGCCTCGGCCTCCCTCTGTGCGACCGGCCTCGAGGTGCATCGTCTCCCCCGGTAGAGGTGGCCATGGGTTATGGTGGTTGACGGCGCGCGGAAGAGGCGTGTTGCTAGCTCAAGGGAATGCAAGCATAATTAGGTTTTTTGCAAGACCCTGGTCAAAAGCGGAGAAATAGCGGTGTCGCACGGCGTTGTTGTCCTGCGATGGAGCCCGCTGCACCCTGGGTTTTGAAGTTGCATCATCCCGTCGCGTCGGCGACAACATTTAGGACGGGAACCTCTGCGGTCCGGTTCCGCCCCGCAACCATGATAGATACATAGTTGACGGCTGCCCCCCGCTGAGTCGTGTGCACAAACAATCATGGACACTGCAGTAGGCTTGACGGACGCCAACCAGGTCTTGGACCTGGCAAACATTCGTTCGACGCTCATGTAAGACCCACTGACTCGACGCCCACTGCGGGGTTCTCAGCTAACGTGGTCGTGCAGCCGTATCGAAGACACCATCACCATCTACCTGATTGAACGCGTCCAGTATCCTCTCAACCGTTCCGTCTACGAGCCCGGCGCCATCCAGGTCCCCGGCAGCCCTCTCAGCTTCTTCGAATGGCTGCTTTTCGAGCAAGAGAGCCTCCACTCACGCCTCCGCCGGTACCAGGCCCCGGACGAGTACCCATTCTTTCCCGAAGCCGTGCGAACACCCGTTCTCAAGCCGCTCGACTACCCGCCGGTCCTGTATCCGAACGATGTCAACGTCAATGCCAAGCTGAAGGAGAATTACATCAAGCACATCCTCCCAGCCGCATGCGCCAAGAGCGAAGGAGGTTCTGAACAGGAAAACAGATCTCATTATGGCTCCACTGCTGTGACCGACATTGCCTGCCTGCAGGCCCTCTCGCGTCGTATCCACTACGGCAAGTTTGTCGCCGAGGCAAAGTTCAGGAAAGAGACGGAGCGCTTTGTCAAGCTCATTCATGATAATGACAAGAAGGGGATTGATGAAGCCATTACCGACGCTGCGGTGGAGAAGAAGGTGCTAGAAAGGTTGCGGTTGAAGGCCACCAACTACGGCAAGGATCCCGAGAACCCGAATGACAAACCGACCAAGATCAATGTGGATGCTGTTGTGGATATGTATAGGGTAAGCAGGATTCCTTTGGCAGATGTGCACGGAGTTATTTTCCCTGTGTTTTTGCTTTGATACCGTGGCAATCTTCCTTGCTTTTGCAGACAGCTAACAAAGCTTACAGGACTGGGTCATTCCATTGACAAAAGAAGTGGAGGTTGAATACCTGATGCAGCGTCTGAAAGGCACTGAATGGGAAAAGAAATGAAACCGGACGAGATTACCCAAGGTGTAAATACCTACGAAGTACTTATGGATGAGATAGTCGCTACATGGACGAAAGCCATTAGACTGCAGTACAGTCCGATCTCGCTTTGGCGTTCAATGTTTATAACGTCGCCTTCTCTGTAACGGCCAAGGTGTGCGAAAGGCCACACAAAACTAAGCGGGACATATCGATACGATATTTTTACCAGTCGAAAGTTGCTGACCAGCAAAAACGTTGTAAGCAGTCTTGACTGTGGTTCTGAGCCTAGGCTTAAAGTCTACCGGCCAACTCACGTAACAAATTCTCGACGCGGGTTTTTTGGCATTTCCGACGTCCAAGAACAGTCAGTCATCCGGATGCGTCGCGACTCAGTCAGCTCAGCCACAGCAACCAACGATATCAAGATTGTAGCAGGTCACATTCAAGGCTACAGAGGATACTTATGCCGTTGTGGGAGCAATTGTCAATGCTACCGCCGATATCACTGAGGCAGCATATCATCTAAACTGCGATGAAGAAGAGAGACATACCGAACATATTGCCATGCATGATTGTTGCTGAGAACTAAAATTACCCTATAAAAAGATCACCAAGGAGCAGGACACTAGTTGCAGTGCAAGAGAAACGCACATATCCCACCGCTAAGGGGGAGAATGACTGTTTTGCGTACGTCTATATTCGCTGATGCAGCAGGTGTGTCGTTTCCATCTGCTCCCCTTTTTTTCCTCTGCGCGGCCTGCAACGAAAAACGCACGGTTAGGGCGATATTGAAAAAGAATATATATAAAAATAAGGACGTTTCCATAAAAATCATCAGCATATATTGTAACTGATGATGATTGTCCACTCCTTACTGTGGATATGAACAGCATCAGTATGGCACGATGAAGTCGGCTATCTCGGTGCTGGCCGCAACGTTGTTCCACCAAAGTAAACTTCCGCGGCGGTATGTCGAGATCGCATACAGGATTTCTTCCTGTTGGTTCTCAACCATTCACAATTGCGTCTAGGGAGGTACTACTCTCTTAAAGTTATGAGTAGATACTCTAGCGTTCTACTTCTTTAAGTACTTGACTTTTTACAAATCTTCTGCTAGAGACTATTGATTAGAGAAGACTACCATTCCGTGTCAGCATATAGTTTCTGATCAAGTACTTGCTTAAACCCGTACGATCCATCTGTCCAAAAAAAATCTGTCATATTTGGGTCTGGTAACGGGTAAAGGCTGCGTAGTGCCTTCTGGAGGGATGCTCGAACATTCCCCTATCTAGTGAAGTAGGTTTGGTTATTCGTGATACCAGGCCCATCTATTGTTCAGACCTCTTTTCTGCTATGAGGTGTTCTGTTTTCGACGAGGGATTGCAGAAGCCATACGTAGTACATAAAGTGGGATGAACAGCAAGGAGGGATTGGCTGCCAAAATCCAGTACCCTCACGCTAAACTCAGCGATGGTTGCCCACCAACGCCGGGGGCGAGCACAACGCTAGGATCTCCCGCCCGGTCTCGACTGATAGTTTAACTGAGATCTTTTCTGGAATAAGGTGACGTGGTCCAGACCGCTTAGGCGACTAGAATATCAAAGTACGTTAAGCAGAAGGCTTGCGCGAGTATTAACCAGGTATTCGATATCAATTTACCCTTTCCAGGACTAATTCGTTTCTCTGCACCCGGTCCAACCAGTCCATTGACACTGTTTGGCTGATCCTTGCCAGAACCAGTGACCGAATCAGGAAGTGCAGATCAACAGGTACAGTTGTGAAGTGGCCTACCCGTTTCTGTGTCGGATTATGGGACCATTACCACGTAGGCCTAGGCAGGGATGTTTTTGTTGAGGTGATAGGACGTCGTTGACGAACTTCTTCACTAACCTCCATTTCCCTTCTCGTCCAGCGATCTTCTCTCCTTTACCGTTTGGGGTTCAGGACAAGCATCGCAGAAGTCTTTTATGGACGAGGTAAAATGGAACTTGCCGTCGTCATGTGAGCGGTAGCTGTCGGCTTACGCAGTGACCTTTCCGTGATGTCCTGATCTACCATGTATACAATAGGCTGGCATTCTATAGTTTCGCTTGCGCTTCCGAAATGTAGTAAGGCCAGATCGACTTGGTGGTTTTTCCTTTGGCTGTGTTTCAGTTTCCACGACCACATACCAAGGACTAAACCCGAGTGAGAAAGAAGCTAATCATAACCATGTTTAGATGCAACACAACTACTTTGCTAAAAGGCCTTGACATTATCACAAAATGAGTATTTCCAGTTACGTCCGGAACTGTTCGCGTAGACCCAAAGCGATCACGATCAGTTCGATTGGGAAGACACCTATCTGAACCCTGCCAGAATGGTAGTTCAGATCAGTCCAGGCAGAGGCATTAAACTCCCGGAAATGACAGTTCCTAGGGACGCACGAAGTGTTGTATTGCCGGCGCGCGCACGGGCAGCGATATAACCAACAGTGCCACGGATCACCCAGGGGCGGCAACAGTGGGGGCAGGAGAAGACGGGGGCATCGATGGCGGCATGGGCGCAAGTGACGAAACAAGAAACGGTGGCGTTGCGGGGGGGTGCACGAAGATGGAACGAGTCGGTCGGGGAGAGGGGCAGATCGGTAAAGCAATTCAGGTGGAGCACGTCAACATCCGGCATGCCAGCACGTGGCTCCCGCTTCGTATTTACCTATCGGCACGCAGCGCACGCGCGCTCAGTAACCCTTGCTCTCGGCGTCCTCCCTGAGCCGGTCTTCAATCTCTTCCAGCTGCTCGGGGCTGTCCATCTCGATGATGCGCCCGACCTCGGCTGTGTTGCGCAGTAGCTCTTTGGCGCCCGCGTACAGCATCTTCATCTCGCTGTTGCACGTCGCCGGTAGGTAGTAGATCATGACGTAGGGAACGTAGAGGCGGCCGGTGGACTGTAAGGGGGTCACAAAATGTGAGGCGTCAGTCGCTGCGCTGGGCTGGTACTGGCTCGTTCTTCGGGGACGTGGAGGGGGAAGGGGGAGGGGACTCGTACGAGCTCGAGTGGGTAGCTCAGCAGGACGTAGCGCGGCGAGTTGTCCGGCAGCTTGTCGGCCAACTTCTGCATGTTGTTGTACACTTCGGCATCGGCCTGCGAGATCTCGAGCGACTTCTTGTCTATCTGGTCTGGAGGGAGGCAGGAGCCGTCTCAGTACGTGTCGGGCGCGCAGGGAGGCGGGCGCGGCGAGGGGAAAAGGAGGCGAGATCGATCGGAGCAGGATCCATATCTCTCTCTCTCGCTCTCTTTCTCATTCCCCCCTAGCGGCGTCGGGGAAAAGCGTGCGTACAGATGACGGCTTGGGCATCTTTGGCTCTGGACGTGCCCAGGCGGAACTTCCGCAGCTTGTCGCGCGTCTCCTGCGAGAAGGTGTAGAGTCTTGCTTCGGAGGCCTGGGGCGGGCGTCAGCAGGTGGGCGGGTCGCGGGGACGAGGGCGGCGGGGATGAACCATTTCGGAGGACGTGAATGCGGCGAGGTACGAGGTGTCGAGGGGACGTTGGTAGGGCTGAAGAAGCAGCGGACGCCAGCCCCTCGTCGACGTCCGCAGATGTCATGCGGGGAACGCGTTCGCGACCCACCTGGCGTTAGTAATGACTCGCGCGCCGCCTCTCATGACGCCTTTGATGCTGCGCCCGCCGGCCTCTCTCACTTCCATTCGCTCTTCCCGCTGCTGCTGCTGCTGCCTGAAGTACTGCTCCACAACCCATGTTCGGCCGCCTGAGCCAGCTTGCCAGACACTTCTCTCGTCCTCTCCCCAACTACGCCCATCGTTCCGCCGCATTCGGCTCCGGCACGCACACGTACCCGGCCATGGCTGCAACCAGCGCGCAGGGCAAGAGCATGATCCACACGGCCGCAGCTCTGATCATAGGAGACGAAGTCCTCGGCGGCAAGGTCGAGGTCCCCGCCCTCTCGAGTCTATGCCATGCGCTAATTCAGTACCCTGCAGACCGTCGACACGAACTCGGCCTTCTTCGCCAAGTTCTGCTTCCGTCTAGGAATCCAACTCAAGCGCATCGAGGTCATCGCCGACGATGAAGACGAGATTGTCGAGGCTACGCGGCGCATGTCCAATAACTACGATTTCGTTGTGACTTCGGGCGGCATTGGACCAACGTAAGCACCGCGGCCAGCGAGCGCATTGGACGGAGGCTGACTGGGGACAGGCACGATGACATTACCTACCAGTCGATCGCAAAAGCCTTTGATCTACCGTTGGTGCTTCACGAAGAGGCCTATGAGCGGATGAAGCGTCTTTCGAAACCGCATCCCTCGAAGCCGAAATTTAACTGGGACGAGCCTTCGCCTGCGCTTGAAGCGAAGAAGCGCATGGTTCTTCTGCCAATCGACAAGAACAGACCTTTGGATGAACAGGCAGTGTTTGTCGACGAGGAGCTGTGGGTGCCCATCAGCGTGGTCAACGGTAACATACATATACTTCCAGGCATCCCTCGGCTTTTCGAGAGGATGCTCGACGCGCTGAAGCCGCAGTTGTTGCCGCGCTTGAGAGACCCGGAGGGCAAGGGTATTCACAGGATAATGATTTCGACGCCGATGCCAGAGAGCTCTGTCGCGGGCTATCTGACGGAGCTAGCTGCCAAGGTGGAGGCGCGAGGCATCAAGGTGGGAAGCTACCCGCGGTGGGGAAAGGCGCGCAACACGGTGACGCTCGTGGGACGCGATGTCGAGTACATGCGCAGCCTGGTTCCGGAGGTGGAGAAGGCGGTGGATGGCAAACGGGTGGTGGTCGAGGGCGAGGACGACTCAGAGTAGATTGGCCATGCATGCATGAATTTACGACGCGCACCAGAACCAATAGCACTTTGGTGAGACAGGCAGCTGAGTTGAGTGGCAGGGGTTTCAGGGCAAACGTCAGAGATGCAAGGCCGTTGGGAGGGTCGCGTGAAGATCGTGGGCAGGGTGGGGCGGCCGATTGGGAAGTGAGGCTTCGGGAATGCGCATGCAGCGGCCATAACATGACCTGCACGGCGCCGAGAAGAGGCGGGCAGCGAGAGTGGGATTGGGCCGGGGGCACGAGTCGCAAAGGCAAGTTACGTGGCAGCGGCGGGCCGGAGATAGGCTCGGCGGCAATGGGGGCGGGCGGCTGGAGTGAGACACACTGCAGCTTGTATGCCATCCAACATAGGGGGAGGGGAGGAGCGAAAAAAAAGGCGGGCGTGTTTTTTTTCTTTGGCTCGCGCGCACCTGGCCCGCGGCTCTTATCGAATGGCATTGAGGCGATAGATTGCTCGACTGATTCTTGCTGAGGACGGGCCATCCGGGCAGCGAAGACGCCCAGGGCACTGGCCGTCTTCCTACCCGCGCCCGCATTGTACTCTTCTCCCGAACAACACAACCTCACCCCGTTCCACTCTCTTTCCCTCTTCTCTCTTTCTCCCTCTCCCCCCCCCAACCTCCCATTGTCCGGGCACACCACACACACTACAGAAAAGAGAGAGCCCTCGCATCCGCCTCGAGTCGTCGTCCGTCCCAGCTCGAGCCTTCCGTTCTTTTCGCTCTCCCCCGAACCAGCCAACCAAGCGCAAGCGAAGCACCCGCCGACGAGCCATCCCCTCCGACGCCCGCCTCGCGCAGCTCCAACTCCAAAGCTAGCACCGACCGCCGTTCTTCCTTTCCTCGCAGCAATGGCGTCCAAGGTGCGCTGCCCTCATCTCGCTCGCCCGACCCACTCGCTTCGGCTGACCTGACTCGTGCAGTTCCTCAGAGAATACAAGCTCGTAGTAGTAGGAGGTGGTGGTGTGGGTAAATCCTGCTTGACCATCCAGCTGATCCAGAGCCACTTCGTCGACGAGTATGACCCGACCATTGAAGGTGCGTTGCCCGCGGCATTGCCATACCGCCCATGCCCCCCTTTCTTCGCGCAGATCATCGCCAACACCCGACGCTGACGTCGCTGCCCGCAGACTCGTACCGCAAGCAGTGCGTTATCGATGAAGAGGTTGCCCTCCTCGACGTCCTCGATACCGCCGGCCAGGAGGAGTACTCGGCGATGCGCGAGCAGTACATGCGGACCGGCGAGGGCTTCCTGCTCGTCTACTCGATAACCTCCCGGCAATCCTTTGAGGAAATCATGACCTTCCAGCAGCAGATTCTGCGCGTCAAGGACAAGGACTACTTCCCCATCATCGTCGTTGGCAACAAGTGTGATTTGGAGACCGAGAGGCAGGTCTCGACGGAAGGTCAGTAAACACGCATTTATTTTTCCCTCCTCAAACAAGAGAAAAAAGACAAAGAACAAAAGGACAACAATGGACACGACTGGTGCAGTTGGCTGACCGCAGCTTTCGTTGCTATCCACAGAGGGCCAAAACCTGGCGAAGCAATTCGGATGCAAGTTCCTCGAGACGTCTGCGAAATCGCGCGTCAATGTCGACAACGCCTTCTACGACCTCGTTCGGGAGATCAGGAGATACAACCGCGAGATGTCGTCACCGGGCGCGCCGGCGGCCGGCGGCAACGGTCCCTCGGGCAAGATGGAGATGGACGGTGATGCCGAGAACAAGGGCTGCTGCTGCATTGTCATGTAAAGCGCATCCATACCCATACACACGCGCGCAAGCAAGCAAAGTACGTCTTACGTTGGTGGTCCGGGTAAATGATTTGGGAAGTGGAAGGAACTGGGCATGGTAGGAAGGTGGAATCATTGCATCGGCTGCCACACAAACACACGAACGCACGCACGGAGCAGGAGGGAATAATGTGGTAGCCATTATACCAACGGTCATGCATCTACCTGTTTTTCATCGTTTTCTTTTTGCCGGAGCACTGATGGGAGGAGTAGAGACGACACAAGCGACAACCCTTTTTGCCTTTTTTTCCCTCTACAATTTCTTCTTTTACCGCTTTTCTCTTTCTATTAAAGATACTTATCGGCACTTTAACTTTCTCCCCCTCTTCTTTTTTTTCGTAGCACTTCTTGGCGGCAGAGGGGAGATAATTTCTCTCACTCACTTTCTGGGTACTTTTTTTTTTCCCTTTCTTTTCTTTCTCACACCACTTCTTGCTTTCTTTCCCCAAAAAAGGCGCGTCGTTGTCGTCATCGAATAAGAACCATCATCTCTCTCATCCCTCCATGTGTCTCTGTCTCTCTCTCTCTCTCTGTCTCTCTGTTTTTGGTGACGAGGTCCGGGGTTGTAGGAAATACGGTTCTTAGCTGGTCTGCGTCGCACAACTCTTACGTCTGTCTGTATTCCTCTTTCACTCGACCGATCGGCCGGTCTAGTCTGGGCGGAATCATGCGTAATCTGCATTATGTTTTATCTCTTATTTTGCATGGCCGATGTCGCTGTCGCTATGCAGCCGCTCCTGTTGCTATCGCTATTGCTACTACGGTTCCCTGTTTTGCTGACCGCCTCGCTTAAAATCCTTTGCTCCGTGTCCATTATCTTGTTCGTCCTTGAAACGCATACTTTGTTGTTGGCGACGTCAATGTCGTCGTTGGTTGTTGGACGTGCTCGTGTTGCTGCTAATTCGTTCCGTTTCAAGCGCGTTAGCTCTGCTTCCTTCGCTCCCTTCCTTCGCTCCCACGGCTCCTGGCCCCCACTCCCGGATTCCCCTCGCCATTTCCTCATCCGCCGTGCCGTCGCGCGCGTAGCGCAACGTTGCTGCGTCGGGCCCGGGTCGCCACAGATGTCAACGGCGCTGGTGGACAACGGCGGCGATGGAGAACGGGCCGGGCAACGGGCAACGGGCAACGGGCGGGGAGGACGATGTCACTGTTATGCTGTCCATCACTGGACGACGCAATTCGTGCGTCCGTCCCTGGGATTCGGATGCGGTGACGGGCTACGGCAGTAGTACGATGCTGCTGTTGCTGGGGTTGCAACGTGTTCGGCTGCATGTAGGCGCATGTGTCTCCGTGGCGGGGAGGGGCGGCCCTTGGGATCCGGAAGCTGTTTGGAAGCGCGCTGATGGGGCTGCTGGCTGGCTGGCTGAGTGGTTGTACCGAGTACTACATGCGTCGTCGTAGGTGGTTGTTATTGTGGAAACATGCCTTGACAAGACGTCATTCATTCACTCGCTGCAGGTCCATCAACTCCCTACCTAGAGTAGGTACCTAGCCTCTAACTACCCACATACATCCACCCATAGGTACTGACGTAGACGATAACCACCTACCCTCCAGCGCAAACGCACCCCTCCCCCTTCGCACACACACCCGCCGCCATCCCCGCTCCGCTCCGTCCCGTCCCGTCTCGTCCCGTCCCTTGCGTAACCCCCCAGCCAGCCAACGGCCACACCAAACGAGCAGCAGCGGGCAGCGCACTAACGCACTCACTCGCTCACTCACTCACACAGGCACACAAAGCTATCTAGCTAGATAGCTTCTCAGCCGCTCCCGCCACTTCCGCACGCCAGCCGCACGCCGTACGCATGCACGCACGCCACGCCACGGCTTTCCAGCGCGCTTACGCTTACGCTGACGCTGCTGTGTGTATGTATGTGTATGTGTGTGTGTGTGTGTGTGTGCACATACGGTACATGTACATGCAGCAGCAGCGGCGGGCACCGCTCCGCGGCCGTGGCGTGCGTGCGTGCATGCATGCGTGGGTGCGCGCGCGCGTGCGCTGGGCGTGCGGGTGCGAGTGTTGCTGCTGCTGTTGGTGCTGCTGGTGCTCACCGTATGTTCGGGTTGGTTGGGGGACGTTGGCGTGAGGTGTGTTTGTGTGGGTTGGTAAGGACAGGGGTAGGGATGGGCGTAGGCGTGGCTGATGCGGTGGCGTCTGGGGGTCCTGGGTGTGCGGTGTTTGGTTGGCTGGGTGGGTGATTGCGGACATGGGTGATGGAGACGAGAAGAGAGATTGAGATTGAGAGTGAGATTGTTTTCATTGATCAGTCCTCACAACCCCATCCCCATCCCCATCCACCACCGTCTCCGTCTCCGCCTCCATCAGTCGCAGCGCACAAACAAACGCCACCCCCCTCGCCCGCATCGCACAAACGCGCCGTTTCCCGTTCAAGCCGTTTTCGCGTTCCTGCCCGTTACGGCAAGGCTGGCTGGCTCGCTCACTCTGAGAATTGCTTTTGCGGCTCGGCGGCAGCGCCAGGGCATGGGCATGGGTATGGGTACGGATATGGGGGCTGGGAAGCGCGTTTCTGTTCTCGTTGCTGCGCTAGCCGGGTTGGGTTCTGGCTTCTTTCTTTCTTTGGGGGCGTGTGGATGTGTGTGTGTGTGTGTGTGTGTGTGTGTGTGTGTGTGGGTTTTGTTTTTTCCTTTTTCTCTCTTTGCGGGGGCGAGCAGGGAGCGTGCTTCTAGTGGCGTAGGGGCTGTGAGAGGGGGATGGTCATGCCCCGGGGATGGGCTGGGTTCATCTACGTCTTCTTCGCGTTTATCTCTTTCTGCGTCTCTTTCTTCCCTGCCTACCGCCTCCTCCCTCACCACCACAAATACTCCTCCCCCTCCTCCGCCCCCACCTGCCTCCATCAACGCGCCCTCCCTCGCTCTCCCCCCTCTCCGCACCAGCATCAGCACCACCGCGCGACGCCCTCACCCGCCCCCGCGTCACACGGCATCCCGCCGCGCACCTCGCCCTGCCACGCCACACTGCGCTGCGCTGCGCTCTGCGTGCGGGCTGCGTCGCTGCGGTGCCAGGCACGACGAACGGCTGCGCGGCGCGGCGCACGCGCGCCCACGCGGATGCGGATGCGCGTGCGCATGCCGTGTCTCAGGCACGAGCGAACGGCGGGTGCGGGTGCGGGTGGTTGCAGGCGGCGGGCGGTGGGCAGCGCGCTGTGGGCGGGGAAGGGCAGCGACGGGGCGAGGCGGGGCGTGCTATGGTGTGGTGCGGTGCGTTTGGTTGGTGCCTACCTAGGTACTTACTTGCTTAGTTCACTGGTGGTTGGCTGGCTGGCTTGCTGCGAGGTGGAGGCTGGTGGGTGTGTTAGGCTGCCTTTCGCTTTCTTCTCTTCTTCTCGTTCTCTTTTCCTCGCTTTGGCATTTGGTCCGTCCTGTTCTGGTTCTGTGGTGGCGAGGATGGCGTGTTTCTTTGTGAGAGCGGACAGACAGACAGTGGTGGCTGGCCGACTGACTGACTGTAGTCTAGACCTCCGGCTCGTTCGCTCACTCACTCTCCTAATCCGTCTGTCTGGTACATGCCATCCTTACCCTCTTTCCTTTTACTTTTTTACTTTTTTACTTTTCTCTTTCCTTTCTTTTCTACTCTCCTCTTCCCGTCCCCAATCCCACACCAGACATACAATAACAACAACGAGAACAAGAACAAGAAAAAGAACAAGAAGCCAAAAAAAGAGCCAGGAAAATCTGAAAACCCCCCTCTCTCCCCTCACTCTTACCCAAGCCACACAAGCCCCCCTAGCCCGGCTTAGTCTATTCCATCCACCGCCAGCAAAGTCACTGCCTTAGTATTCTGAATACCACTGTTTCATCTCATCCCCATAAAAAAGCAACAGAACCGAAATACAAGACAACAAGACAACAAACCCAACCCTCTCAACCCATCCCACCCTCCACAGATCCATACATACATATGCACCAGCAAAGTGATTAGTAGTTCCCAAGTCCCAAAAACACTATCCCCACCCAGCACTACACTACACTACACTACCTCACTAAACGCGCACACACACACGCACACACACAAACACAAAAGCAAACAAACAACCGCACCCCTTCCCAGCCCAATCCTCGCATAACACCGCAAAATACAAAATACACGCGTGCAGAAAGCGGGAAAGGCGTACCTAGAAGGCAGAGCCGGGCGCGGTGTATAGCTAGAGAAGTAAGCAAGGGAGGCCAAAGGGGAGGAAGGGTCGACTCGACTTCACACAATACAGCGACGCGCTTTCACGACACCAGAACCTGCTCCTAGGTACCTACCTGTCCATTAGAGAAGAAAGGCATAAATGCGCACGGCACGAACAAGGCATGGCAATGGCAGCGCCTCATTTACCCGGACAGTCACGACACCGGCCAGCCATGCACAACACCAAGCCAGCCTCAAAAACAGCGCATACAGTGGACGCACACACGCACGCATGCACGCACGCCAAACCCCGGCTCAGAGCTCCCAACCAAGACAAGCGATTATTATCAGCATCAAGCCGAGCACACGAACCGACGGACCGACCGACGCACTGACATACTGGACCGCGGCAGTAACTCGCGGCAGCATGCAGCATGCAGCAGCAGCAGCAGCAGCAGCAGCAGCAGCGACAGCAGCAGCGTCAATCCGTCCGCCCGCCCGGGTTCCCTTTCGTTGTTTTGATAGGCTGCCGTGATGCATATGTACAGTCTACCAAGTGTCAAGACCCTGCGCAACCCCGCAACGTTTGATTGCATGCATGCAAAGGAGTTTATAATTCTTGTCGTGAATCCACCCTCCACAACACTGCGCCAACACACAACTCGCTGTCTAGAAGCATGCTAAAGGAAGTAATCGGGGGTCCTGCGCGAGACCATGGGCTCGCCGGCGCGCGGGCATGGGTCGAATTGGAGGCTGTGCGGTGGAGAGAATACGGTTAGCACTGCGGCTGCGGTGGAGGGAGAGTCGCCATTGTGTCCTTGAATATAGGATCGAGGCTCGGGAGGAACTTACAAGGTGTACTTGAGGTGCTCGTCTATCTCCATGATCGCGGCCTGGTTGCCGCATCTGTAGCAGTAGTTGGGTGCTGTTTGGCACGAGTCAGCGCGCTGCGCTAGTCATGTTATGGGGGGCCCGAAGTCTCCGTACCTGAGAAGATGGTCACGACATTCCTGTCCTGAGACCAGTTGTAGCCCTCCATCACCAGCTGATGCGCTCTCGCGACCAGAGTCAAGCCGTTGTTGTGGTTAAAGGCCTCGGAAATGTCCTGGCCGAAGGTGTAACCCGCACCTCTGGGGGAGATGCCCCAGCCGCACCGGTCATCGGGGTCGGACCAGAGCAGATCGCACATGGGTCCCTCGTGCGGCACCTCCTGTATCCTGTCGAGGGCGCGAATGTTGTCGAGGGTGTCGATGCTGGGAGACAGACCGCCGTGGAGACAGAAGATCTGACCGTCGATGAGGGCGGTGAGGGGGAGGTAGTCGAAGAGGTCGGTGAAGTACTTCCAGACGTTCGCGTTGCCATACTTCCGGAGGCATTCGTCGTAGAAGCCGTAGACTTGGGTGATCTGGCGCGACTCGTGGTTGCCGCGGAGGATGGTGATGCGTTGAGGGTAGCGGATCTTAAGGGCAACAAGGAGAGTGACGGTCTCAACGGAGAAGTAACCACGGTCAACGTAGTCACCTATAGCCAGGTTAGGACGTCGCATCAACAGCGATGGCGAGATGATGTAGATCTGGCATACCCATGAAGAGGTAGTTGGTGTCGGGGTTGGGACCACCAATCTTGAACAGCTCCATCAGATCGTGGAACTGGCCGTGGATGTCACCGCAGACTGTGACAGGGCATTTCTGGTGGCGGGGGTGAGCAATTGACACGGGGCAAATTTCAGCGAGGCTGAAGACGTACCACTGGCTGGACGTTCGACTCGTCTTGAAGCACCTCCCGGGCCTGGCATTGCACCACGTCAGCTCCTGCTCTCTCGCAATGCCCTAGGTCAGGCCCGTACCTTGTCACAAAGCCTCTGGACATCTTCCTCCTTCAGCTGTTTGCAGCTCATCAGGCTCTCGATCCAGCCGTCCAGCGTGGGGATGGTCGTGGGCTCCGACTTCATGGACGAGAGCTGGCTGGGATCGGGCAGCTTTCCCACGTCCTCCATGTTGGTATCCATGGCTCGGCTGTGTGGCTCTGTGCAGGTGAAAGAAGCGATCGGCTTTGAGGTGCAGGTCGTGGGGCAGTTGTGTTGTCGCGCCCCGGATTAGGAAGAAATGACGTTCAACTCGATACTATCGTGTCGGGAGGGGCACGTGGGGGACGGGGGAGGCGTTGAGAATGGCACCGGCGGAGAGGGCAACGAGCAAGTCAAGGGCGGAGAGGGGAGGCTCGCCGGGGTATCTTGCGGATGACAGGCGTCTGGACGGGTTGAGGAGCTTTGGTGGGTGTATGGCGTTCTTGCACCGCCTGAGTCGGTCTGTTCGGAGCGGAAATCAGGCCTGCCAAGCCCAACAGGGCCCGCGTCAACGTTGTTCCGCCACGCCTTGTGTCGCAGAGTGCCAGACTCGACTTCATCTTCTCTTTCCTCCATGCCCCCGACGTCGGCGTGTACATACCACTCTCTCTCGGCTGTACGCGTTATGTCCGATCGGCTATTCGCTCCATCCTACTATCACAGCTGTCGCTATTACCGCTAAACCCGATCATGTCTTTGCGTGCTGACGTCGTCATCTTGCCTATAAAGCTGCCCCGCTTCCGTTGCCGTTGACATGACCATTCCCAGAACCAAACTCTCACTTCCACCTCATCCTCCACCTACACAATGTCGAGCCACCCTTCGATCCACGCCTCCCACGAGCATGACCCGCGCTGGGACGCCGTCGACCACTACGCAATCCCGCACCTGCATGGCCGCAACAAGGCCCTGTCCGAGGTTCTCGACAAAGCATGGAAAGCGCAGACAGAGAACGGCCTGCCCGACATCGCCGTCTCACCCGCTCAGGGAAAGTTCCTGATGCTGCAGGCACGCATGCTGGGCGTCAAGCACGCCCTCGAAGTCGGCACGCTCGGCGCCTACTCAACCATCTGGCTCGCGCACGCGAACCCGGACATCAAGATCACGACGGTCGAGGTCGACGCGAAGCACGCTGCTGTTGCCAAAGATAGCTTGCGCGCTGCTGGCGTGGCGGACCGTGTCGAGATCATCGTCGGCAGTGGCGTCGACGTGCTGCCTAAGCTTGTTGAAGAAGTCAACAAGGGCCAGAGGGAGCGCTTTGGGTTCGCGTTCATCGACGCGGACAAGGAGAATAATTGGACTTATTTTGATCAGGCGGCCAAGATGTGCACACCGCGCGCTTGTCTGATCGTCGATAACGTGGTTAGGAAAGGTCGATTGGCCGATGAGGAGGCTGCTGCGTCGGATAAGAACATCAGAGGTGCGCGAGAGGTTATCGAGAAGGTAGGGAAGGACGAGCGGGTCGATGGTGCTGTTATTCAGACGGTGGGCGAGAAGAGCTATGACGGGTTCTTGGTTGCTGTTGCAAGGGATGATATTGTCGAGTACGTGAAGAGCCAGGCTGCTTAGGCTAGAACTGGCTGTAAGTGTAGGCGGGTGCGGGCCGCGAGCAATGTCCGTGTGCAGATTAATCTGCGATGAGATTAACGATAAATGACTGGGATTGAACTTTACCCGAGCCTCTCTTCTTAATGTAGCTTTTAATTTTAACTTGGCCTCCAAATCTCCTGTCCTCTATGTTGTATTTTCATGTTCATCCCAGATTTGGTCATTGTTAACTATTCACAGTACTTCTTGCATCATCGTTCAAAGGCTCCAATGTGCCAGATCACACTCTACATGGAACCAAGGAACATACTGCAAGCTCAAACCTCATAAAAAAGAATGAATGAAAGAGACAGAAATAATGCCAAAACCTTATTCAAGCCAAGCCGAGCAAGGAACGTCAACCGCGGTCCAACAATTCCTTCAGCAATGGACGCAACTGGTCTCAATTTTCCCCCTTTATCGTCTGCACCAGCAATCGAGAACGTAGAGCAGAAGAAATTGTAGGCGCTGTACCACATATTAACTACGCTTTCAGACCGTTTAACTTTTGCAAACCTACAACGTCAAACTGGACCTCTGTGAAAGCGACTCAAAAATCCGCCAACGTCATTGTGTATCTGTTATAAATAGCTATGGAATCAGATATCCAGCTCTCCAAAGCAGCGCTTCTCACCTAAAAGGAGCGCGGTGACAACTTTAAACCTGTGGAGAAGCTACTATGTCTCACAAGAATGGCTTCGCCTTAGACTACACTACGCTCTTTGCGAAACAGTTGCAGTACGTAAGAGGTTAGCTGATATGCTTTCATACTACGATGATAGTAGTCGCTACCATTATTCTACGCTGGTGTGGAGTATCGTGGTGTGGAGATGATGGCTAGCATTTTCTACTGTGAAGTAAGTAGTTTTTTAAGTAAAGTGGGAAAGAAGAAGTTGTCTTGTTCCGGTTGGGGGTAAGCAACCTAGCTGTTTTTCTGGTATGTCTGGCCTTCTTCTCACCATACAGCGTCTTTCTTGCCATGGCGTCTAAGATAGTAGATAATGCTGTAAGCAAATGAGTGAGAATATAGAAAGATATACTTGTGTGAAGTGGAGCAAACTGGCAGATGGCCACTGATAGGGCGGGGTTAAAGGTAGTTCTTGCTTGCTAAACTAACTACAAAGTTAAGGTACTTTAGTGTGCCTATATCTACCTACAACCGTATGTAGCTGCCAGTCTGGTCGTACAGTGAGTGCTTATGCGTATACGGACTGGTCTCATCTTTCTCCTACCCTGAGACACATATTCTTACTTACAACGTAAAACCATTATACTACGGGCCCGAAGCATACAGCCCTGATACTGGCTCTATAATACCCTAACATACTATATCCTCGCTTCTTTCCAATTTTATTTTTCAGTGTCTGCACGATTAAATGCACACATGAAGCCATGCCGTTATACCAGACAAGACTAAATAATGATCAGACGCTTATGAGAATTTGTGCTGTATGGTCGAGTAGACTAGCTTGTAAATTAGGGGGCTTGGGTGAGGTTGGTTGTGGTCAGGATATCTTTGCGTGGTTGGAAAACATTGGGGATATTTAGCAGTGAGCGATATATCAACGTTTTTTGCAGGACAAGGGGCGGCGAACTTTAGTTTTGATTTAATTGTACCTATAGCTTAACATTAGGTGCTAGATTTGTTGCCCTATTTGTCTTGTCGATAGCACCATGGTTCTCTCATTCGGGCCTTTGTTTTTCAAGTGGTGATTTTGTCGTGATGAAGCACATAGGATAGACGAACTCAATGAATCACGTTCTGGGAAGTGCTTAGTACACCGAGAAGTCGTGAGACGGGCCTGCTAGATATATGCCTACAAATCTGTCGGTGAAATGCGCAGGCGTGATCATTGATGACTGACTGACCCGACAGATATTTATCCACTCGACATTATCTATAGTCATAATGTTTCCACATCTTTAAACAGCTCAGATAGCAAATACTGGTCCGCAAGTCTAAAAGTGAGAGCGCAAAGAAAGCCCGCTCAACGCAGAGACGCGTGGTCCAGGGACCACACGCAAACGCAAATTGAGGGGAGCGATGGTCCGCCGACGCATGGACGCAAGAGACACGGCTAGCTATGCCCAGCTTGTGAAGGGTCTCTTTGGTCTGTCCTCAGAGCGATGCGTAGCGTACAGCTCGCAAAGTCGGGAAGATCAATTACGGCGTGCGGCGCTGTGTCTGAGCCCATAAAAGCAAAGCGGGACGCGGGTGGAAAAGGCGGGCGTTCTGGCAAGGCCCATCGCACGACTTGGATGTATGTGTGGGAGGAAAGTGTAAAGGAACGAGAAAGGATGAGGAGAAAAGAAGGGCACACTTACAAAGAATCCTCGAGAATGGTCGTACTCACTTCAATCAACATCCATTCATCTAACACATTCACATTCCCAAAATAAAAAAAGAAAACAAACTTTCACATTGCCGGCAAAAGGAATCGAATCCACCTCCTCAGGCGTGCTCCCTTTTCCAAACCCTCACTCACTTGTCTTAGGGACAGCCAAATTGGTGTTTACCCCCAGACCAGAGCGCCCATTACTTGAACCAGGCGACTGCGTCGCTGACAAGCTCGATTCCATGCTTAGAGATTGGCATGTGGGTATTATATAGAGCAGGTTTGTTCGGGCTGCGTCATCGCGCTGGTTGTCAGTGTCAATGTTTTTGGTCCTTCATTGCTTACGATGATCATGATGCTGCTGAGATGCTTGTACGTTCGCCGACTCTTCGCAATAATCTTTCATAGTCTGCGATGTTTATGTCAATACTGCCCTCACCTGTAATTACATGCGAACGTAGTCGCTACTAACATCAGCACAGCAACCCGAGCCAACCACACCAACTTACCTTCTCCCTGTGGCACCTAATGCTAAGTGCAATGAGCCAGCCTGTCTTCAAGCCATACATCCCGAAGAAGATGCTCCAGCTTAGAAATATGTAGCGACGGTCCAAAAGTCAGTGCCATAAATATAAAAGTAGACCTAGCAGCCAGCCCAAACAATGCCATATTGTACCACATTGCACAGCTCTTTGAAGGTCGAAAAAAACTGTTGTATATCATCCACAAAGCGCTGTCACTGAGTTTCGCTCTGATACACCTTTGACGCCTCCCGGAGCCTATCTTATGTCTTTCATAACCACTACCACTACTCAATATGTAATCTCTGCTTGTATATATGACTACTCCCAGTTCTCTCTTCTTATTCATCTTCAATCTCGTTCTGCTCGCTCACCACAAACTACATCCACCACAGGCTTACCACAACATACCACGGCGAGACGTGGCGTCGTTCGCCGTCAGCGTTACACGTAGGGCTCGGTGTGAGGAAGTATGTAGGTAGTGGCGAGCCAGTGAGACAGCATCCTTAGCACGACCAACTACATGCCAGCATTGCAAAGGAGCAAAGCATTCCGATTCACGAGCAGTGTACTTCGAAATCGTTGGCGGATACATCGTGCTTGGCCCGATACTCCTATCCTGTTCTTAGCGAGGCAAGGTATATGAGGATAGTGAGTAGGGTAGACTGAGCCGCTCGTGCGGCCTTCTCGAGTGTTCGGGAGCGTATTTTCCGCACTGCGAGTGTGTTGTTCTCCCGTCAATCTCTTCGCACACTATATGGTCCTGCCTCCCCTATAAACGCATCGATTGCAAATGCAAACCCAGCATAGTGGTAAAATGGCAAAGATATTAGACAATCAGCACTCACCTCTATACTCCGTACCTATACCAAGCCATCAGGATAGGCGGCGACAGTTGCCAAAGACAATGCAAACGAGAAACAAACATGAGGTCGACAGTCGACATGCTAATCAACATGAAAGGCGACGCAACCGGTGCTGCTCACAATCAATGAGCTTCCTCGTAGAAAGTAATTCATGCGAGACGAGCGTGTCTTTTTCGAGAACTTCACTGGGGAGGATTAGATACATCCCTGAATTCCTCCTTTACCCCCTACCCACCCTCACACCTTCTCTCATCCTAAATCGGCAACACCGACATGCCCGGCCAGCAACACCCACTAACTCCGGCTTCATCAGCAGTGACGACAGCTTTCCCCCAGCGCCTCGCCTACCGTGGAACGGGCCGCACATCTCCGTCCTCCGTCGATGAGGTCGCGCAATTCCGGGTGCCACTGCGTCGCGAAGCCAAGAAGACGGCGGAATGGCCGGTAGGGAGTAGCTATTGTAGGTAGGAATACCTGGTGGTGGGTGCCCTGCCGTGCCTGAGACATTACCTAAAACGGACTAGCCTCAGGGCTCGACACATCGTCATATCGCGACGCGACTGTTTCTTCAAGCTTCACGAGCTTCGACTCCGCCAACGCACACGCACACCATGTCCGTGCTGCTCGAGACCTCCGTCGGCGACATCACGATCGACCTGCGCGTCGACGAGGCCCCCAAGTGCTGCGAAAAGTGAGTGCTGTCGCGCCCCTCGTGCATTGTAGAAAAGCTAAATCCACTGACCAAGCCGCCTTCGCATCTACCTCATAGCTTCCTAAAGCTCTGCAAGCTCAAGTACTACAACTATGCTCCCGTCTACTCTGTCCAGAAGGACTTTTCTTTCCAGACCGGCGACCCCATCGGCCCGGACTCCAAGGACAGCGATGGCGGCTCCTCGGTCTGGGGCTTGCTCGAGCCCATGAACCCCGCCAAGAAGACCTTCGTCCCCGACCTGAGCGCCAAGCTCAAGCATGCCGAGCGCGGCACCGTCAGCATGGCAACGCTGCCCGGGCCGCACGATCCCGACGAGCGCCTGGCCGGGAGCCAGTTCCTGGTGACGCTGGGCGAGAACATTGAATACCTGGACGGGAAGGGCGCCGTGTTCGGGCAGGTGGTGGAAGGCTTCGACGCGCTGGAGAAGATCAACAATGCCTTTGCGGATGAGACGGGGCGGCCGCTAAAGGACATCCGCATCCGACACACGATCGTGCTCGACGACCCGTTCCCCGACCCACCGGGGCTGGTCGAGCCGCCCGAAAGCCCCGTGCCCTCGCAGGCGCAGCTGGCAACGGTGCGCATAGCCGACGACGAAGACATCCAAGAGGGTGACCCCGAGCACCTGGAGAAGCTGCGGCGCGAGCGCGAGGCCCGCGCCCAGGCCCTCACGCTCGAAATGATGGGCGACCTGCCATTTGCCGAGGTCAAGCCCCCGGAGAACGTCCTCTTCGTGTGCAAGCTGAACCCCGTGACACAAGACGAGGACCTCGAGATCATCTTCTCGCGCTTCGGCAAGATCCTGTCGTGTGAGGTGATCCGCGACAAGACGACGGGCGACAGCCTGCAGTACGCCTTCATCGAGTTCGACGAGCAAAAGGCATGCGAGCTAGCCTACTTCAAGATGCAGGACGTCCTGATCGACGACCACCGCATCCACGTCGACTTCTCGCAGTCCGTCTCCAAGCTCTCGACGACGTGGCGCGACGCGACGAACAGCAAGCGCCTGCGTCGCCAGGGCGGCGGCTTCGGCGGCATCGACAGCCTGGAGAAGAAGCGCCAGTACCGCGCCGAGCTGCCCGAGGATGACGACGCCCGCGACGCCGGCTACGGCATGGTGTTTGAGCGGGGCCAAGGGCGCAAGGGGGCCGACAGGGGGGCCGACGGCGGCGCCCACCGGCGGCAGCGCAGCCACAGTCCGCGCGAGAGGCGGAGGGATGGCAGAGATGAGTACAGGCGCAGGGATGACAGAGACAGGCACGACGACCGGCGTAGAGACGACTACAGGCGTGGCGGCGACGACAAGTTCCGCGGCAGCGGGCGAGACAGGAGCAGGGAGCGGTACGGCAGGCGCGAGGAGCGGTACCGTGATCGTGACCGCAGCGGCTACGAGCGCAGACGGTAGGCCGCTTCTCTGGCATACATACGATCACGACCCCATCCGAGGCACTGCCAACCGTCGGCATGGACCCTCTGGCTCGCTCGCTGTTCCAAAGAAACTGTATCCTCGATCTCGCTACCTGCCGTCAAGCTTCTTCGTCCTTTCTAGGTTGTCTGTCTGTCGTTGAGATTGGTGTTCCCTGTGAGCTGGAAGTATTTGCCTCGAAGCGCATCTCGGCGATAATATGTTCACCGGGAGCCGAGGAAATATAGAAAGAGCAAGAATGAGGGCATCAGCGCGCATGGCGCCAGCATCGTGTCTTCAGCAGCAGTAGCAAGAGGGCCGCCGGCATCCTGGTCCTGCGTGCTGTGCATAGACAGCACAGCACAGCACTGTACTGTACCTACCTGCTAGAACGCGAAAAAGAAGGAGCGATCTTCACGAAACAACACGCATGCAGTGTGTAGGTACGGTTAATTTGACTGCGGAATAGAGCTGAGCTAGACAGTGTCGTGCAGTGCAGTAGAGCGCAATGCAGTGCTGCTGGCCCGGCCTCTTTGTCTTCTCGGTACAGTACATACATAGTCAGATAGCCAGCCAGCTAGCTAATTAGTTAGCTACCTACATACATAGCTAGCCAGAGCAACCAGTCTGCCCTCCAGGTCGCAGTGCTTGCCCCCTCCCACAAACGCGCCGCACCAACAGCCACCCTCCCTCTCCCTCTACTATTGTACAGCACGCACACACACACCCACCACTCAGCCACCACCAACCCAGCAAACCCCACCCCGGCCCCATACTAGGCATCCACATCCACACCCACATCACAGCACAACACAGCACACGCCACGCGCGAGTGAGGCACGAGCAGCTGACACACAGACCGCGCAGCACGCCCGCTCCCCTGAGGGACAAAGCTGAAACGGGGCTAGGCCGTTCGCGGGGAGGCGTGTGGGGTGGGGGAGAGGGGGGTTCTGTTGTACGGTGCGTGGTAAGGGATGGGTGCTGGGGGCCTGGGGGCTTGGGGGCTTTGTGCTGGTTTGTTGGGTTGGGTTTGGGTTTGTGTATATGATGGGCGTGCTGGTGTGCTGGCGTGCTGTGCCTGGGTATGGGTACTGGTATGGAGGAGTGGAGTAATATGAGAGTAGTGTGGGAGATGTGTGATTGCCTGGTTCCCTGGTTGGATGGGGAGAGGGAGAGGGATGCGGTTGTTGCGCTACTGCCAGCACTAACTACCACCACCACAACAACTACTACTGCTACTGTTGCTGCCGCTGCCGATCCTATGTAGTTACAGCCGATCGCACCGCTACCACCGCGACAATCGCAAGGCGGACGCGTTTCCCAGCCTCACGGAAAGAGGTTGCTTTGGCGGGAATCTTAAGATGCGCGCTAAGATCTACGGGCGTGGCGTCGGGACGTGGCGCCGATGGATTATAGCCACAGCAGCAGCAGGCACCCAGGCAGGCATGTGCGCTGCAAGGCAGGGTTTCAGCGCCTTGTTAGTCTGTAGCAGCTCCTAGTAGCTAAGGACGGTGGTTGTTGTTGTGGCTGGGATCATGGCGGATTTGTGGCCGGAGTAAATGAGAGGGGCGAGGTGCGTGTGAGTCGCCTTGTGATTAGGAGTGTGGATATAGGCGAGGAATTTTCTGGATGGGGTTATGGGCTGCGTTCTAGAATGAGATTGGCATGGGGTGCTTGCGATGGTGCTTGCGGCTGGTGTTTTGCTTGGCGGGGGTTACCTGGTCTTTTGTTGCTGTCGTCTTATAGGTGATCTTGATGTCGGCTATGTCTTTAGCAGGTTGAGATTTTTTTTTTTTTATCGTCGGTAGCTTCCCCTACTTGCTGGCAATAGTATCACCTACTAGACCTTGGATGTCAATGGAGGTGTCAATCGGTGCATGGTTCGTGCCATGGCTCGGAACCAGGTGTGGCTTCCGATATTGTGATTTGGGATTGACTGGCCGTGTTGATGCTGGCGATTTGTAAGAAAGGGAACTAATTCTGACCGCCCCTGTAGTTTGACCGGTGACAACAGGGAACAAGTGAAAAGTTTTCGCAGAGTTGACCGGTTGGTTAAGGAAGCCGTTGTTCAGGCTTGCCATTGCAATTGAACGACGACAGGGAGTTGGCCGGAACAGGCGTCGAACACGGCTCGGAGGAGCATCCGGCGACGGGCTCAAGGCCATCCGGCACCTGCGTCACAACCAGGAATAACCGTTCTTTGACTAACTGGAAATCAGAGCGCTCGTACCCCGACTAAGTGCGGGAGAGCCGTTGGACTGCGGAAATCACCTTCTCCACATTGCCACTTCTCATTCGTTCCCGGTTGGTCTGCGCGGCCCGGCCCACGATGGTAACTACTTGTTCACGAGACATAAGTAGCCGGGAGCACAGCTCGACCATCCGGTTTGAAGAGCCGCTCGAGCCAGCGGACAGCGAGCGTTCCGGGCTGGGTCTAGGTCTTGGGCGACAAGCTGCTCCGTTGTACATGTACCTACCCGCGCCGTGCTGGCGCGTAGACGTGCCACCCGAGTGCCGGCAGGCCATCATGCATGCATGCATGCGTCGGAAATGCTCTGCGCCCTCTTGGCTTGCTTCGCTGTTCTGACCGTCTCGTGGGATCGATGGATCTCGATGGGCTAATGTGAAAGTTGCGTGTTACCAGCAGCCTGCATACCAGCTGATGTGCCCAGAACATCTGAGATCAACAGCCCGACGTATTGATTTGCCGCCCCGGGGAGCGGCCCATTGGAGCAAAAGCTCTCCGGTGGGGAGGGCGGTGGAGCCATTATGACCAGACACGTCCTGACCCTGTCGCGCGCGCATGGCGATCGAGCGACGAGGCGAGAAGAAAAATAACTCGGACGGCTTTCGGCTGGTAGGTAATGCAAATCACAGTTGTCGTGATGGGGTGGTGATGGTGGTGGTGATGGGTGATGGCTTGTTGGAAGGAAATGCGAGGTCTTGCATGGGTCGACCGAGAGAGCGGGCGGGCGTGCATAAGCAGAATTCACGACCCTGGGATCGGCGGGCCCACGGTTCCCGCAGGCGCGTCCTGAACGGTACGAACACCCCCCCTCTCAGCTCTCTCATCTGATGCATTCATCATCAGGCGGCCAGGCGTCCAGCTAGCCAAAACCCACAACCCACAGCGAGTTTCCTGGCTGGGAAGGGCGGGCAACTCGCCACCTCCGCGTTCCTGCCGCTTCCTCCCCGCGCTCCCACCAGCCCGCGCCGCCGGCAGCCGCGACCGCCCGCCCTTCCCCGACAGCCTGGCGCCGGATTTAACACGGCCAATATGTCCGGCTGGGCCCTTTCGCCTGGGACACATGGAAAACAGCGCAATGCTTCGTCTACAGAGAGGACGGCCATGCACGGTGGCCCTGCTACAAGACAATATCCAACTACGCGCGCTGCCGAGCGAGAGGGGGTGTGAGGCTCAGGCAGGGCCACATCAGCTGACAATCACCGCGGCGCCCCCGGCCCGAGGCCGCCGTCCAAGGAGTCTTTGCTGCATGCGGGATGTCGAGCGGAGCCCAGTCCAGGGTCCGGGGAGCAGGACGCGGCTCTGCTCTGGCGCGGCGGGATTGGCAGCGGCCGCTTCCGCAAAGCTTGTCGGGACTCCCGACTCCCGACGGCTGGGAGGCCGAGTTATTAGGCCATGAGGTATAAACCAGTTGGGCATTAACCAGTCGATAGTACGCCCGTACGCTTCGGGCAGGGGATCAGCGGGGCTCGCAGAGAGAGAGAGGCGCACTAATCTTGCGGGAGCGGGAGCAGGGCACGGCTTGGGCCTCGTCGCGGCGGCGGAAGGGGCGGGGCGATCGCTCCCACGGCTCCCTTTGCTTTTTGATGCGAGGTTCCGCTCCGTTGGCGACGGCGACGACGACGACGTGGCAGGCTGGGCTGGGGTTCGCGTCGCGAGATGAGTCCAGACGCGGGAACGGCTGGGCCAAGCCGGCAAGCACCGCGCCTAATGCCCGCTCCGTCGGGGCTGCTGCCGCTTTGGGCCGGGGGATTTGCTGCTGTCGGATGCTGTTTCTTGAGCCTTCGTCATCACTCACCATCTGCCGAACTACTACGACTCGCTCCTGAAACAGGGTCCGGTCTCGACGACGAGCGAAGGCTTTCATCAATATTGTACAATACAATAAATGGGGGGGGGGGGGGGGGTCGGTCGGAAGGCGTGCCATTCGAGTGGGTGGACAAGTCGACAGGAGACCCGAGGCATGTGAGATTGGCGGTGATTGCGATGCGAGGCGCCATGATGCAGCAGGTACGGATCCGTAGTTAAGTATATATTTTTTTTATTTTGTTTCTTTGTATAGAGAGAGAGGGGGCGCGTAAAGACAGCCGGGGCTGAATCATGCGGCAAGCCACTCGTATGAGAGACCCGGCTCCGTCGTCGTGGGTAAAGTTTTGAGACGCTCAAGGCGACTTGGCGAGCTCGCGCCAGGCCGACCCCTGTGCGATACCCCACTGCTTGGCCCCCCCCCCTCGCACTCCCAGGCGGACGGGCTCTCTGGTGGAAGGGTGGATAAGGGGAGTCGAGTAGGTAGGCAAGGGAGTGTGGACGGGAGTATGCCGGCAGTCAAAGAGAAGGCGACATGTCCGTCCGCTCCCTGAAGAAGGAGTGGCGACGAGGGCAAACATCCTGGCAATTCCGCAAGTGGAGAGGGCAAGCCGGCCCGTTCGCTCCCAGCCCGCCGGTTCCTCTGGTTAAAGCCTCTCAGGGCCCCGGCTCGCCTACCCAAGCAGCGCAAGTGATAACGCCAGCTCTCCCCCCTCCGACCACCCGTCCGCTCCCCTGGGTGCTGCACCGACCCGTATATATTACTGCTGCACCCTTACTTTTTCCCCACAACCAACAAACCTAAGCCATGAGTTCCCCCGGCCCGGACGACCGTCGCCAGAGCATTGGCAAGTATGTCAAGCGTCTGCGCACCGTCCTGAAGCGCAAGGACTCGACCAAGGACTCTTCTTCTGCCAGGTGAGCATGCCGATCCAACAACAATAACAACAAAATCTAACACTTTGGCCCCCAGCGACTCCAAGAAACCCACCGCCCAAGCCCAGGCCCCCAAGCCCACCCAAGCCCAAGCCTCTGCCCAAGCCGTCGAGTCCAAGCCCAAGCCCGAGTCCAAGCCCGTCACCTCCACCACCGGCCAAACCGCTTACCAGCGCAGCGCCGCCCAGCAGGAGCGTGCCCGCGCCCTCTTCGCCAAGTACGGCCTCACTCTCGAGGCGCACGAGTGGATCACGACCGGCGCCGCCAACGACAATGTGCAGCGCGTCGAGAAGCCGATCCGCATGCGCGTCCACCGCCAATGTCACCGCTGCATGACGACGTTTGGCGCCGACCGCGTTTGCCAGAAGTGCGAACACACGCGCTGCAAGAAGTGCCCGCGCTACCCGATCAAGAAGAAGGGCAAGGAACCCGAGACCAGCGCCGCCGCCGCCACTACCAAGACGCCCGAGAAGACCGCCGCTGCGAAGCCCGCCAAGAAGCCCGAGTACCTGACGATCAAGAGCCGCACCGGCGGCCCCGACCTCGAGCGCCGTCCTCCCAAGCAGCGTGTCCGCCGAACCTGCCACAAGTGTGGCGACCTGTTCATTCCTCCCACCGCCACCGTTTGCACCGGCTGTTCGCACACGCGCTGCACCAAGTGCCCCCGCGACCCTGCCAAGAAGAAGAAGTGGCCCGACGGTTACCCAGGTGACGCCCCGGCTTCCGAATCCGAATCCGAGCCAGAGGTGCACCGCCAGCCCAAGCCGGAACGTACGTGGAGGAAGCCGCGCATGCGGGTGCGCTGGCAATGCGAGGATTGCGACACGTTCTTTGTGGACAAGTCTAAAGAATGCGCCAACTGCGGACACGAACGCTGCCCTACCTGCACTCGTCTCCCGTAAGCTTTCCCCAACACCTTAATTGCTTGTCCGAATTCGTGCTAACGCGCCACCCCCTACAGGCCCAAGAAGATCAAGAAGGAACCCGATCCGGAGACGCTCCGGGCTGTGGAGGAAAAGCTCGCGCGCTTCATGATGGAAGATACACCCGGGGAGTCGGCCACGTCGGCCTAAGGCTGCAGCATGGCAGCATGATGAAACACCTCATAATGATTTCCTTTTCCTTTGCTGCATATCCATTCACAGCAAGCAAGCAAGCAAGCAAGCAAGCAAGCAAGCAAGCAAGCAAGGTCACTTTAGTCACTTCGGGAATGCATCCGTTTGATACCTTTCGCCAAAGGCACGGAGGATAAGGGGTATTTTTTGGAAAGTTTAGTGAGAAAGAGAAAGGAATTGAGGTTGATAGGGGGCACGGATGGTGGCCCTGCAAACGGTCACCGGTACCCTGACTTTTTTTTTTTTTTTTTTTGGTCGAATGCAAATGCCCTCCCAGCATCGATCCCCACACAAGCACACATCCCACCGAACTGCATTTCCATTCTTCTCGCGCGTCTTGTGCCTGCCTACTGACGGGGCACATAGCAAGCAAGCAACAAGCAACCCTAATCCCATCATCATCATCTACCTATCTATGTCACCCATCTCACCCCACCCCTTCTCCGGCGGCGGCAGCGGCAACTTGCCCAAAAGCTGCGTTGCCGCTGGTGGTGGCATTCTGCTCACGCCATGCCCTGTCCCTGTCCGGCAATTGCAGGGCAGCCCAACCCAGCCAAGCCAGGCAAGGCAAGCCGCCACGGTCGCACTGCGCCGACGTCATTCTGGCTGCGGCGGGCGGACAGCCAATGGAGCGGGCGCGCTTGGGCGCCTGCCCGTTTGGGCTAGCGTAAGTTATGCCGACTGACGACCGCCCGCTTTGCCCTGCCCTTGGAATGCCCTTCCTAGAGTACCTATCTGTGTTCGGTGCCCTGCCCTGCCCTGCCCTGCCTTGCCTTGCCTTGCCTACATACCTTGCTTTGCTTTGCTTTGCTTTGCTTTGCTTTGCTTTGCTTTGCTTTGTTTTGCCTCGTCTTGCCCTATCCTGCCCTTCAAGCCCTGGCGGGCGTGCCACGAGGGGTGGCGGGTGGCTCGAGCCGCTGGCTCTGGCGCTGGCGCTGCTGCTAATGCCGCCATCGCTATGTACTCGTACCACTAACTACCGCTACTGCCGTCGTCGCCGCCGCCGCAACGGCCTGCAGCGTGGCCCGCCGAGGTGGTAAGGGAGCGTACGTGGTACGTAGGTACCTAGGAGTAGGGTCGAGGCGTGGGTGCGTGGGGGATCGCTGGCGCGTGTGCTGTTGTCTTGCCTTTGCCTTGCCTTGTCCTGCGTGTTGGGTTGGATCGGGTCGGTAGAGGGGGGTGATGTGTGTGTGTGTATGTGTGGATGGGTAGGTAGGTAAGTATTGTGCTGTATGTACTGCTGGGGTGGGGTGTGGTGGTGCGACTGCTTGTGGTGCTGGTGGATGAGCCGAGCTTAATCGCTGAGCGGGCATCACCACCATCACCACCTACCTCTCATCATCACTTCCTCACTCACTCACTCACTCACGCACACACCCGCCCGCACGCGCGTGCAGCACTCAAACGCACCCACCCAAACGCATCCACCCACCCAACCAACCACCCCCGCACCCTCGCTCGCTCGCTTGCCAACCCCACTACCCGCCGTGCAACCCCAGACGCATGCCCGAAGTTCGAATGGGCTAAAAAGCAAAAACGAAGAAACAAAAAATAAAAATAATAAAAATAATAAAAATAAAAACAATAAAAAAAAGACAGGAAAAAGGAAAAAGGAAAAAGGAAAAAGGAAAATGCATAAAGGATGAAAGTAAAAAAGGTAAGAAAGTAAAAGCAATGGCTAACGCAGAACGGACACGATCCAGTGAGCCGTCCGTCATAGGTAAGCGGCTGGCAAGGGTCGGGTCGGCTCGGCTCGGCAGAGAGAGACGTACAGGGAGAGACGTACAACCTAGCAACGACTCCTAGGCAGCGACACAAGGCCAGACACCTCAGACGCAGGACGCACGACAGCCGGACATGGGATGGCGTGTCAGCGCTTTTTGCTTTCCGCTAGCGCATCTTCCTACAGTACAGCGTAGGTGGGTGGGTGTGTACGAGTACGGACGGAACCTGCCTAGGTGGGCACTGGGCAGTAAGCTCCGCAGCAGCAGCACAAGACAGACGAAAGCTAGGTATTGTACTAGGTGCACACTGCACGCCAGCGCGGAGGCGGCACCACGGCCGGCCGCGCATTGCGCAAATCACGGCCGCAGCAAATAGATCCGCACCCAAGTCCAAGTACTATACAAACCCTAGCGGACGTCGGCACCTAGGCACCACCAACAAAAGAAAAAAGACAACGTCAACGGACGAGAGAGAGGCCCGTGAGCTATACCTCCGCGCCCGCTATCGTATCAATATTGTACGATACAATACCCGCGCGCGGTGGAGCGGCACGTATTGTACGGGCTAATTAAGCATGAGGCCACTATGTAGAAGCACAGCGAGCCCATCACCGCCGCAATGGGCAAGGCGGCCGAGCGCGCGTCTTGGGGGTGTCGTTTGTATGTACATAGCTGCTGCGGATGGACCCCGGTTTTCGGGCGCCGTCCGCCATGGCGACGGCCATGGCCATGGTTGCGGCTGAAGCGGCGTGTGCGCATGCGTGTGCGTGTGCGCGCGTGTGTGTGCGCGTTTGGCTGGCCAGCTGGGTGGCTGGCTGGGTGAGAGAGAGAAAGCATGTGTGTGGGTGTGCGAGGGTTGGTTGGCTGGCTGCTACAGTAGGTGAGACCAACGAGTAACGACTCTCCTCCCGTGGCCACGGTCGGCGGCAAGATACGCACGACAAGGCAAGATGCGACAAAGCTGAGCACCAAGACACATGTCATGGTGAGAAGGACCCGAGCGACAGGGAGGCGCGCCCCCATGCATGCCTTGTCTTGCGCAAAAAAGCATGCCATTGCCATCCCGCGCAGCGGCAGCACCAATCCAATGCGCTCGCCTCCTCATCTTCTGTTTTTTCTTTTCGCACCGGCCGTTGGGGCGGCGGGGTTTACGCTTTCTTTTCTTTTCTTTTCTTTTTCTCTCCGTTCGTTTTCTCGCGTTTTGTTTTCGCTCTTTGCTTCTTCGTACCCGCCAGCACGTCCCCGGCGCCGCTCTATTGTACATAGGCGCCTAGCCCAACGGGCGGAGGCGCGTTCCCGTGCGCTCGCTAGTCAAGTTGGCTGATTGACTGCTTGCTTGCCACTAACTACGGAGTACTTGTGTCGGATTGCTTTTCCCCGCCGGGCTGGGGCCGTGTGCGTGCGTGCGTGCCGTGTGCTCTCGCGTGGCTGAGACGGGGGTTTGGTTGGCGGGGAAAAGGAAAAGGACGAGTGCGAGTGGGACGGCACGCGGTTGCTGTGTAGGTACAGTGTTGCTAGCTAGGTAGCTATGCCTGGTCCTCCTCCTTCTCCTTCTTCTTCTTCTTCTTCTTCTTCTCCTCACTGCCGTCTGCGCACGCCGCTCTCCCGTTCCCCACTGCGAGACCGCTGCTTTGGATTGAATGATGTTATTACGCTTAGATCCGCAGATGAGAGTCAGAGTCACGGACACAAGACAGAGCAAGTGAGCAACCACCGACCAACCAGCCAGCTAACCAGCCAGCCGTGCAGACCGGCTATCCCTCCGACGCAGTGCGGCCCCTCCCTATTATTGTATTGTATACAATATGCAGACCACGTAGTTACGCACGCACGCTGCCCACGGAAATAACACAACAGAAATAGATGAAGGCGCTATTTGCGGCCGATCGCTCGCGCGCTGCTCACTAACCATTTACAATACAATAGTGGATGAGTACGATTGTATGTACGTGCTTCGGCGTATTACGTACGTGCGGAGTGCGTGCTCGTCCCGTTCGATCCGATCCTGGGCTGGCGATCGTGATTGCTCTCAGGGAGGGGAGGAGGGGAGGGGCGGCCGCGGGGGAGCGTTCCCGTTTGTTCGTTCCTTCTTCCTTCTCCCTTCCTTCGCTCATTCGTTCGTTCGCTCATCGTTCGCGCGAGAGGTAGGTAGGTGCGTACTGTACAGCACAAACACACAACAAAAATACACTGCCAAAGCAAGCAAGCAAGCAAGCCAACCCAGCAATCCATCGTCATAATTACATTACCCAGCACTTCGGCCTTCCTCGCCACCACTCCTTCACCCCTTCACATGCGCGGGTTATCCTCTGTCCTCCACGAATGCCCTCCTTGCCTAGACACCCCTTCTACTCTATTCGCACCGAGGACCTCGGCACCGCTCACGCCCCTTTTCGGTACCCGCACGCACGCTCGATCAGCGCGGTGCTGATCGCGGGCCGCGCCGTGGGTGTGCGTGTGCGGGCGATGAGGTTGCGTGCGTGGAGTAGGTGGGGGGGTCCGTGGTGTGTGCTGTGTGGTGTAGAGTGCTCTTCTAGAGCGTCTACCCGCGCACCCACGCACTCCTTACTCCTTACTACGTAGTTACTCTCTCTGGAGGTGGCTCCGCTGCTTCCATATTCCATACTACGTAGGTACGTACGTATGTAGCTTCGCTTGCGGCGACGCGACGCGGCGCGACGCGGGCGTGCTGATTTACATAGGTATGGAGTACTGTGCAGGTTGATCTGCCTGGCGTCGCGTGATGGTGTGCTGCTGGTGCTTCTGGGAAGGAGTATGGACTACGGAGTACGGACATAGTGGGCGGAGTGTGCAAGCGAGGTGAGGTGGAGCGTCCTTCTGGGTGCGCACGTCGGCAGAGCCGCTTGTTTTGGGTGTGTAGAAGGTGTGTACTGGGTATGCAGATATGTGGTAGACAGGTGAGTAGCAGAGGGAGGAGGGGAGGAGGGGCGAAAGGGCAGTCACAGGGAAAGGATGTCGCGCTCACTCACTGAATCATCCACACACACAGTGCCAGCAGCAGCGCCAGCAGAATAGCAACAACCGAGACAACAAGCCACGCCACTCCCACCCACCACACCACACCCACGCAGCCGCCTAGTCCCAGTCATAGTCCAACAACAGCCACACCACAAGCAGCGGGGCGCGGACTACACGAGCAGTTCGACCTTTGTGCCGGCAGCCGCTTCTGGGGTGGGCCCCCGCCGCGCCTATAAGATGCGCGCGCTATACCCCTCGTCTGGGCTTGGCGGCTGCTCGTTTACGTTTACCTGCTGGCTAGTGGCTGCACTCTCGTTCCCTGCTCTCCCTGCTGACGGTCCCTGCGGTCCCTGCGGGCGGTCCCTGTGGGCGGGTTCCTCGTGTTCCTTGCTTGCGGTCCTTGCGGTCCTGGCGGTTCCTTGCGGGTTCGGCAGTTATGGAGCGCGTGGGGGGAGGGGAGCGGCGTGTGTGCTTTGCTGGTGGTGGTGGTGAGGGGTGCAATGGGGGGTTTGTCTGCCTGCCTGTCTGCTCAGTAAGGTTTTGGCGTCGGAGTTGCGCCTGCTGCCGTTGCAGGACAGTTCGTGCGAAGTCAAGACTTCCCTCCAACCTCCCTAAGGCATTCCCGTCAACCCTCGCCGTTATTCCCGCCCCGAACTCCTCTATTCCATGCTGCCATTTCTATCGTGCGTAACTACCTGCGTAGTAGATAGACACAGTAAGTCCTCTACACACGTAGACAGTCCGCACACCAACACCTCCCTCCCTCCCTCTTCCATTAACCATTACTCTCCCTCCCCCCCCTCTCTCTCTCTCGCTTTCTCGCATACACACATCACCCCACCCCCACGCTCCGACTCATCCCGCGTCTCGACAGCGGCTCAAGCACCCGCAGCCCGCAGCACACAGCCGCAGACGGTTCCTCGCTCCGCTGCACTGCTGCGCCGCTGCCTCGCTTGCACATACAATATTGTAGCGCGCTTGCGTTCCAGTCTCCACTTTTTTTTTCTGCTCCTACGTAGTAGGTACGGATCCGTACTGTGTGGGCTGGGCCTGCGCCGCATGTACGTAGTCCTGTACGGCACAGCACTTGGGGCAGTACGGACTAGCTAGCTTGCCGTGGTAGTGCTTAGTGGTGGGGCCGCTGCTGCTGCTACAATACTGCGCCGCAATGCAGCGGAACGGCGTTGACCGTTGGCTGGGTTTATGCTTGAGTGTGCTTGTGCTTGTGCTTCGGCTTGGATTTGGGCTTAGTGTGTCTGTCGTACAGTAGGGCAGCGATACTGAAGGGCTGGCTATTTAAGTAACCAAGCACGGGATTTTAGCTAAGTGAAAAAGTGGTGTACAATAGTAGGTAGGCCAAAGCAGAGCAGAGCCGGAGCAGAGCAGAGCGCGCTCATATTGTCGCCTTCCCTCTTATATATCTTCCTCTCTTTCTCTCTCCGATTCCGCTCAGTTAACTTACTACATCAAAAACCATTCACTCCCACACCCACCACGTCCAGCACCAACCCACCTTCCACACGCACCCACGCACCCACGCACCCACGCACCCACGCACCCACGCACCCACGCACCCACACCACGCACCAAAACGCCACCATGCACGCCCAGCCGCACACCCACACCCCGGGCACGCCGGCTATGCAAAGCGGGGAACCGCCCCCCTCTGCCTCGGGCCCTCGGCTACGCACCTGTCCATGTGCTTGCCTGCTGCTGGTAGTGGTGGTGGTGTGGTTTAGGGTTTTTTAGTCTCGGCTGTGCCGGCTGTTTTGGTCGCGCTTGCCCTGGGTGGGGGGGGGGGGGGAGAAGCGCCGGGTAAATTGAGGACAGGACAGGGAGGGGCGGGGTGGAGGGTGCGCCGGGTTGGGTCGGGTCGAGTAGGGAGGGGGGGAGGGTGAGCGTGAGTGGGTAAATGGGTGGGGTGGAGGACAGGGAGGGAGAAGGTAGCCGGTAGGCGAGGGTGTGTACTGGACGTTTGATTTGATTGGGGTGCTTGTGATTGGTTTGGCTGCTGGGGACTGCGGTTCTTCACGCGTGTGTGTGTGGTTTTGGCTTCTGCGCCGTGAGGATTTTTTTTTATTCTCGGGATTATGCGTTTCTTGTTTAATATTTTTTTTTTATTGGATTTATTTTTTTCATCTTTGCTTTTTCCGGTTTTTTGCATTCTTCCTCTTTGCCCGCCATACTGCCTGTCCATCGCCATTTCCTTTTTCACTTTGTTAGGGTTGTGTTTGCGTTTACTTTTGTCATTGGTTGGGGAGACAGAAACTTGCGGTAGCCGGTGGGAATATTGGAAGAATAGCGTGCTATGTTCTGCCGCTTTAGCAGGTTTTAGCTTGTTCGCTACCTTCACGCTATGCCTCGAAGAGCAGTACATAAGCAACGGGCTAGGTAAGAGGTAGTACTTATAGATTAGGGTATTTGATTGTATGTCGTGGTGATGTGCTTAGTTGGTGGTGGTGAGTATACTGTTTCACTGTTGTAAGAAGATACGTTTTGTGGTCACTGTGCATGTAAAAGATGGGTTGAAAATGTTTTTTTCTAGGTTTTGTTCTAAAAGAGCAAGGGAGTGGACGGAATTAAGAAGACTACCTACAGCCTGGGGGTTCGGACATGCTAAAGTAGAAGTCAGGAAACAGGGAGCCGCAGAAAAAAGGCTATCGGCATTGCGTTACAGAGCCTATCCAACCCAGGTAAGAAGACGAAGCGAAATTATCCAAACGGCCAAGGAATAGACCAAAAAGCCTGCCTACAACGCCCGGTCATCCAACCCCCCTACTCACTATCCTACCAATCCTCCACAAACCCCATACCCACCTCTAGCCACAATCTCCTCACCCTCAGTCGCCTACATGATCCCAGACACCCTCCGCTTGCGTGCCGGGGGAGTCATCTGGCCAGCCAATAGGGCCGGGGTACGAAGGGACGAACATGCCGTTAACCCACTCCCCGTCGGCGAAGGTATCCCATCGAAGTACGACATCGTCGTTGTCCGTAGTGCCGGCGAGGGCTGTGGCGACGGCTACGGCGACGGCCGCGTTATTATCGGTGTTTGACACGGGAGGCGGAGGAGGAGACTCGTACAAAATCGCCCGGCAGTTGGGGCACTTATTCGAGTTTCTCGCCCATCCGCCGATGCAATCCATGCAGAAGATGTGATTGCATGTGGGGAGGTGAATGGGCCAGTCCGCAAGGGTGGCTCGCTCTCTACAGATGGTGCAGAAGCCCTTTCCCTCGTCCTCCTCCTTTGCAAGCTCCTGCAGCTTCTCCGCCGTGGCTCGGACGGCATTCTCTAAGAACTCCTCGCTGTTGACAAGCACGTTAGCTTGAGCAGTAGACATGGTACCAGACATACTGTATGCGAAAATGCTGAGATGATGGGGTAAGAAAACGTCTAAGCACTTACCTGGTCGTGAATCGTTGAGGCAAGATTACTGTGCTCGATGTGATCGTGTCGAGTGGTTTGGTATAGTGATACAGTCAGGGTACAAGGCCAGTATATATACGACCGCGTTGCAGAGTTGGATAGGAATCTCTGAGGAGACAATAGTCGACGTTCGCGCATAATGCCATTGTTTGGGATGTCCTTTTGCGGAAGGGACAAAAAGGGTAGTAGCTTCTGGCGTGCATACTCATGTTTTTGTGGCTCTTTCCTCAGGCTCCTCAACAGCGCGCTCCGCGGCCTGAACGTTGACATCAGAAGTTTGCAGCCAGCTCGTCGGAGCATTTCTTCTCGAGCACACATACCTACATGCTCAATGACCGCATCATCAGCAGAGAAAGGTCCCTGGTATCCATATAGCCGTTATCCGAGAGCATTCGAATACCCACAACTGTCTGCGGATTTCGTCGCGCAGATGCGCGATTCCGCGGTCGCCGCAGGACGTCACTGGTACGGCTATCATGGAGACAGGTATGTCGATGCCTTCTTCTGGCACTGTAGATGATAGTTTGTATGTAAAGGTGATGTTAAGAAAGATCCAGAGTGTGTGAGGCAAGCTCACTCTTACACGTGAGATGAGGCCTAGTTAGCGTCAGTGATTCAAGTTGTGTGGTGCTACCCGTGTCTCCAGAACCTGTCCTAGGTAGTCTTCGTTTGACCACGACCACGTGCGGCAGGGCCCGAGGCATGACATCCAGCACCCTCCCGTTCCCTACAGAGAAGCTGTCTGTCCTCACACTCCATGACAAAGAACATGTTCAAGAATACACAACTGACGGTGGCATTTCTTTGTTCATCTCCATACTCCTGGTCCTTTGATATCCATATTACGATCCCACTTCCTCCATCATCCATACAAACAAAGCCAACCATCAAACAATACCAGTCAGTGTGCAGTACGAGCCGCCCAGTCTCGCGGATTGCAGAGCAGTGCTCTGGCCAGCAAATCCCTGTTAAAATCTTTCATCTCGCCCACACTGGGTCGTAAAACCGTCCGCGACACCGTCCGAAACCATTGCAAGTTGACTCGCATAAGACACTCCTGAACTCCTTGCAATGACCGCGTTCCGGCGCGGCATGGTATCCAGTTAAAGACGTGTAGCTGAACTCGGGCGTGGTGCTGAAACATTATATACGAGAAAGGGAAGTATGTGCGTGCAGGAAAATGTGTCCGGTTGAAGAAAAATTTTTTACTGCTTCGCATTAAAAACTGGACGGACCTGGAATGGTCTAGAAAGGGAACACCTTACCGGGCGTTGTGGTGAAAGTAAACAAGCGTAGTCTCGCGCAGACAAAGGATGTTCGGTTTGCGATTGTCGTTGCGATGGTTGTAGTACTAGCTCGGCGGCAAGTACCTGCATTCGAAGATGTCGACTAGCGCAACACCCGGCAATAAGCTGACAGAAGGCTTACTTTGCAGTTACCCTGCCCGTACGCGCATATTGCTACGTTGAAGCGTAGCCGATGGGATGTCCACGTGCCATCGAGTAACGCACACTCGGAGCTGCAGCCTGTGGACGGGTGGGGCTGTCACTGATGACGATAACATCATCGTAACGCTGTTTGACTGGGCTTTTCACGGTGTATGGATACCCGGCGAATGTCGGCATGTCGCGACGCCGCTCGAGCGGAAGGGGCTGGTGGACTCTCTGTCGAGGATCGACCGAGTGACTGTGATCAGTATGGTACCCACGTACTTCAGCCTGTCGGGGCTCAGAACGGGGCGAAAATCCCTCCTCTCCCCTAACAAATTGGCGCCACTCGCGCTTCTGCATCTCGACTAGCTCTCCGCCGGAGTTGCGTTTGGGCGGAAGGGGTCTTTGGTGGACCTGTCCATCAGTAAGGCGAGAGCCTGATGCCGTTGTAGGAACAGCATCGGGATTTCTGTTGTACTGGCCTGATCCAGGGCCATCGCGCTCTGGACCGCGATATCTGTCACGTTCTGCTTCTCTAGCCTCAACGAACTGACCGTTGGTAGGAGAAGCATAACCGGGAGCTACAGGCTCTGCGTAACGTTGTGCAACCATTGGCCGAGAGGCAGTGAGCGGGCGACTTGCCGCTGGTTCTGCATCAAAGCGACGGTAAGGCACTGGCTCGGTCCGAACGAGTCCCTGCATATTGTCGCCTGTCGAGTAAACACGAGGAGCAAATTGTTGACTGGGTCCAACAGTTGTCCGGGGTCGCGAAGCATAACCAGCACGTGCATTTTGAGCGCTTGTTGGGTCTCTCGGGCTGCTTGTTAGGTCAATAACCTCCATGCGCGATGGCTGCCTGCGGGGCACATCATCTCTTGCGCGGTACTGATCGGACGGGGCAAACTTCTTCGAGCCCTCCATTTCAGCTTGCATGAGCGTGCGTTCCTGAAGAGATATGTACTCGAGCCTTTGTCGCTTTATCGGGGATTCACTGCCGCGAACATATCCGGCAAGCTGTGTTGAAGAAGTGGGATCATCCTTTTCAATGGAAGGTATAACCTCATCCTCAGGTCCAAGAGGGCGACCATCAAGTTCACGTGTCTGGTTAGTTACTGGACGTCTGTCGGGGGTTTGGACAATAGGCTGGCTGTGTGATATGGGTATCCGAGGTGGGTGTTCGGGTCCAGAGCGCACAACCCGCATAAATGGGTTGGTCTCATGAGGCAGCAGGCGTGCTTCCTGGTGAGGGTAGACACGAGGTGACTGTGGAACCTAGTTACCAGTGTTAGCTGCACCATAGCAGGGCAGGGTTGAAGATTTAGCCATTAGCTTTCTGCCGCTTGCATCCAACTCACATCGTAATGGATACGCCCACCTGCTGCGAGCAGACGCGCATCTGGTGGAGGACCCAGAGGCCTTTCTCCTGTTAGCTAAGAGCAACCCAATGACAAACAATTTCACCATACCTGGCATAGCGGGATTCTTCGGTCAGCGGCCTGGTATGAGCAACCGTATGGCCTGAATCCGTAACATATGGTGGAGGCTGAGGATACAGTGGAGAAGCTGCCCTCTTTCTAGTAGGCTGTCGTGGTCGAAGGATTTGTGGGATTCCAAGCCGATGCCCATAGGCTCTGTAATGTGTCCTCATCCAGTCCGACTCGGGAGGCTCTGGGGCCTCAAGCTCACGTGCAGTCGCTTGGCTGGAGATGATCTCAACGCTGGCTTCCCTGGAGTCGTGATCCGAGCCGCTAGTAGTTTCATAGCCGTCTTCTTCGTCGTCATCAAGGATGATAACTTCGCGGAACTCGTCCTCCATCTCAATCTTGCCGTCGTCGTTCTCGCCACGCCATTCTAGTAGCTTGTCCAAACACTTTCCTTCAACAGTGGCACGAGCTTCGTGCCAGCTTCTCTCCTTGAGCATCTTGTCATAGTCGGTGTACTTATGCCTGACATGGGCGAGCACTGCAAGTTGCACCTTTCGCGCGAGAGGGAGATCTGAAGAACCTACCCTATCTGAACCCTGCGAGAATTTTAACACCCTGCCAACTAACACATGAAAGTCTCTTACCTTCCGGAAGGCGTGCTTGACGATGGCCTTCAGAGCCTTTTCCGGGATTTTTGGGAAAAGGTCCTTCATAGTAATACTGATTTGTTGCTCGGTCTGCTCCGCAGACGCATTCTGAGCCATGCCCAGTTTGCGACCGGCACTCTCAAGCCCTTGGGCAATCTTTGATGTGTAGCCATCGGTATTGCTTTTGCGAGAGGGAGCGATGTCGATATCAAGCCACTCGACGGCTTCATCGACAACCACATTTGGGAAGTGATATCCCAGCCTGTGGACATGATAGCCGAGTTTGTTCGGGTCCACGGCAGCCTTGTTTGTTGGCTTGGCCTATGACGGTGAGAAACATGGAACGGGTGAAGAAGAAGTAGGAGAGCATACGGAAACAATATGAACTTCGAGCCCGCGACGACGGCAGAGCTCCTTGCATCGTTCGGTCAGCTCAGGCGAACCGACCGGGATGAAAGTGTAACCGGGGGGAGCTCTGTCATTGAAGGAAACCTGGAGAAACGGTTAAAATTAAGAATAGATGGAGAAAAGAGACCGGAAATGACGGACGGCGGAGCGCAGCTTCTTCTTTTCCTGCGTGACGGATTCAAAAACGACTTTGTAAGGCTTCTTGTTTCTGCGCGAGGCCGCCTTGCTTTGGGCCCTCGATGCGTGCACCGATGCGGCGCGACTCTGTACTCGAACCATGGTGGCTACTGCAAGCACATGCTGTTGGGAAGTGAGGTTAGTGGACACGAGGAGCGATCAGAGACCGTCAGTCGCCTGTCGCTGATATAGTCTACGAGAGTGCACTAGAGCTCTTTGTATAGCCGGACTGTCGCGTTGACGGTGCGAGGCGTAAGCAGCTGAAGTGGATGAAGAGTTCAAGGTGCGCAGGTCGCGCTTGGGATGATAGGTTGCGACTCGGCTGTCTGGGCCAGCCCTGTCAGCACGCTAGGCCCAGCCTCGGCAGGACTCCGCGTTCGTCGCTGCTTCCATGCTTGCGAGCTTGTGCTTCTGCTCGAGCCGACGAGCACTGCTGGCTGCACCATGTCGTCGCCCTCCAAGGCTGAGGTCCTGCTGGCCTACCGCCAACTCTACACCCATGCTTTGCGCGCCGTGCAGTACTCGGCGCCCGCCCGCTACACCTTGCGCGACCACCTCCGTCTCGCCTTCCGCCGCACCTCCCCGGCTGCCTACGACCGCCAGAAGATCGACAACACCCTCGAGTTCCTCCGCGGCGCTGCGCGCGAGAAAGGGCTCGAGCACCGTATAGTAAAGAGCCTGATTCATACTTGGTGGCATGAGCGGCTGTTCAAGCAGAGTTCGCGCTACACGGTGGACCAAAAGTCCAACAGGTACGCCGACGTGGTGCTTAATCTGTTGCAATCACGCTAATACTCCTCGGACAGGGACCGAAATGAAGTCAAGTGTTTAAGAACCGCCTATGATCCCTTTAACCATACCCTTCATATGCTAAACGAAAGCATGGGAATGTGCATATAGTAATGCTGGCGGAGGAACACTGCTAGCTTGAGATACCCTTGCATTCTGACACGAAGCGGACGTGTCATTGGGATCGCCATTAGTAGGGTAGCACAGGTGTTAGAGGCACATCTGCGACAACAGGTCCTGGTTCTAGCCAGCTGGAGCTTTGTTGTCCAAGTCTCCACCGGTGGTAAGGGCAGTACACCTCCAGAGACCTTGTCGCCATTGTAAGCGGAATTGGTCAACAATCGCCATTACGAGTATGAAGAAGTAAAAAGACCCTGCCGAGCACCGCCGTGGCAAGTTACTGGCATGGTCCAGGCCGACACACGCTACATAAAATCATCCAAGAAGTCCTCATCCCTGTCCTGATTGTTCGACATTGCCACAAGATCCTCGCTGTGGACATCGTCGTACGCATGGTCTCTCTGCCAAGCCTTCTCCTTGCGCTCCTTGGCCACGCGAGCTTCTTCCTTTTTCTGCAGCCGAAATTCGTGTCAGTAAACAGGCATTTTGTTTGAAGCTTTAGGGAATTCCCCCGGAATAACCCACCCGCTCCTGCACCGCAGCGCGGTCCTTGCGCCGCAGCTCCTTCTGCCTGTCCTCACGCTCCTGGCGAAGGTCCGGGTACTTCTCGACCTTGGTCTTGTTCAGACGGTTGATGATGGGGTTTTCGCGCTGGGGAACAAGGATCTTCTTGACCTGGAGCGGTGTGAGAATGTTTAGGGAAGGAGATCAGACAGATAAATCAAATATGGTGGCTTTCAAACGTAACGGGAGAAATTACCTTCTTCTGGTTATGGAATCCAACCTGACCGACAGCCATGCTGCCGTCTTTCTTGAGGTTAGACCATGGCGTGTAGATAATAGTGACGTTGTCCTTCTTGTTGCCTACAACAACCATTGCTCAGCCTCACACACCCAAAGCAAAGCCCGCATATGGCACGAGAAGGGCCAAAGCAAGAAACATACCCTCGATCGAGTTCGCCTTGGTCAACTGCGCGCAATCCCAAAGCAGGGCCTGGTCAATATCGTCCCAGGACTCGCCGTCCCGCAGGCGGACGTAGATATGCGCGCTAGACAGATTGTCGACGTGGAACTAGGAAGCAGACAAAATGTTGGCCGGACTACTCGGAGACACGGATCTTTGTGGACTTATGGTGGAATACATACCCTTTCCGGGCGTTAGAGAACGTGACTTGAGAAAGAGACAGCAGTGCATATGTAAACGCCACACACGGGTGTCCACATAGCGAAAGTGAAAAGAGAGAGAGAAAGAGAAAAAGAGACAAGAAAAAACCCACCAAACGTCCTCCTCCCAGCCATACTTGATCAGCTCCTCATCTAGCGCAGCACGATGTCAGCACACCGACCTTTCCTTGTATGTATAGGCAGTGCCGCATTAGGAGCAGGCAGGGAGAAGAGAAGCGCACTTTCGACCTTATCCTTGCCGACGTAGATAAAGGCCGACGGCGCGACGACGTTGCTGGTGAAGTACAAGACCATCGTGTCCGTCGCTCGCGCTGGCGGTCCTGTGTTGCGAGCCCGTGGCTAAATTGTGCGCGGCGTGGTTTGCTGCCAGAAAATCTTAGCGTCGTCGCTCGCGGGGTCGTTGGTTCGCGGCCCAACCACCCGTTGTGATTGGCTCGTGTGCTGCGACTGCTGGTCTAGACGATTATGGTAGCATATTTGAGCTTGTGGCGTCTAGCAGCTCGATATAAACGATGAATTCAACTTGTCTCACACCGCGCAACCAAATGTATAACAATCATATCTCATGTTGTACACTCTCGCAGCGGTCGCACAGATACAAGAGCGTTAAACAAAAGAAATTTGTACACATGCAACTGTTCCGCCGCCTCTCGCTGGTCTATAAAATGCCAAGAGGAGAACGCAAGCAGGGCATTACGGACGATTGGAGAAAGATCCAGGGCCTCTTCGTTTCCCAACTATCAACACACAATACCCGATTCATCCCTCACCCGTCTACCACGCTGTAATCATGATATCGCTCGCATCGCAACCGCTCTAACCGATGATGACCTTGTCCTCAGCCGGGAAATCGTACTCGGGGATCTCGAGGTTAAGCGGCGCAGGACCCTTGCGGGCACGGCCGGAGATGTCGTAGTGGGAACCGTGGCAGGGGCAGAACCAACCGCCGAAGTCGCCGGCCTCGCCAATGGGGACACAACCAAGGTGGGTGCAGACACCTGTAACGCGCCACTGTTAGCCGCGGTCCGTCGCCCCAAAACCGATGCTCCCGGTCCACCGGAGCTTCGGGACGCGGGGTTCCACATACCAAGCATAATCAACCACTCGGGCTTCTTGACACGGTCGGAGTCGGCCTGGGGGTCCCTCAGGCCCTCCCACTTGGTGTTCTCAGCCTCCTGGATCTCGCCCTCGGTGCGGTGGCGGATGAAGACGGGCTTGCCACGCCACTTGATGATGACCTGCGCCCTGGTTTAGTATGCCGACAATCATGCCGGAATCGCCGAAACTCACGTTCTTGCCCTCAGGGATGGCGCTGAGGTCGATCTCAACCTTGGCCTGGGCCAAGACATCGGCGGACGCGGACATGTTGACGAGGAAGTCTGCCGGGCGTCGCATCAGCCGCTGAACCGAATGCCATCCATCAAGACCCCCCATTGAATGCCATATCTTCCAATGCCGCCCTCCGATTCCTTGGGACATTACCCACCTTGGACGGTGTTCTTGGCACCCATGGCAGTGATGGCACCCATGCTGCCGACCATGAAGTACTGGAAGACCTTCTGGCCGGTCTCGCCGCCGCTGTTGCGGTACTTCTTCCAGGCCTTGGTGGGGATGCTGGTGGTCTTAGCGCCCTTGAAGGGGCTGTCGAAGGAGGCCGACGACTCGGAGCGTTTTTGCAGCGCGGTTGCGGAGGCGCGGACGGCGGGCAATTGGGTCCGCGCGGCGGCCCGGACCAGCGAGCTGGCGGTCGTGGTAAGAGCCGGCATGGTGAGTGGAGAGGTTGGCGGCGATGAGGGGAGGGTTGGGGGGTTGCGGAGGATGGGGATCGAGGTCGAGGTCGATGGTGTCAATGGCAGGACGTTCAAGCCTGCGAAATCTCCCGGGGCCCGAATCGCTGACTTCGCCCGTCGTGATTGGATGCGCACCCGCGCACGGACGTATATCTAGGTACAGCAGCAAGAGCGACCACCAACAGCAACCAACCAACTAACTACCAACCATTTTCAAGAAGCAAACAGTCCCATCTACCTTTCATACCTCACTCACCTAGGTTATTACCTATACTGACTATCCAGTCTCGGACTCGGACCTTTTACCCCAATTGACCCTACTCTCCATAATCCCGTGCCATCCGGATCGGACAAGCTGTTCAAGATGCCTGTCGGCGGCAAGCTGAAGACATCCTCAGAACAAGTCAACAGCTACGGCAACGAGCGAAATGACCCCATCATACTACAGCGCGTCAACAAGGTTACCCAACGCTATCTCAAAAAGCCCCAGGTCAACCAAAAGACAGATGCACCAGCTTCACCAGCTCCAGAGCCAACCAATGAGCAGCAACAGCAAAGGACTGACGAAAAAACGACTGACGACCAAGCAAGCACCAAGCCTGACACTAACAAGCAAAACACCTCACCACCACCACCTCCTCCTCCACCCAGCACGACACCAAGACTGCTAATCAAGGAAACTGTCGGCGATATCTTTGACGCCCCCGACAATGCCGTCCTCATCCACGCCTGCAACTGCATCGGCTCCTGGGGCGCCGGCATAGCCCTCGCCTTCAAGCAAAAGTACCCCAAAGCATTCAGCTTCTACCGGGGATTCTGCGCACAAGGGCGCGCCAAGCCTGGAACAGCTTTACTGATTTCTCCGCGCGATGGCCAGCGCGATCATTACATCGGCTGCCTGTTCACCAGTGTCGGGCACGGGAAAAGAGCAGACGCCCCGGCGGTGATCTTGCGCCAGACGAAGCCGGCTATGGAAGACCTCCTTAGACGCATTGCCCGGAACAGGAGAGAGTCCGGATTTCCCGCTGAGGTAAGGATGTGCCGTATTAACTCGGGACTGTTCAATGTACCGTGGGAGGATTCGAAGGGCGTGCTGGCGGGTATTGAGGTTGAGCCGGATATGCTGACCGGGGTTGTCGTTTACGAAAAGGCGGAGTAGAAAAGAGGACTGCCTTTTCCATTCCCTACTTGCTAATGGGTGGGATTTGGCGGTGCTGTTAGGTATAGTATACCAGGACACTGAGCGTTACCTCACCTGGCTGGCTTACCCATTCTGATACTCAGCTAAGGCCTTAGGCATACAATGCATGCTTCTAACCATTGCTTTGAAACCGCGATAAGCCAAGGCATTCACTCTGCAATAGTCGAAGGGGAAGATGTTGTTATAATTCTAAGGCCCTCGTGAGCCGACTCCCTCACAGGAGCCACCGTCAGCACCGCCACGCAAACACTCACGTGCCACACAAAGGTTTGTAGCGCGCACAGCCACAAACTCCGTCATCGGGCGCAGCGACATCCCCAGCTCCAGCCCTGCAAGGGCACCTGCGCCCGCATCTCGCCTTTCCACCTCCAAACCACCGAGTCAAGCGCACCCTCTACTCCCACATACAAACCAGAACCCTCATGATGTGCGGCAGCGACTTCTTCCTCGGCCTGCTGGCCCTGCTCTTCCCTCCCGTCGCCGGTACGTATATCCACACACATGCACGCCCTGCAGCCCGACCCCACATCGCAGCAGCCCTCACTCCACCCGCGATCACCGGCGGGAACCGCCACCGCGCATCTTCGCTCGCAACTCGCAACCCGCACGCATCACGCCTCCCTCCCCTTAAGCCCAACCGCGCACAAAAACAAAACAAAAGCTAACACATCAACCCCGCACGCAGTCTGGGTCAAGCGCGGCATCTGCAGCGCCGACAGCATCATCAACCTCGCGCTGTGCTGCCTCGGCCTCCTCCCCGGCCTCCTCCACGCCTGGTACATCATCTACACGTACCCGGACACGAGCGACAGCGAGTACGAGCGCGTCGCGGCCAGCGACCCCGAGGCCAACGGCTCCGTCACCTACTACTACGTGCAGCGCGGCAACAACAACGCTGGCGGCCGCCAACAACAACCTTCGTCTGGAGCTCAGCAGCAGTATCGCAGCCATGGCCAGCCTACTTATGGTGGTGTTGCCCCCATGCCCGGCAGTGCTAGCCGCCACCAGTTCCCCGGCCAGCAGCAGAGCGGCGTGAAGAATGCGTTTGCGGGCGCGGGTGCGCCGCCTGCGAAGGCGCCGCTTCCTCCTGCGAATGCGGGTGGTGAGAGTGGCGAGGGCGCGAGTAATGCGCTGCCGCCGCCGACGTATGCGGAGGCTGTCAAGGGCGACCACAAGGTCCAGACTTGAGAGAAGAAGAAGAAGAGGTAGAGGTAGAGTGGGCGAGTGGACGAGCGAGCGAGTGAGTTGGTGAGTGGTGAAGGGCCAAAGTCAAAGTCTGCGTCACCAGCGACGACTGGGGGAGTAGCATACGCGTAGGTCACGGTGGGAATCACGTCAAGCCCGCAGCGGTTTGTCGGGTCAAGTCAGTGGGCTCAGGTTATGTTATCGACGAGGCATTCTGCGTGGTTGGTGGTGGTTTACTCATTCTTCATGCTGCTCTCCTCTTCGATGCATGCGTTAATTTCACTACTGGTGCTGCTGCTGGTGGTGGCGGTAATGGTGGTAGCATGCAACCCTGCCCGTTCATCACTGCGTTGCGTTAGTTTGTCTGGAGGTTATTACAGTGCGCTTATTCGCGGTCCAGTCTTGCCTTCACAGCAATAATGCAGTTTCATTTTTTCATTTCGCCTCACTGCCTCTTCCTGGAAGCGCATAATGCGTGCTCGTGCTGTGGGCTATTGCTGATACACGCCGTCCGCCGACTTGGTGGCTAGGCAGGAGTACTGCTGCGCTGCCTTGACTGCAACTTACTGTTGCACAACACTGCTCGTTATAAAGCACCAATGCTCACTCACAAATCAGCACATGCGTGCACACCTCGCCCATGCTCTGCTACCAGGACAACTGGGCGGACAGACGACAGTCAATGTGATTCAGGGGGGTACTCCCAGAAGTTAACACGGTCGTATGTGCGTGCGTGCCTGCTTTCCGCTGATGCCAGTGCTTTGCTGTGCTTTGCTAGCACGGGGAGGGTGGGGAGAGGTGGTGCTGGTGCGCGGCAGCGCTGGTGGGTGATGCGTTTCTTAGATATTTAAATATTCGGTTTGTGTTTATCTGCCGCTGGGGGTGGGAGGGGCGTGGCTTTTGGTAAGTGAGTGGTAAGTGGTAAGTGGGCTTGGGTTTTGGGTTTTGGGGGTTGCCACCATATCTTCTCATCTTGTTTTGTCTCAGTCTTCTATCCTACTTGGGAGTTATGTGGCTAGGTTGCTGGATCTACCGTATAGTACAGCACAATTATAGAGTAGGGCTTAGATATCAGCAGTGGCCGACCCCTCCTCCCTTCCACCTAAGCCAAGCCACAGAAAGCCAACCCCTCCACACATAAACACTGCGTATAAACCATCAAACTACCCCCACCACCCCCCACATCTAACCCCCCAACGCCCCAACCAGCCACCCCGCCCCAAACGCCAGCGCAAGCCACACAACCGCACCCCTACAGCCACTAAAACAGCCGCACTCTCCGCTAGAGCTGCTGACGCTGCTGACGCTGTCCTCGCGGTCAACCTCTTTTTCTTTTACCACGCACTTGTCGTGGTTTTCGCGCTTGCTGGTAGGGACTATGTCAGTGCTCCGGTCGGCGGTAGTGGTGGAGGGTGTGTCGTTCTCCTCCTCTTTGTCGTCTTCGTTGTCCCTGTCGTCCTCGTTGTCTGCGTCGTTTTCCTCTACGTCCTCCCCCTCCTCCCCCACCACCACAACCCCCCTCCCCAACCCCGACCCCACAGGCCTAAACACCCGCACCCCCCCTTCAACACTAAAGCCCTTTGCACCCCGCGGCAGCCCCGGCAGCGGCCTCAACGTGCCCGTAGCGCCGGGTGGGAACGCACCTTGCTGGTTCGGCTTCTCCTCCCCTGCTGCCGTGCAGGTTGCGGGCCCTGCTGTGCAGGTCCCAGGCACGTAGCCCAGGTCCAGCATCCCCCGCACCCACGCCTCCGCCCGCAAGCAGCAGCACGCAGCGCGCAGCTGGCCCGGGGAGGCATCTTCTGCGCTGCTCCTGAGGACGGTGGTTATGAGCGCGGCGCGTGGGGTGCGGATGTTTGGTGTGGTGGCCCAGGCGAGGAGGGCTTGTCCTTGGCTGGAGGGTTGGGGTGGGGTTGTTGGGGAGCTGGATCTGGGTTGGAGGGGAGAGGGGGTTGTGCTGGCTGTGCTGGCTGTGGCCGCGGTGTTAGAGCCGTATTGCTCCTTCGCTGCTACGTCTTCGCTGCACGGAGCCTTGACCTCGACTTTGAAGGCGTCGTCCCAGTCTACTTGCCCAAAAGCATTGAGGCCCGAGAGGCTGGCGCGGGGGCGTGGCATGCTGGACGGAGAACTGTGCTGTGCTGCGTGGGGTAGGGATAGATAGATGTACAAGACAGGCTTGCTTGCTTGCTTGCTTGCGCCGCCTCGGGACGGTCGGTACAGAGAGACGATAAGTATGATGGCTAGCTTGGTGTAGGCGTTCAAGCAGCGTGATTGTGCGAAAACAACAGCGGGCAGCACTGTCGGATCCGAAACCGTAAAAAA